TACTTAAAGAATTAAAATTCAAAAATATGGGACTGTTTTAACTTAAAAAAATGAATATTCTTAGATTTATTATATTAATTTCAAATTGTTCCTCATCATTTATATATATATATATTTCTTAACCAAGATCTATTTTGCTCTATCAAAATTAAAAAAATGTTTATAGAATTAAATAGAGTTAAGGACTAAGAACCTTTAGCATTAAATATTTTAAATTAAAATGAATCATTGCACATCATGATTCAATAGATCATATTAATTTTTTATTACATACATAATCAATAAAATCATCATGATCTGAAGAATAAGATATTTCACTCTATTAGTTTTTTAGAGAATATTTCAATTTTTTTTATTAAGGATTATCTGGAGATTCCTTTTATCTAAATGATTCATTAAAATTTTTATCAATAGTTTAAGTTTTCTACTACCTAATCCTCATCAAAGCTTTAGGTTTTAATTATTTTATTCTTGGTGTAATATTAATTTACTTTAATACTAAAAGTCTAGAGCTCTCTAAGAAGGATGGAGATTTACTTGTTGGTGTAACAGGCAGAGTTGTACTATGTTTTTGAGTAAAAAAATGTTATTTTTTATTTTAACTATTTGATGTAGTTTTGTAATTTTAGCTCCTTCCAGACCCAACTATACTAAAGAAGCGATATCTATCTGAGAGCTCCATCAAATGCATTCCAATTATCATTTTTTTTCGTTTTTAGATTTCACTAAAAGTGACAGTCGGTTTAAACATAAAATAAATACATAATATAAAATATTTTATTTTTTTTATTATTGAGAATTAGGGAGAGTAATAATAAGTAGACAAAGATTTTCATACTTGTTTTAATCCAACCAGGTTTTATTTTAGTTAATTTTAGATCTTAATTATATTTATGTGCAAAGTATTAATTCATTCTTATTTATTTTTTTTAACTAAGGAATTATATAATTTGCTTCTGTTTTTCTAATCCCATTATGTTTAAGTTAACTTATTAAAATAAATCCAGTAGATTATTTAAATTGAAATTACTAAACAAAAGTAATAAAAATTTAATCTGCTATCATTTTAGAATTTAAAATTTTAATTAATGAAAAATTTTATGATATATATAGGTAAACATTTCTTTACATAAATGGATCATAAAATTTTGAAACTCATAAGTCAGACAAGATTTTATTTTTAATTTTTACTGATTTTATTTGAGCCATTTTTCTCAGAAAATTCTAAATAATTCTCCTTGATTTTTGATAATTTACATGAAATTCATTAATTTATAAAATTTCTCAATTGCACTTTAGTTATAATAAAATATTTTATTATTGAAAATTCTATTTTTATTAAATCCTTTTTATATTATGGGTCTAAAAAAATAAAAAAAGATTTGAATAAGCTTTGATTTTGAAAATAGCAAGCATAATTTTTTCTGGTTTTACTTATTAGATTCTATTTCGATAAATTACAATCAGGAATGTAAATATAAATTATATTAATTGAATATTATTAAAAATAAGATTTAAGATTAGGTTTATATTTGAAATGAATTTCAAAAACTTTTATTTGAAATGAATTTCGATTACATATGGTAGTCTATAAAAAACTTTTTTATTTATAGATACAATTTTAACATTATCAATTAATTTGATTTTTAAAAAAAAGAAACAAATTTTCATTAAGAAATTATAAATTGAATTTTGCAATTTTAAGAGCTTAATCTTGCATTTAAATGAATTTTAATAATGAAATAAGTAATTTAGAACTTCTTAAATTTATTATTAATTTATAATTAATTAATAGATGCGCTTAAATATTTAAGGCTCTGGAAAACCTAGTTAGGTTAGTAGCCCAACTTCATTAAAGAAGCCGATGATATCTTAACTTCTCATTAATTTCAGGCCACCTATTNTACTTAAAGAATTAAAATTCAAAAATATGGGACTGTTTTAACTTAAAAAAATGAATATTCTTAGATTTATTATATTAATTTCAAATTGTTCCTCATCATTTATATATATATATATTTCTTAACCAAGATCTATTTTGCTCTATCAAAATTAAAAAAATGTTTATAGAATTAAATAGAGTTAAGGACTAAGAACCTTTAGCATTAAATATTTTAAATTAAAATGAATCATTGCACATCATGATTCAATAGATCATATTAATTTTTTATTACATACATAATCAATAAAATCATCATGATCTGAAGAATAAGATATTTCACTCTATTAGTTTTTTAGAGAATATTTCAATTTTTTTTATTAAGGATTATCTGGAGATTCCTTTTATCTAAATGATTCATTAAAATTTTTATCAATAGTTTAAGTTTTCTACTACCTAATCCTCATCAAAGCTTTAGGTTTTAATTATTTTATTCTTGGTGTAATATTAATTTACTTTAATACTAAAAGTCTAGAGCTCTCTAAGAAGGATGGAGATTTACTTGTTGGTGTAACAGGCAGAGTTGTACTATGTTTTTGAGTAAAAAAATGTTATTTTTTATTTTAACTATTTGATGTAGTTTTGTAATTTTAGCTCCTTCCAGACCCAACTATACTAAAGAAGCGATATCTATCTGAGAGCTCCATCAAATGCATTCCAATTATCATTTTTTTTCGTTTTTAGATTTCACTAAAAGTGACAGTCGGTTTAAACATAAAATAAATACATAATATAAAATATTTTATTTTTTTTATTATTGAGAATTAGGGAGAGTAATAATAAGTAGACAAAGATTTTCATACTTGTTTTAATCCAACCAGGTTTTATTTTAGTTAATTTTAGATCTTAATTATATTTATGTGCAAAGTATTAATTCATTCTTATTTATTTTTTTTAACTAAGGAATTATATAATTTGCTTCTGTTTTTCTAATCCCATTATGTTTAAGTTAACTTATTAAAATAAATCCAGTAGATTATTTAAATTGAAATTACTAAACAAAAGTAATAAAAATTTAATCTGCTATCATTTTAGAATTTAAAATTTTAATTAATGAAAAATTTTATGATATATATAGGTAAACATTTCTTTACATAAATGGATCATAAAATTTTGAAACTCATAAGTCAGACAAGATTTTATTTTTAATTTTTACTGATTTTATTTGAGCCATTTTTCTCAGAAAATTCTAAATAATTCTCCTTGATTTTTGATAATTTACATGAAATTCATTAATTTATAAAATTTCTCAATTGCACTTTAGTTATAATAAAATATTTTATTATTGAAAATTCTATTTTTATTAAATCCTTTTTATATTATGGGTCTAAAAAAATAAAAAAAGATTTGAATAAGCTTTGATTTTGAAAATAGCAAGCATAATTTTTTCTGGTTTTACTTATTAGATTCTATTTCGATAAATTACAATCAGGAATGTAAATATAAATTATATTAATTGAATATTATTAAAAATAAGATTTAAGATTAGGTTTATATTTGAAATGAATTTCAAAAACTTTTATTTGAAATGAATTTCGATTACATATGGTAGTCTATAAAAAACTTTTTTATTTATAGATACAATTTTAACATTATCAATTAATTTGATTTTTAAAAAAAAGAAACAAATTTTCATTAAGAAATTATAAATTGAATTTTGCAATTTTAAGAGCTTAATCTTGCATTTAAATGAATTTTAATAATGAAATAAGTAATTTAGAACTTCTTAAATTTATTATTAATTTATAATTAATTAATAGATGCGCTTAAATATTTAAGGCTCTGGAAAACCTAGTTAGGTTAGTAGCCCAACTTCATTAAAGAAGCCGATGATATCTTAACTTCTCATTAATTTCAGGCCACCTATTAATGTTCCTAATAGTTAATAGGTATCACCATAGAATTCTGAATAAAATCTTCAAAAAGCATTACATTCTCATAAAGGATCATAGATAGATGTTGCAAATTTAACAAAATTGATTAGACAAAGCAAATCACCAAATTTAGAAGCAAATGATGGGTAAAGCAATTAGAATTAAAGCTAATAATAATTATAGGCATTATTTGCAAAAGCCAAAGAAATTACCTCAAGTAAACCAAAACCACCAATAATTAAGCAATAAGTTCAATCAATATAAACACAATCAATAAATCAATTAAAAGAACTATTTAATAGTAATTTGTACTGTAGAAATACATTTCATTTTCATTTTGTGGTAGGTATAGGAGGATTTGGTAAAGTATGGAAAGTAGAGCATAAGAAAACTGGATAAATATATGCAATGAAAGAGATGTCAAAAGCATTGTAAAAAATATTAATTTAGAGTAGAATTATAACAAAAAAAAGTGTAAATTCAGTAATGAATGAAAGAATACTTTTGAGCGAATTAAAACATCCATTTTTAGTTAATATGAATTATGCATATTAAGATAGAGAAACACTCTATTTAATAATGGATTATATGTCTGGAGGAGACTTAAGATATCATATAGGAAGAATGAGAAGATTTAATGAAGAATAAACTAGTAAGATTAAAACTATTATTTTGAGGGTTCTTTGTTGCTTGTATATTCTTGAGTTTGGAATATGTGCATGAAAATAAAATTATACACAGAGATATTAAACCAGAAAACTTAGTTCTAGATAATAAAGGATATGTTCATTTAACTGATTTCGGTATAGCTAGAATAATGAAGCCAGAAAATTCAAGTGATACAAGTGGAACGCCAGGATATATGGGTATATATATTTTATATTATATCTTTTATTTAGCTCCAGAAGTTATGTATAGATAAAATCATACATATGCTGTTGATTATTATGCCTTAGGAGTTATTGCTTATGAATTTATGTTAGGAAGAGTAATTATAAATTTTAAATATTAGAGACCTTATGTTGGAAGATCTAGATAAGAAATCAGAGATTAAATTATGGCCAAATAAGTATAAATTAAAAAATCTGAAATACCAGATAATTGGTCAATAGAAGGAGCTGACTTTATCAATAGAGTAAATCATTATTTCAATTTATTAGTTAATTTAAAGAAAACCTTAATAACGATTAGGTTTTAATGATAGTTAAGAAATCAAATAACATCCTTGGTTTTAGAATTTTCCTTGGTAAAAATTATAAAATTTTGAATTAATTCCTCCATTTTAACCAAATGTATTTATTTTTTAATAGATTAGAGAACTGAAGATAATTTCGATTAAAAATAAATATTAATTGAAGATGAGGAAAATAATGAATTAATCCAATAAAATCTAAAAGTTTTAAAAGATCCTTCCTCTTTAGGTATTATTAGCTAAATCATTAAGAGTTATTTTAGGGTTATGAATTTAATGCCAATCAAAGTATGAATAAAATTTCATCAACCACTGATTAATCATCAAGTTCATCATCCAAGCATAGTAGAAATTTCAGTTAAAAAATTGAAAAATAATAATTTTTTGAACATGCTCCTAAATGATTTAAATAATCCTATTCATATAGTATTATATTGCTGTTTTTAATATTATTTAAAATTTATTATTGTCATCTGTTAATTAGATATCAAAGCATTTTCAAAATTTAACATAAAATTTATTATAATCCTATTTTTTCTTACTCAATAATTTTTATTAGATCGTGTAAAAAATCAAAAATTTTATTAAAAAAAAGAGTATTATTAAAAGCATTAACAATACTAAAAAAACTAACAAAAGATGTTATTCTAAAGTTTATTCATGCTTCTAACAGACTTGCACAACGTTTAAGAATATTCTTTTACGATATTTCTCTAAATTTTTATCATTAAATCTAAATCATCAGTGGTAACTTAAATAGATTATATATTAATAAAATATAATAAANTTCATTTAACTGATTTCGGTATAGCTAGAATAATGAAGCCAGAAAATTCAAGTGATACAAGTGGAACGCCAGGATATATGGGTATATATATTTTATATTATATCTTTTATTTAGCTCCAGAAGTTATGTATAGATAAAATCATACATATGCTGTTGATTATTATGCCTTAGGAGTTATTGCTTATGAATTTATGTTAGGAAGAGTAATTATAAATTTTAAATATTAGAGACCTTATGTTGGAAGATCTAGATAAGAAATCAGAGATTAAATTATGGCCAAATAAGTATAAATTAAAAAATCTGAAATACCAGATAATTGGTCAATAGAAGGAGCTGACTTTATCAATAGAGTAAATCATTATTTCAATTTATTAGTTAATTTAAAGAAAACCTTAATAACGATTAGGTTTTAATGATAGTTAAGAAATCAAATAACATCCTTGGTTTTAGAATTTTCCTTGGTAAAAATTATAAAATTTTGAATTAATTCCTCCATTTTAACCAAATGTATTTATTTTTTAATAGATTAGAGAACTGAAGATAATTTCGATTAAAAATAAATATTAATTGAAGATGAGGAAAATAATGAATTAATCCAATAAAATCTAAAAGTTTTAAAAGATCCTTCCTCTTTAGGTATTATTAGCTAAATCATTAAGAGTTATTTTAGGGTTATGAATTTAATGCCAATCAAAGTATGAATAAAATTTCATCAACCACTGATTAATCATCAAGTTCATCATCCAAGCATAGTAGAAATTTCAGTTAAAAAATTGAAAAATAATAATTTTTTGAACATGCTCCTAAATGATTTAAATAATCCTATTCATATAGTATTATATTGCTGTTTTTAATATTATTTAAAATTTATTATTGTCATCTGTTAATTAGATATCAAAGCATTTTCAAAATTTAACATAAAATTTATTATAATCCTATTTTTTCTTACTCAATAATTTTTATTAGATCGTGTAAAAAATCAAAAATTTTATTAAAAAAAAGAGTATTATTAAAAGCATTAACAATACTAAAAAAACTAACAAAAGATGTTATTCTAAAGTTTATTCATGCTTCTAACAGACTTGCACAACGTTTAAGAATATTCTTTTACGATATTTCTCTAAATTTTTATCATTAAATCTAAATCATCAGTGGTAACTTAAATAGATTATATATTAATAAAATATAATAAAGTATAAATAAATGCTCCTTCTATAATCTTCCTTGAAAAGGAAAAATTGTATTTTCCATGATAATTTTCTTTTTGAGTAAAATAATTTTTATTTACTTCATTATCTCAATCATTTAATAAAAATTATAATCTGCTTAAAAAAAATTTATCAAAAATTAATTTAAAATTCTTTTCTAAATTACTTTTATTTTATAACATGTTCTTCAAAATTTTATAATTCTTTATTCTTAATTTGGCAATATAGTTACTCAATAATATATGCTTAAATAATTATGTATTTTTTATTATTTAAATGGTATAAATTTCATTTTTTCTTAATCTAATTGTTCTTGTTTATAGAATCAATTCCATCATTATAAGAAAATATTTTTATGGAAAAAATATAAAATGATATAATAAAATTGAATGATATCCACTTTCTTGATTAAATATTATTATAATATATTAAGTTCTAGTACAAGTTATTTGAAATAGATGGTTAAATGTAATGAAATTTTGTATAAATCACTCAATTTTGTCTATGTTTTAAGGTAATTTATTTCTATATTTTGAAAGTTCAATATAAGTCCAAATTATTCTTAAATCTTCAGGTTCTAAATACATTAATTCTTAATCCTCTAAAGCCATAATTCTTTTGAAATCGTCACTAACAGCATCAAAATTAAAATGATGATACATAAGTAGATTTTCTAATAATTCATCATGATCTATAGTCCAACCTTCTCTCTTTTGCTTCCATTCTTTTAATTATTAAGTTTTTGGATCTATTTTTGGTATTTATGGGCCTGAATCTAAATTAATAATAAATTTGGATTCTTAATATGATTATGTACATTCTTAGTCTTCATCTGATTCGAATATTTAGTTATTTAACTATTATTCTATATTTTTATTATCACCCTTTTAATTAATTTATTACATTTCTTAATTGAAATACCTGTCCCTTATTTATTTGGCTTCCTTTTTTCATATTAATATTTTTACGTCCTCAGTTTTATTTAAAATGACTATGTTTCCATCATCATCTTTTGTTGTTAAAAAGCATTAATGAGGAGGTAGAGTATCAACCTGATATTTTTCTAATTCTAATTCTATATTTTTTAATTCATTTTCCTTTAATTCTAATTGATCATCTACTTCTTCTCCATCAAAATACTATTTTTATAATTATCTGATTTCTTTGCATAAGATTTATTATTAATTTAATAAATAATTTCGTGTTTCTCCTCTTTATTATCTTTCTAAAGTTTATAAATAAATTTAATGATCTTATTCTCTTTTTTATTCAATTTAAGAAACTCTTTCTTATTATTCAGCTTCTTTTCCTCCAAAAAACCATGCTTCACTAATTTTTCTTTCTCCTGGGGTTACAGGTTTATCATCTAAAAATTATAATGCTTTTATAGCAACAATAATAGTTTTCCTATAATTTGGACATTCTCTAACTTTATTTTTATTAAATTAAAAATACCAAAAGTATTTGCTTTTAAATATAGACAAGCAGTATAAGAATGTTGAAAGATTTCAATTATTGATTCTTCATAATTAATATGATTATTGGAAAGATCTAAATTCAATATAGATGGACAAAATTTAAGTTCCCTTAATGATTCATAATCTGTTAATTAATTATGAGATAGATTAAGGCTTTAGAGTTTGGTTAAAGAGGCTAAGTTTTCAATTTTTTTGATTGAATTATGACTTAAATTTAAAGTAACTAAATCTTATAATGCAGAAATATTTTCAATTTTGTCAATTAAGTTATGATTTAAGAATAAGCTAATTAATTTCTTAAGTTCACTTAATCCTTCAATCTTTTATAAAGCATTATTATTCAACCATAAAGCAACAAGATTGAAATATGGTTCAAGATTTTATATTTTATCAAATCCTAAAAGATGAAAGTATAAAATTACCTTTGAAATGTAAATATAAAGTGTCATTGTTTTCTGGATTCTAATACAATCCTTCTCTTTCACATATGATTTTTAAATTCTTTAAATTCATAATCAAGGTTCCATTTTAATTTCTTTCAAGTGTTTTATTCATAAATTAATAAATATATCATATTTTTTATAATTTCACAAGTTCCTTAACATAATCATTAGGTCTTAATAAAAATGTGCTTCCAATAATTAAATTTTTATTAATAAGTTTGTTATTCATTAAACTTCTAGCTTCATTATATCCAATACCTCCAACAACAAAAATTATCTAAATTTAAAATAAATAAATACTAATTTATCTTATTCATCAAATCCAACATCATCTTACATCAATTTGATTTATCCCTTTTATCTAAGTGATTTACCTTAACCTTAAGCATTTTATTATTCATTTAAAACTATCTTTTCATAATTTCCAGAAGTCTAGAAATCTTTGAGTATTAATTCTTCAATTTATTATTCAATAATAGGAGTATTTCTACATAATTCTAAAGTTTCGTTAGCCATCTTATTTTTAGCATACTTTCTTACTTATTCATTAACTCTTTTATGGGACTAAACTAAAAACATAGAATTTTACTTTGCCACCACTATTTTAAGTTTAGATTCCAATTAATTTAAGATTATGAACAGCATTTTGCATATCAATTGATAGAATATCGGTTAATTATCTCCTATCTTTTTCACTTAAATCAATTTAAATTATAGCAGATAATATTAAACGTGCTTAATCATATTCATTTAATTTTGGATTTTTTAAAACTTAAATAATCTAATAATTTATATTAATAATTAGATACTCTTTAAATAATCTTCTCTCCTGCTACAGATGATCCTTTCTTATCACATCCTGTAGCTAATGTTTATTCTAATTCTCCTACTTCTTAAAGATCCTTCTATCTATATAAATCTAAACATTTCTCAACAATTTCCATATGCATTGTATATTTAGCTACTAAATCTTAATATTAAGGCATAGTTTTAACAATGTCAGTCATTTATTTTAAAGTTAAACTTTATTCTTTATCTTTAGCTACTTTTGCAGCAGTATTAGTTTACATAAATGTTTAAAAATCACTACTTACTTCCTCTAAAACATCAGCAATATGTTTAAATTTATATTTCTTAAATAATTCATCTTAATCATTTAAAATTTATTTTTTTGATACTTTCTTATCACTATATTACATTTCATATTAATATATATCATTTTCTATCTCCAATAAATCATAAAACATAGGTTAATAATAAAAATCATGTAACAATGGTGATAATGCATCTATTGCTCTATCAACAATTACTACTCTTATTTTCCCACAAGTTTTATCTTTACAATCATATTGTGAATTATTGCCTCTTTTTAATGTTTCTAATATTTCTCTTAACCTTCCTTATGTAAATTATGCTAATTATTAACAGATTTTCCAATTATCTTATCTAAATATCAATTCAAAACTGTAAAATTTATCAAATGATACTAAAACTGTACATATTTTTTCAGCCATCTCTTATAAAATTATATTTCCTTGCTTTAAGTAAATACATACTTCCTTTGTACACTTCTAATCCAAAAATCATATCAAATGTGAATAATTATTCATTAGTACAATTAAAATCTAAATTGAATACTTTACAACTTGATAATTTCTTAACTAAATTCTATTCAGCTTATATCTTTTGTACTATTCCTTATGGCATTTTATTATTAAAAATCACATGAGCACATTTGTATTATGGAAATTAAGCATTTTCAAAATCCTCAATTAAATAAGCAATAGACTCTTAAGTTGGAGTTATAAAGTAAATTGCCTCTAAATTGAAAGGTTTTCTTTTCAAATGTAAATTTTCAACTGCATTAATTCCTTATTCTAACAATCTTATTTTTATTTTTATTTTTACTCTGACATCTTCATATAAGCAGATACTATTTTCAATGTTTTTTAATCTACAACAAGAATTGATGATGATAAGTTAGGATTATCAATTCTTAATTGTACAAATAAACTTTTCATTCTTTATCTGCAAACTTATTTCAAAGAAAATTGAGTTTATTCCATTTCACTTTATTTTTATTATAAAATCTAATTATTAATTTAACTCATTTTTCCATACTATTCAAGATTATATATCACTTTATATTAATAATTAATTTTTAATCAACTCAAATCTAAGTATTGATTTATGTAGTTTCTCGATCTATAACAAACTTAGGTTTCATAAAACTCGATTTGGCTTTTTAGATTATAAATCTTATGATTCTTCTATTTCTATTTTTTTCGAACGTAGTTTTTCAAATCTGGAATTTCATTATTAAAACTTTTATAATCTCCATTTGTACTAGTTTTTTATATATAAATAATTTCAACGATATGCCTTTTTTTAAAACTAGTTGGTTTTTATTTCTTACATATTACACAGTATTGTTAGCTGGTATTATTGAAATTTATAAATTATTGTAAGTTGATAAGAAAAAATCTTAGAAACAAAATATAACATCAATTGTATCCGTACTTTGAGCAATCATTAATAGTTGACACAGAATTACATTCAAATTCGGTTATTATTCAACCATTATAAACCAAAAATTTTCTGAAATATAATTTAAATATCTAATATTATGATATATATCTTAAATTAGTAAAATATCCACCAAATCAGAGATTATGAAAATATAAATAAATATAAATTAGCATACATTTACAAAGATACGACAATAAGTAAGGCTAAAAATTAATTAGGTCTTCTTAAACTATTATCTAAAAATAAATTTCAATAAAGAGCCTGATGACTTTCATTCTCATTCCTTTATTAAGAAAAATAAATTACGATAAAGTTAAATCATAATTATCAAATAGAAATGTAAAAATCGCTAAATAAAAGAAAGTATAGCAAAAATTCCATGCCATCATTTTAAATTTTTAAAATAATTTAACTATTTCTCTTTATAAAGTGAATGATTTCTTTATTTTGAACAATCTCCCTAAATATTCTAGATTGATTATTATCGTTGAGGATACATCAATTTCTTATGATTACAAAGATATTATTTAAATATTTAACTTCACGATATTGTTAATAGATAAATAAACCGAATCAATTAAAACATCTTCTTTTCAATTTTCCTAAGAATTAGATCAATGAATCGATAATTTTCCGTAATGCTGCTTTGAAGATTTTGGTTATTTTAAATCTTTAATTTTAAGGCCTAAAAATAAACCAAAATTCTGAAATTTTAACTAGATAGTTAATATTCATTCTTTCACTATTTTTTGTTCTTTGTTAAAAAAAGAAAGAACTAATTGATGAAATTATCTTAAAAATAATATAAATATTTGTATTAATATATAATCATTAATTAAGTTACTGTTAATTTGATTTATTTTCAAAAAATTTAATATGCAAATTCATAGAAGCCTAAGACTCCTTTCAAACTTATAATAAAAAACTATATATGTGATTGCCATAAATTTTGTATAATAAACTAAAATACACCATCATTTGACTTAATTTTAATTAAAAATAGCTTAATGTTGTTAAGTTGTTATCAAACTATAAAGTCGGTCTGACGAATAAAAACTAAAACTATTTGTTAATAAATGCTTGAGTAACATTAATCCATCAATAGAAGATCTAATCTCATGAATATCTGAGTATTAAACTAAATAAATTTTTCAAGAATGAATATAATTTAAAATTTATGAGTTGTAATAACATTTAAGAGATCAGCTAAAGTTTGTCCATTTAAAAGAGAAATTAAGTTACCAATTTTCAAATTTCTTAGGTCCCAAATCTAAAAAATATACCATTATCTACATACCCAGATGAGAATAATGAAGTTCAACCTTTTTATAATTCAGAAAAAATGTTAGATGAATCTAAGGAATGCTTAGAGCAACCAGAAACTTCTAAATATTTTCCATATTATTTAGGATAACATCATTCAAAAATTTCGAAATTTTTTTTTTTACAATACACAACCTACGCTCTAGAATTAAAGAATTAAGTTTTAGATAAAAACTTTAAAATTACAGATAAGCATCTTCCTACTTTATCACCAGAGGATAATCTAAAGGAATTAATATTGAAATCAGAAAATCAAACTTCTCAAGTAAAAACAATGACTTATAAAACATTAATAAGGCTTATATTTTTCGGTGAATTAAAATGGATAACAGGAAGATGTTTTGCAATCTATTTCATAGAATCAGTTTCAAAAAACGGAATTTCTTTTATAATGAGTTTTGCCATAGTCAGTATATCTTAACATGAATATGATAGTGCTCATTATTACGGAATAATACTAGTAATATTGAATTTCATATGTTTATTGAGTAGACATCATGCTGCTAATTATTCAATGATATTTTCGACAAAAGCTCGTCTAAGCTTAATTAATTTAGTTTATATTAAATTAATTGGATTAAATTCATATTCTTTTAAATAAGCTAATTTAGGTAAGATATTAAATATTGTATCTGGAGACATTAATACATTAGAATAAATGTTTAGTATGATATTTCCAAGTAGTGTTGTAATTATTTCAATGTTCTTTGCTTGTTTTATATTGTGGAATAGATTTAATGGTATCATAGGTTTATTGCCAGTTATATTATTATTTCTTGCATATCCTATTTAAATTGTTATATAATCATTCAATTAAGAAACCTTAAAATAAGCTAAAATTAATTAAGATTAAAGATTAAAAATAACTAATCAATTGATAGAAGGAATTAGATTAATTAAAATGTAAGCTTGGGAAAAAGCCTTTTCAAAAATGATATTGACTATAAGACAACTTGAATTTCTAAGTTTAATAAAAATTCTTTTAAGAACTGCTATTGATAGATTATTTACGTAAACATCTTATCTGTGGGCAAGTTTCTTGTATTTTATTATCTTGTATTATGGGGAATTTAATACCGATATGAAAATAGCAGAAATGATATCTACAATTTAACTACTAAACTCTTTAAAAATCTCATGTGTGTATATGGTTTCAAATGGAATATAAGCTTTAATTCAAATAAAAGTTACTTTTGAAAGAATTGCGAATATTTTAAATCTATAAAATTTTGGTATGCATAAAATTGATGAATTTTAAGATGAAAAAAATAAAATTGAAAAAGAACATAGTAGAATAGAATTAATAAATTTTAGTGCATTTTGGAAACATTCAGTATCTGATTCCGATAAAGCAATTTTAAAAAACTTAAATTTGAATTTTAAAGAAGGAGAATTATGGGCAATTATTGGTCGAGTTGGATGTGGAAAATCAACTCTTTTACAAACATTATTATGTGAAATTCCATCTTACAAAGGAATAATGTTAATTGATGGATAAATACCATCATAAAACAAAGTAACAATTGGTTACGTTGAATAAGAACCTTTTTTATTTCCAGATACTATAAGGAATAATATTCTATTTGGAAAAAAATTTAATAAGACTTTATATGAAAAGGTTACTTAAGTAGCATAATTAGAATCTGATTTTGAATTAATGAAATTTAGAGATTAAACTGAAATTGGAGAAAGAGGTATCACACTTTCAGGAGGACAAAAAGCAAGAATCTCTTTAGCTAGAGCTTTATATTAAACACCTGATTTATACTTATTTGATGATCCTTTATCTGCTGTAGATGCAAAAGTTGCTCAAAACATATTTACAATTGCTATTAAATAATTCATTTTTGAATATCAGATAACCATTAACCCAAATAAACCAAAACCTATTGTAATTTTAGCAACACATTAAATTTAATATGCTATCAAATGTGATTAAATTGCTATATTAAGTTAGGGAGAATTGATTGCTAAAGGTTCTTATGAACAAATCAAACTTCATTTAGAAATGATTAATAAAGATTTAGCTCAATAATTAGATAAAACTTAGAATGAAACTACAAATTAAAATATTTTAGAATAATAACCATTAACTAAAATATCTAAAGGAGCAAAATAGTCTGAAAATAATAGAACTCTCATAGTCTCAGAATCTGATAATCAATCAATTATTAATTTTTCTGTTTATTTGAGATATTTCAAAAATTGGAATTTTGTAGTTTTTTTGTCTGTGTTAGCCTTGGAAGTAGGATATGAAGTTTTAATTATGCTATACAAAAGAATTATTTCATTATTTGAATACTATCAAGAGTAAAATGAGACAGATTCTACATTCATAATTTTATCTTGTTTAGTGATTGGATTGATGATTTGTAGTTTAATAAAATATTTTCTTAGTTTAAATCAAGTATAGAAAACAACTTAAAACATTCACAAAAGGATGCTTAATTCTATTACATAAGCTCCAATATCATATTTTGATGTAAATCCTTCAGGAAGAATAATAAATAGATTTTCGAATGATTTATCTTTGTGTGATAATTCTACAAATTAAGTTTGTTTGGATATTTTGGAAATGATTGGCAATTTTATGATTTCATTAATAACCTTGGCAATCTTGTAACCATATTTTATTTTTATGATATGCTTTATTTTAGCTTTGAACCTTTATCAATATAATTTTTATAATAAAATTATTAGCTAATTAAAAGAAATTGAACTAATTTAAAGAAGTCCATTATTTGATTTTATTAAAAATTCATTAGGTGGATCCATTCAAATTAAAATTAATGGATAATAAAATTTATTTAGGGAAAAATTTATAGATCTATCGAACAAATGTAATTTAAATTCATTAACGTATATCTATTCAACAAGATCTTTTTGCTTTAATATTGATTTTATTGGATTTATCGCTTCATCAGCTGGTTTATTTATTTTCCTAAATCTTAATTACAATGATGTTGCAATATTTTCTTAAGGATTATTATTATTAACTATATACAACGATGGATTATCATTTGGATTGAAATAATTGATAAATTTCGCAACATAAATGAGTTCATATAATAGGATGTTTTAAATAATAGATATAGAATCAGAAGCACCATAAATTCAAGAAGAAGATTCAAAATTAACAAATTTTCCAGAATCAGGTGATATAAAATTTAATAATGTTTAAATGAGATATAGATAAAATTCAGATTTAATATTAAAAGGATTAACATTTGAAATAAAAAGTGGATAAAAAATTGGTTGTGTTGGTAGAACAGGAGCTGGAAAATCTTCAATCTTATAAGCTATATTTAGAATGAATGAAATTGAAGATTATGAAGAATCAAAAATCGAAATCAGTGGAATTAATATTAAATAATTAGGATTATAAAAATTAAGAAGTAGTCTTGGTATTATACCATAATCTCCATTTTTATTTACTGGAAGTCTTAGATCAAATTTAGATCCATTTAATTAATATGATGATTAGGATATTTGGTAAGCATTAACAGTTTCAGGATTAGAAGGATATACAAAATCATTTTCTAATGGTTTATTAACAGATATTAGTGATATTAATTCATTATTCTCTGTTGGATAAAAACAATTAATTTGTTTAGCTAGAATTCTATTATAGAAAAAAAAGATTATTGTTTTAGACGAAGCAACTGCTAATCTTGATATGAAAACAGATGATTTCATCTAAGATACTCTTAAATAATAACTTAAGGATTGTACACTTATAACTATTGCACACAGGTTAAATACTATTGCTGATTATGATAAAGTTATGGTTATTGAAAATGGAAATGTTATAGAATTTGATGAACCATTTAATCTTTTAGCTTAATCTTATAATTCAATCAATATTGATAAGCAAACTCATTTTTCTAAACTTGTGCTAAATACTGGACAATCTAATTCTTAGGCTATTTTTGATATTGCCAAAAATAAATAGAATCGAATATAGAAATGATGTTATGATAATAATTTAAATAAGTTAGACTTTTATCATAATTTTATTTAAATGAATAAGAAATTTTATAAATTTATAACAATAAATTTTTTTATTTGATATATCATTATCAAGCTTATCATGTATATTGCCAAATAAAACTTATCTTTACTAAAACAACCTTAAACAGAATCAAAAATAAGGATAATAAAAAATACTATAGTTAAATGAAATGAAATTAAATCAAGAAAAATAATATATAACGTCATAATTTTGTAGAGACAAAGTTCTAAATTCACATTTCAAAAAAGTTTAAATAAGAGCTGCTAATATATATTTTTAATTTTACCGATTAAAAAACAAAATATCAAATAAATTAGTTTTGTATAAAAATGTGGAGAAAATTTATCCATTGTTTTTAGGCTATTTAATTTATGTTCAAAGCTCCATTGGTTGAATACACAATAAGAAGTAGTTCACCATCAAAAATGCATAACTTTCATTATTATTTTCCCCACCATCTATACCTGAAAGTCTTTTAAACAGAAAAAGGAAGAAGTATTCAAGTGAAGTAAGCAAAAATAACAATCGTAGTTTTTGTTAAAAGATTCAAACTATTTTCATTCTTTAAAAATTAAATTCTAATGCTTAAAATAATAGTAACTATCTAAGAGATCTGAAAACTTAAGATATAAGATTTACTCTTTTAACAATTAAAAAAGCAGAAAGTATAAACTCTACACAACTCTAAGTAATTATCAATTATAAACAAATTGGAATATTTGGAAAATCTTTAGTTAAATTCATCTTTATAAAAATATTTACGAGAAAAATAAAGAAAATAGATTCAAAAAAATTACTTAAATATTTAATTGTACATTATTTTATTATAATATTTCAATAGCCTAACTTTTCTAATTCTGCATTAATTGCAGTAAGTTCTTTAGCTCCAATAGCTTTTCTTTTGAGATTTTCTCTTGCTATTTTTCTCTTATAATATGCAGTGCCTCTATATAATTAATATATTATGAATACCTTAATTTTCTTTTTTCTTCAAGTCTATTCACAATTCCTTATTGATTCCATCCGACTGAAGCGCATAAATCACCCAAAGTACAAAAAGGTCTATGATTTTTTAATCTGATCAATTTGAGGGCATCTGAAACAACTTATCTCTTTCTTGTATCATAAGGAGGAGGGACACCTTCAAAGATCTTTAATCTTTCAAGTGCGGCTGCTCCTCTTTTTGATTTATATTAAAGCATTCCTCTAACAACCTTCCAAAAGCATCTTGATGGTGTTCTATAGTGCTTATATCCTCTTCTTGGATTGAAAGCCATTCTCTTATTTAAATATTCTTCAAAGATGACTCTATTTCTGAAGAGAGATCCTTCAATGATTAAAATCGCTTACCTGATTGTTAAATCAACTCAGTTCTTACAACAACTATTCTTTATCCTCTCTACAATTCTTTAGCAATATAGGAGGCCAATCTGCCCAATAAATGACCTTTTCCATCAATCACTATTTCCTTCTCAAACATTTAATTTTAAATAAATTTTCAAAATGATTTTTATATGATAAAATACTTAACATTCAAGAAGACTATTCTTTTTTAGATATACTAAATTCTATTTCTCATATTTAATTAATATATTCAATAACATTAATATCCCCATATAGTTATCTGAATTACTCTCTCTACTACTCACTTTGTTATATTAATTTAGTAAATTATTCTTCCATATTTTAGTAATTAATTACACTTATCACACTTATTTTTGGCCCAAATTTCCCACTAAAAGCCCTTCCAAGCTTTGATCGAGTACTTGCAAAGATAATCGGAATATTTTTGTTGTAGCCTTCTTTTAAGATCTTTAAAATATGATGATCTGGACCATCTGAAATTATATTCATTTTTAATTACTTTTAATTGGGCACTCTTAAATTCCTATTGGTACTATTATTAATTTTGAAGATTTTTCAGGTAATGTATATTAAATACTTCTTAAACATTCCTTTATTCCTGCTACAACTCTCTTTTTCATTTTTTTTGGTTCAATTACCTTCTTTTTAGCTTACATAAAACTTAGTTCATTTATAAATTACAATGTCATGTCATCTAATTCTTTACAAGGAATTTAAGTAATCCAAGGTCTAATTTTCATATTATTATATTTTTCCTTAGAATAAGGATTTATTTTTGATAACTAATTTAATATTGTAATTAACTATTAGTCATCCTACTTAATTTAATCTTCATCAACTGTTTCATAATCAGGATCATTTAAATTATCCCATAATTGTTTGGCTTTTTAAATTTTTGATAATTTTTTCTTTTTCTTCTCTTGTTCTACTATTTAAATATTATCATTATCATCTAAAACATAACCAAATTATTTTTTTTTCTCTCTTCTCACATATTATTTGTATTAAATTCTTAATTCTCTTATCAATTAATTAATTTTCTTCATTCCTAATAAATTATTCCTTTTCTGTTTTTTCTCTTTTAATTTAGAAAACTTCTCCATTCTTTTCCTCTATTCAAGCATTCTTTATCCTTTAATACGTTCATCATATTCAGCTTTCTTAATTTAATATTCTTTGACCTACTTATTAAATTCCTCATACTCTTTTTAACTATAAGTCCAATATCCAAGTTTTGGGTCTAATCATAATTTCTATTTTTATACCTAATACTAATTATTTAGGTTCTTCTGGAGCTTCTAATTTTTCTTATTTTATTATTTTCTATTAATCTTATGATTCCACTTAAGATTATTAAGCCTTATTATTCTTTATCTGTTTTTCAATTTTTTAACTTTATTTTTCCTTCTATTCTTATTTGCAGTTATCTTACAAGTCCAATTTATTGTTTTTAATTTATAATCTATTTTCATTTTATTCAATTCTTTTTGACTATTGGTTAGCTTTTTTCTGATAAAAAAAATTCGTATTTTATCTATTTTGATCAGTATAATGATAGGCATAATGATAGTCATATCTAAATTAATTAGTTTCTTGATTTTCATATTTAACATCAGGTTAGAAATTTGTAGATTGAGATGGTTGGTTATTGGAATTTATTTAAGGATCATTTATTTCACAAGAGAAAGCACTAGCATTCAAGTTGAGTTTTTTTCTTTACTGCATAAATTATTTATTAATAAATAATGAAAGGACCTAAATATGTTGAGTAAGACATAATTAAATAGGTTTGTCAAGCTGAATAATTCTAATAACATAAATTTAAATTGATAAATACAAGATCTGATCCATATTTATCTAGAAGAGTATATAATTTTATAGATTTAAGAATGTTTTATTAGACAATGATAAATACTAATAAATTAGAGCAAATAAATTCTATACAAAATTGTAAGTAGATTTACAAAAGGAGTAACGATTGTTTAAGGAAAATGCAAAAATTCTTAATCGAATAGTAGATATTGGAAATTAAAAAACTTATTCATCTCTTCCTAAAAGATCATTGACTAGATAAAGTTCAGCCAATTCACTCAAGTCTCTTAATTTATCTTACAGAAAGAAAGAGGCTTTGAAAATAGTTGGAGAAAATGAGAAATTGATGCAGCGGTTATAGAGAACTCCTTCCACATTTAGAAATAAAGAAACTTTTCTTAAAGATTATAAAAAGTAAATATCAATATTATTATAAGAACTATTGAACTTAAGAATAGAATTTAAAAATTTTCATAGTAAAATCAGCAAAAAATGGGTAAAATTGTTTAAAGATTAACAAAAACAACAACTAATCCGAAATTTTCAAAATCAAATTAGAGTAAAACAAGTGCACCTTCATACAAAAATTCTGCTTTATCCTAATTACGAATAGAACCTGAAAGATTATAAAAGAAGTTGTAATTTCCTAGAATAAAATGATTAATAAAATATATATAATTGTCTTTTTAATTCCTTATCAACAGAATTATCTCTTAATAAGTGCTAAAATGTATTCAGCATCCTTAGGATCTGTACTATTTATTTTTAATTCTAATGATCCATTCAAATTGTAACATCCATATAATAAAACACAACTCTTATTTTCTGCATTGGCACCAGCACAAATTATTTCTTAATCAATGACTTCAATAATCTAAAAATAGAAAAAAGAATAATTACATTGATATTAATAGTTTAAATCATTCTTCTGAAATCTTATTCAGATTTTATCTTACTTTATAAAGTGACTTCTTTAATATTTTAATTTCTTTCCCAAAGTTATTCATATTAATCAACATTAATATTAGCTGGTATATAAGATTTAATTTGTTATTACGGAATTGGTTATGTTTAAACTGGAGGTTAAGACCATAATTATTATTATTATTAAGGAACAACTACTGGTTTTTGAGTGATGATTTAAGGTTATTGAACATATACTTAAGGAGCTCCTAAGATTGGTTATTATTATTATTTTATTGGCAATGGTTCATCAATTTCTAATAAATTTTAAACTTAAGCTGTTTATTTTGGTTAAGTTATTTAAGGTATATTAGGATTTGTATTCATTTATTTTGGTGCAGCGACAGCAGTTATACCTTTTTTTTAAGTAGATCTAATATGATATAAAAATAATTATTACTATGGTTATTATTAGGTTTATGAAATTGGAGCAAATAATTGATTTGCTAATTTCTGCTTTTCCTTTAAATTAGGATCTTCTTTAGGAGGAAGAGGTCTTACAGGGGGTACATATGTACTTTGAGCTTGATTAGAACTCAATCCCATTTATCCACTACCCATAGATTACATAGTTGTTTTAGTTGTTGTTTAACCACTACCATTACTTCCCATTCCTGTTGTTGAACCTATAGCCATAGGAGTGGCTATTGTAGGTTTCGGAGGAGGTGGTTATTTTTAATTATAACCTGTATCATCCCAAGGACCTGCTATTGTAGGAGCTGATGGATTCTAAGTTGTTGATTTATTTTCTTCTGTTCCAAAAGTATTAGTCTTACTACCTCCATATTTATTGTCACTATATGGACCAAAATTAAGGGAAGGAGCTTCTGTTGCTGATCCCAATGCAGCTGCTTTGACTTATAATGAAGGATTATATGCTTAAGCACCGCGTAATCTTTCTTATTATACATAAGCGTCTAAAAATGACATTTTTGGATCTACTGTTATAAATTATGATCCTTTTAGAGCTGCATTAAATTTTGCAAGAGTATAAAAGTCAATTGCTCTTTATTGACAATCTAAATTCTTTGATTACATATATTTTTAAAAGATTGCTCTTGTTTAATCGAACATTTAAAATGCTCTTGCAGATTATAATTTAGCCAAACATGTTAATATCCATGAAATCGTTGTTTCTGATTCTAATTAAGAATCTAATTTTAAAATTACTAATTAAGTTAATTCATTTAATTTGTTTGGATCTTAATCATATATTTATGATCCTATTTCACCAATTACCCAACAAACAATTTTTAAAATATTATCTTATAAATCATTTCTTAATAATTCTGAGTATATTTCAGTGATGAATACACCAAATTCAGATCCAATATCATTAAAATTATCTATTAATAATTTAAAGAAATTATTTCTAACATCATTATCTATAAATTCAGATCCAAATTCAAATAATGTATTAGCTGTTTTAATGAACCATTCTTAAGTTGGTGCATGTTTTTCATTTAATAATGATATTTTAACAAACAAATCCTTTTTAAAATTAGAATCAGAACTTGTTTTTAAAAAGTGAATCAATTTTTAAATAATGACTTCACAATTTTATTCATTAGTCATTTTAAATAATAATTCTAAAGTTTCTTTCTTTAAAGTATCATCATTTGATTCTAGACAATCAACAATAGTCATTTAATGCTCTAAAACATATTTTTATGAAATAGAAACAATTTAAGTTAAAGCATTAATTCCTAAATACTTTAAATTATTATTATCAGATTTTAAAAATCTAGATACAGAATTAGCAGCCTATTCTAATAGACTTTATTAAGGATAGATTCCACTAACACATTTAACACATTGATAGGTGACAGCATAACCAATATTAATTGTTGTATCATCAGCTCTCCTTAAAGTTGAACCCAAAACTTCATAAATCTATTCACTAACTTTCAAATCATTGGCTCCCAAAAGAGTAAGAATTTAAAGTAATTTAATTTATAACCATGGAGCAGGGAATCTATGATAATCATAATCCTAAATAAAATAATACAATTTTACCTTATGTAGTTTATGTTCTATAATCTATTTGAGCATTGAAACAAAAGTTCCTGTTAATGGTTTGTATTTATTAACTGCACCTTTCTTTAACTCTTCATGATACAAATTGAATGCTGCTCCCATAACACTTGGCTCTTTATCTTGAATTCCTCTTCTGATTCTATCATCATAATCTTATTCTGCAATGCAATCTTAATTGAGCTATCTAATAATTTACATCACCATTAATGCCTAAAATAATCTTAAATTTATACTTTCTTTCTTACTATATCAGTATTGTGAGTTAATAATTTTAATACAGGTTCTGTCAAAGCATTGACAAAAGTTTTACTAATCAATTTACCTACTGCAGTAAGAGCATTCACTACTATATGAACATTCGTTGATGCTAGATCTTTTTGGAGTGTGGCTACCAATAATATTAGAAGTTCGCTATCATTATCCAAAAATAATGAACAACACAAATAACCCAATCTCTTCAGCGCTAAATTCTTAGATTGGGTTAAATGAATTGCATTTATGTGAACAAAAGATGCATCATGACTTTATACTTCACTTTTAAATGTTACCCTAACATTTCTATATAAATTGCTCTTATAAGCATTTCCTTCACTTTTTTAGGTGGCATATTCTTCTCATTCAGTTTTGTTTTTAATTATTGAACTTCTTTTATGATGATTTTGTCTTCTTCTTATTTGCTACGAGTCTCTCCTATCGATTTGATCAAATCATGTAATTCTTTGCTTAAATGCGATCCCGATGACATCCCAAATTTTAATAAAATATATTTTTTAAATCTCAATTATTTTTTCATATGCAAAATATTTTGTTCTATATTCTATACCTTTTTCATCTATTATTCATCAATAAAAATATTATAGTAACAAATAATTCATTACATTTCTAAAGTTTTAGAAGAATAATCAATAGATCAATTTTAGATTATATAAAAATAATGAACATCTATTATAATATACTTTATCTCATTTTAATGCAGCCAAGTATTCACTGTGTTCTTAAAATGGTGTTGATTCTAATTTGGTGTGTCCCCAAAGATCTGGAGTTAAGAAATTGTATGTTTCTTTAAGTGCATGGAATGTTGCTTTCAAAAAGTTTGATCTTGTTCTTGTGCTTCCTTTAGATTGAGTGTAACAATCTTAGATACCAGCCATCTATAAGACTTTCTTAGATGTAATGGCTGCCACAATACCAGTACCTCTAGGTGCTGGAACTAATCTAACTCTGACTGATCCTTCCTTTCCTGTAACTTTGCATGGAACAGTATGGGGTTAAGCAATCTTATTTCCCCAATATCCTTTTCTAACTGGAATTAAATTGAGCTTAGCATTAATTACTGCTCCTTTAATTGCTCCTTGTACTTCTTTGGCTGATTTCCATCCCAAACCAATATGTTAATGACCATCTCCAACTACTACATAGGCCTTAAATCTTGTTCTCTATCCTGCACAAGTTTGCTTTTAAACTGGACCTAATGCAAGTGGTTCCTCTTTCAAATTCTTAAGGAAGTGATCTACTATTTGATATTCTAAATTATGTTATTGATATTTCATACCCTTAATTGGAATAGAAAATTAGAAAATAGTTTCGAGACTCTTAATTTTACCAGCTTTCACTAATCTTCCTAATTTTGTCAATGGTGTCCACTCTTATTCACCACCAAATCTTCTAGGACCTCTATTTTATCTTGGAGCTCCTCCTTCTCTTCTTTCTCTTTATCCTCTTCCTCCTCTTCCGAATCCTTTCTTTTCTACTGGGGCTGCTTATTCTTATTCTGGTGCTGGTGCTTATGGTTACTCCTAATCTGCCATTAAAATAAAAATCTTAATTTAAAAATTTGTTTTCAAAGTTGTACNTTCTTATTTGCTACGAGTCTCTCCTATCGATTTGATCAAATCATGTAATTCTTTGCTTAAATGCGATCCCGATGACATCCCAAATTTTAATAAAATATATTTTTTAAATCTCAATTATTTTTTCATATGCAAAATATTTTGTTCTATATTCTATACCTTTTTCATCTATTATTCATCAATAAAAATATTATAGTAACAAATAATTCATTACATTTCTAAAGTTTTAGAAGAATAATCAATAGATCAATTTTAGATTATATAAAAATAATGAACATCTATTATAATATACTTTATCTCATTTTAATGCAGCCAAGTATTCACTGTGTTCTTAAAATGGTGTTGATTCTAATTTGGTGTGTCCCCAAAGATCTGGAGTTAAGAAATTGTATGTTTCTTTAAGTGCATGGAATGTTGCTTTCAAAAAGTTTGATCTTGTTCTTGTGCTTCCTTTAGATTGAGTGTAACAATCTTAGATACCAGCCATCTATAAGACTTTCTTAGATGTAATGGCTGCCACAATACCAGTACCTCTAGGTGCTGGAACTAATCTAACTCTGACTGATCCTTCCTTTCCTGTAACTTTGCATGGAACAGTATGGGGTTAAGCAATCTTATTTCCCCAATATCCTTTTCTAACTGGAATTAAATTGAGCTTAGCATTAATTACTGCTCCTTTAATTGCTCCTTGTACTTCTTTGGCTGATTTCCATCCCAAACCAATATGTTAATGACCATCTCCAACTACTACATAGGCCTTAAATCTTGTTCTCTATCCTGCACAAGTTTGCTTTTAAACTGGACCTAATGCAAGTGGTTCCTCTTTCAAATTCTTAAGGAAGTGATCTACTATTTGATATTCTAAATTATGTTATTGATATTTCATACCCTTAATTGGAATAGAAAATTAGAAAATAGTTTCGAGACTCTTAATTTTACCAGCTTTCACTAATCTTCCTAATTTTGTCAATGGTGTCCACTCTTATTCACCACCAAATCTTCTAGGACCTCTATTTTATCTTGGAGCTCCTCCTTCTCTTCTTTCTCTTTATCCTCTTCCTCCTCTTCCGAATCCTTTCTTTTCTACTGGGGCTGCTTATTCTTATTCTGGTGCTGGTGCTTATGGTTACTCCTAATCTGCCATTAAAATAAAAATCTTAATTTAAAAATTTGTTTTCAAAGTTGTACATATATATAAAAAATTACATTAAAGTGTATAAAATAATTAATTAATGATTAGTTTTCTTTTTATTATCCTTCCTCAAACATTTTGTTATTTTGAATAGAAATTATCAAGACATGTTTATAACTATGAATATTTTGATAAAGATGATATTGTCACTAGCATAAAACCTTAAAAATGTCCAAAAGATTTTTTAGATTAATATTATAATGGCACTTATATAACTTAAATATGTTTTACTAAAAATGTATTTTATAATCTAGAAGTTGTTTTAGGAGATGTTGTTAATAATTAAAGCATATTTTAATTAGCTGTATAAATTATCATTAATAAAAATTAGCTTGATTTAACCTCACCTTGGACATGGTACAAATCAAATTCTTGTTTAAGTTGTTAAAATATTAAATCATCAAATTTAGATAATTACAAATAATGTGAGAAATCAAAAAAGAAAAGAGAATGTGTTGATCAAAATTTTAAAAAATCATTCAATTCAACAAAATGGATCGATAAAAAAGTAAATGGTTAAATTTAATCGACACAATCAATAATTTAAGGATCTTTTTAAACTGAAACAATACAGTTACTTGCTTATAATTCTTCAAGGAAAATGAGCATTTCAGAATTTCTTTTTTATGAATGGGGAAATGAAACCCCACCTGCCTTAGTGAATATTACTAGTTTAGAGATGCTATAAGTAGATTATATTAATAGCGAATTACCAATTTTAGCAGATGGTGTTATTGGTTTTGGATTTGGCTATACAGAAACATAGGAAGAAAAAGCTTAAAGTGATACAGATTTTGTTGAAAAATTAGTTAAAGAAAATACTTAACTTCATTTGACCAGATAATAATTTGCTCTTTATACTTACCAGAGTTCATTAAATTTTTAAGAAATTGTAGTACAAATAGGAGGATTTGATTACAAATATGTTCATAAATAGGAATAGAATGTCAAATGGATAAATAGACTTGAAAGGTCTGGTTATTATTGGATGATCTAAGTAGATAAAATTTAATTTATTGTAATTTATATAAAATTTAATATAGAATACCTAAGGAAATGATTTAATAAATTCAAGTATCCCAATAAATAAAGCTTTACTCACCTTAAATTCATAATTTATAGAACTTCCTTATAATATTTTGATATCATTGATTCAAAAACTTGAAAATTTACATGTTGGAACTGAATGTAATTTAATAGATGATGAAGTATAATTGGAAATCGATATATTAGATGTATCTATTATATTGTAAAAACTTTCTTGTCTAAACAGTGTTTGATTATCGGTTGACCTTCATATTTGGAGATCATACTATTGTAATAGATAATTATCACTTGATTTATAGAGAATGTAAAAGTGTAAGTGAAAATTAGATGATATAAAATTGTATTTTCAACATTAAAGTTTCAGAATCTGATTATATCATTTTGGGAGAACCATTTATAAAAAATCATTATATAGTTTTTGAAAACTAACCAGGTAATGAAGTGAGAAGAATTGGAATTATGCCAGCTGCTATACATATGTTCTATCCAGATAATCCTGCTTAGTATGAATGGGCTTTGTTGAAGCTAGTTGGATTCATATTTTTTTTTGGATTGCTCAGTATCTGCTCGGTAACTTTTCTTAAAAGTTTATGTAAGGATCTCTACATAGCATTTAAGTATCGTAAGGTATTAGTATTAATATTTGTAAAGTTTTTGAATCCTGAGAATAATTAACCTTAAAAATTGATAAAGGATGTGGAATATGAAGAACATTCAACTAAAGATAATATTAAAACTGAATAAGAAAATAAAAATGAAGATTATAATTAAGCCTATGAATTGAATCTATAATAATAAGAGTAATTCAATTTTGAAGAGGTTTTTACTAATTTATATGAATCAAATGCATTATGATATTTAAATGATATACATTTTTTATATGGTTACATAGTATTTTTTTTGTGTGATCAAATTTTTGAATTTAAGGTTTCACCTTCTCCTACATATGTTATGCCATCTATTTTATTATGATCAGGAATTTTAGGATTTATTGGCGTATCATCTGGTGGTGTTATAGGTAAAGGATTCCTTTTAACGAAATCTTTAAGAGGAGACACTTGTAGATGAATTACATCCCAACTAAGAGAATTAAAGAATGGATGATTCTTTATTTCTTCATAGCCTCCTTTAACTCCTAAACGTTCTTTAGGATCATTTTTTAGTAATTTCTATATTAAATCACAAGCAGCTGGACTCATTTTTTTAGGATAGAGTGGATCATTTAGTAAAATTTATTTAGTTATCATCTCTACTTTTCTTTAAGGATCATTAAATGGTGGATTACCATTAATCATCTCATATATAAGAATTCCTATATAATATATATATAATTATATCATACCTAGTGTCCATATGTCTACTTCATAAGAATGACCTTGTCTTGTAATGATTTCTGGAGCCAAATATTCAGGTGTACCTGCTAAAAGATATGATTTCTCATTATCATTTCTTAAAGTCGCTAATCCAAAATCTGTCAATTTTACATGCCCTGTTTCAGTCAAAAGTATATTTTCTGGTTTTAAATCTCTATAAATAACTTTTAATTTAGTATTCAAATATTCAAGTGCTAATACTACTTCTGCGGCAACAAATCTTACAACATATTCTGGTAATCCACTCTTTTTACATTTAAGAACATTGTAAAATTATCCTCCATTTATACATTCCATCACAAAGAAAATATATTTTGGATTTTAAAATGCAAATTTCAATTTTACTATAAAAGGATGTTTGCTTTATTTTAATACATTTCTCTCTAAAACTGTATTTGTTTCCAAATTACATTCTCTGATTTTTTTTATCTAAATTTATTTCATCGCATAAATTTTTTAAGTATCTCTCTTTTTCACCTAATAAACTTTACCAAATGCTCCCTACTTATAATTTTTTAATACTTATCCTAACATTCCAATCTTAATAAAATCCTCTTGACTAATCTATTACTTAATTGGAGGTATTGGTGCTACTAAAATCGGTTTAGGTGCAATTTCATCTGGATATTTTCCTACAACTATATTCAATAATTACGGTTATTATCACTTATTGAACTAATAAATGATGCCTTTGGATCATGATTAGGACAACAATTTCCCATAAGTAATATATTAATAAATCATAAAAATTTTCATATTAAATTATTGATCCCTATTCTCATTCTTTAAACAATTCAGGATCTTAAATCCTATTTTGAATTATCAAAAATATCAATTAGAATTGAAAAATACAATTTTATTTTATCTATCTAGTTTTTTGCTATCATTTTTAATTGTTACAAATGTATAATAGTTAAAATGGTATTTCAGAATAAATGAACTAAACTTTTTGGATTTATTAGAGTCTAAAGATTTCCAATAATTTTAATTAAATAATGTATTTACCCACATTTTACAAATTAGGATACGAAGCTTGGACTGCCAAGACAAAGAGATTCATGGGAATTATGCCAGCTGTCGGATGTTGGGGTATACTCTAAAAAATTATTAAATTATAGCTGTCTGGGTACTCTACCCAAATCTTTACAACACATTATATACTGATTTCATTCCCCCTCCCAAAGGTAAATTTATGTCCCTAATGAAGGTGTCTAAAGAAGAGTATAAGATGCATGAGAGATTAATATATTATTATTTGAAAATTATGATCACAAAATACTTCTTAGCATTCTGACTTATCAAGAAATAAGTCAATTATTAAATTTCAATATATTTCCATAGTTTTTATTCAATATGTTATATATATATATAAATTCTAACACACTATCAACATTTCACTTATTTCTCCAGAAGACTACAAATTCGTTAGCCTATTTGGATTAAATTAAAAGTTACCATGTAAAGTGGATTTCAGAGCTTAATACTCTTACTAATTTTTTATTAAGAAATTTAAAATAGATTGTTGCATTTATTAATCGACCAAGATCAAAAATTTCTTGATCACATAATTTGCATATTAATGATTTGCCAATTATACAAAATTCGAAGCTACATAAGCGAATTATTATTGAGTTTGGTTTCTAAATAACAACCAATTTAGCACAGTTATCAATTCTGATTTACTCAAAGTTTCTAAGGCTCTTTCAACAGTATTACTAAAATTAAGATTAGATTACTGACCTTGCATATTTGTTAATGCTTAATTAATAAAACTGTTAGATTACAAGTTAGATTAGTCTAGTTTTCTCTGGAGAGGGAATCCAAAACTATAATATGTGTTAAAGAATATAGTTTCCAAATTCAGTTTAACTCAAGACTGTATAGTTAGCGATAGATTATTTGACTAGGTTGGCGATGTAATTTGGAGCATATTATTAGATGATTTTATGAATGATTTTACATCCATAGATTTGTTGAGCCATATAATGAAACTACGATAAATTGATTAAATACAGATTCTTCAACTATAGGGATAAGAAATTCCATTTTAGGTTTGTCATAAGATTCTAACATCTTAAAAATGACATAATTGCCATTAGAATCGTAAATCAAAGATCTCATATTCTAAACCAATTAAGAAAGTATAGAATTTTGGACATCCTCTTTGCCTTACGAATATTCAATTAATTTTTGCATAACTCTACATCCAAAAGGATTTTTAGATAAATCATAAAAGTGAGTTTTTAATTTGTTGAACATTCTAGTTTTAAGTTTAAGATCTCCACAACAATCAAAAATTTTTTGAACTACATAATTTCCAAAGACATCTTTTTCAATTTATGGACTTATTCTTTCTAGTTTTTAGACAATTAATAATTATTATTCTGGAGTTCCTGATTCAATAAGCTTCTACAATTTTCGAGAAATTATTTAATTTCCCCATAATGAATCCTATTGATAATTAAATTTAGTCATTACAATCAAACTTGAGATATAAATATCTGTTTCAATATCAGGTTCGAAATACATTTAAGGACTAGCTTCATTAGAGTGATAAACTCCCATTCCTATAACATTATCACTCTGAAGATCTTTGAAATATTATTCTTCATTGATTGAAATCACTCTTTAAGATAGAGCTTGTTTATTTATTTCTTATATGGGTGATTCCTGCAACCAAAGTTCTTTGATATATTTAAACTTTTGATCATTTAAAGATTGATTAGAGTGTGGAGAAGATTATCCTTCGTTAGCCTTATTTTTATTATTTCTTCTGATTAGATCTTTTTATAAACTTAAACTTTGGTGTTTTCTAAGCTTTTCCTCCTAATCTACTTCATCAATAAAGTCAAGAATCTCACTATGCTAGTTAGTGAGTGGATCTAATTTGGGAGAAGTGTCTAATGTTAACTGCTCAAATTCGGATTGAACAGAAATTGTGATAGGAGAGCCAATCTCCTCTTATCTTTTTTAAGAAACAATCTTACTTTTTTTTAGTAGGGCTACAGGATTGAATTCCTTATTAATAATTCATATGAAAATATATTTAAATATTATGCCTATTATATATATATAATTTCATAATCATTATTTAGCTCCTTTAGGTTATCCCTAAATCTTTAATAAAATAATCTACTTTTGTGCAAATATATATATAATGGACATTCGGAGCATCTTTATCCTCATTTGTAATGGCAATCGAAGTTGAAATCGTTGGCTTGTGAACTTATTTAACTACAACATTCCTGTATAAATTATATCTAATTCATTGTACCAATCATATTCAGGCTTTTCTAAGTATTAAAGTCTATGCTCAGGTAAACCATATGAAATAATAAAAAATATTCCTTTTGGTCCTAAAACTCTGTGAACTTCTTGAATTACTTTTTAAGCATTCGCAGAAGACGACTCTCCACACTTCAAATTTATTAAAGTTATACCAAAATTGCATCCAAAGTCCCTTTGTCTATTGCTCCATCAAATACTCCCTCCTCAAAATCCATAGCCCTTGCATCCATATGCAAATCTAGTTCAAACTAATATCTTACATTTGAAATTTGGACCCTTATCTTTGTATTTCTCTTACATTGCTTTTGTTACTACATGTGATATATCAATGTTTGTAATATTCTAATAACCTTCATCAAACATTTCTTCACTCAATCCTTGCACATTAAATATTATCATTACTTGAATTCCCTGCTCCAACATTCACAAGCTTACTCTCTGGAGTGAAACACCCTTAAACTAAATCTTTCACACCTGCAAATCTTTAATACCAATCAAATGGTTCAGGATCCCTAATTTTGCATTCATTGATCTTACCTTGTGTATCGTTCCTCCCAGTATTCTGCTTTACCATATTAAGACATTTCAAATCAAAATCAATTCGAATTAATTAATAATGTTTCTGTGTTTCAAATTTTACAAAATATATATTATAAGTTATCAAACATCATATTCCTATTTAAATATTATTATTATTACTACAGACTTCTCTTATTTTTTTATTTATTAAAATATTTTTAATTTACAATATGTTTCCCAATCTAAATCAAGACTAATTTGATTTATCCAAATTTTCCGATGAGCAAATAATGGAATTCATAAAAAGCAATCCTGAAGTGCTAAATTAATATTATTTCAATAGCTCAAATAAAAGTATGACCAATTTCTTTTCTAATAAAAGAAAGCCAATTTGTAAACAAACCATCTTAAAACTAAACCCTTGACAGATTCAGAATATTTGGTATAGAATATATTAATTTTCTTTTTACAGAAGCTCAAAGATATTTAAGAATATTTAGATTAAGAAGGTGGTATGATGATTGAACCCACACCACACTTTGTTCTTAAAGCTTTTGATCAAAGTGGAGAAAAAGTCTTCTTTAATGTAACTTCACATTCACTGGTTGATGCTCCTGAAGAGAAGCAACTTATTGATTATAATAATGAAGTTGGAATTAGAGTTCCTATGAGTGTTGGAAGTATCAAGGAAGATCATGATGTAAGTAATAATTATAATTTTAATCAATCTAGAGGGTGATACTTGTAAAGTCATTGATTTAGTCATTAATCCAACTGTTGCAACGAATCTAACTCAAGATGAGAATCTGAAAACATTTTTTTGTTAACTTGTTTAAACCTACGTAGATTAAAAATACAAACTCAAGTTGCAGGATAGTATAAATTAACTTCATACTTTAGAATTTATTTCTTTAAAAATGAAATACAAAGGCAAAAGTATTTAGTTTCAAAGAGTTAAAGGAAAAAAACCACCCAAAGTTTAAGTCATTGATGAAAAGCCTAATTAATCTTAATCTGCTGCTCAGAATCATAATGACGAAGAAGATGAGACAGAACAAAGTAAAATTAGAACTATAATAATAAGTAAGAAAAAGGCAAAGAGAGGAATTTGAAAAATAGTCATTATCTTCTCAAACAACACCTGTTATTGCCTAAGAACCTGAATGGGAATTATACTTGATCTACGACAATACAGAATTAGAATATGATGGTGATTTAGATTTTAATGCAATAAAGTAATATAGATTTCAAATTCTCACACCACTTTTAATTACAGGAAAAGCTATCAAATTAAAAGTAGATGAAGATTAATTCTCAATGGTAGCAGGCAAATTTTATAAAATTTCATTGAAATTTCCTTCCAAAGTTAATAAAGCCTCAGTTAAAGCTCTCTTTCTTACAGAAAAGCGTACTTTATGGATATCTGCAGATGTAAATTTTGAACTTTTTTATTTTTAGGTGAATAAACCAAATGAAGAAGAGGGAAATCTATAAAAAGAGAATTCTACTAAAGATTTTCAAAGTCATTAATCATAGTCTAATAGTAACTATGAATTACAAAGTAATTTAATATTTGATATTGTTTGAAATAATTAATTTCATATTAAAAAGATAAGTTAATTTTATTTTTATCATTTTAGTTCAATTGATGTTTTAATCATTCATAAATAACAAATTTAATTTCAAAAATATTTAGCTGTTAAAATGAATTATTTATTATCAGAATGTCCTTTTAACCATAATGTTGTAAAAGTCTTCTCTTGAAATTTCTCGACCATTAGAAGCTGCCCTTTCTAACATTTCCGCTAGTTCTTCAGCAGTCATTGTTTCCCCCAATTCTTTGGCTACCTAAAGGCTATTAGTAAAAAATACTCGTTTTAGGTTATTTAAATTAATAGCATTACTACCATCATCATCAAATAAATCAAAAATTTTGTTGATTCCTTCTCTTGTTTCTCTATTACCTAATTTAGAAGTAATGCCATCTAAGAACTAATCAAAATCAATTTCATTCCCTTCATTCTCCAATTCTGCAATCATATTGAAAATAGTTGGATTTTTTTAATCAAATCCTAAACTTTACATTGCTGCCTTTAATTCTCTTGGGTCTACTTTGCCTGTACCTTCTGTATCAAATAAATTGAAAGCTTCCTTTATCTCTTCAATTTCATCTTCAGTCAAACCTGGTCTAAAAATCAATTTCTTAATTATTTACCTGTCTTATTATTTTCGAACAACTTATTGCTATTTACTAACGGGTTTTTAGGCTACAGGAGCTTATTATTTTCTATTCATAAATGTTTTGAAATTTGAAAAATAATTATTATTAAAAGGAACAATAATGGGGCTTTAAATAGAGAAGAAGCTATACATAATTTGAATGCTCTTTAAATTAGAGTAGAATAATTGTAAATTTTTTAAAAACAATAAGATTTAGATTAAATATGAAAAAAAAATTATAATTCTTAAATCAGTATTAAAAGGGGAAAAAAAGGATCATTTAGAGAAAGTTTATTGAATCATTAAGGATTATAAAAGTTTATGAAAAAATTTATAAAGTGAGATTATTCGTTTTTTTATTATAATTAATTATTATGTTGCTTATAGCAGCTTTATTACTTTTAGGGTCTGCCAAACATTATATAGTGGAGTTAAAAAGTCGTCATACCTAAGAACATTTAATTGATATAGTGAATTTGTTGTAGCATTCACATGCTCAATTATTGGAAGAAAATAACTATTAAAAAATTGGAAAGGGAGTTGAGGGGGCATTGTAATTTGAAACAGTATTGTTAGAAAAGAACATTTTAAAAAAGAATTTAAAACATTAGAATCATTAAAATAAAAAATAAGAACACGTTCATAAGAAAAAGAAAAATAAAAACATGGTTGTAAATGAATCATTAATGGATGTGATTCCTTTGACATAAGAAGAGAAAGGTATTTTTGAAGAATCTGGTGCATTAGCTCCAGTTGATATACACATAGAGTAATAGATGGAACATTAAAGTTAAAAACTATTAACAACAGATAGAAATTAAGATGGTTCATATATTGCAGATGTACCTTTGACAAATATAGCAAATACAATGTTTATAGGTGAATTATAGGTAGGAAGTGCCTAAGGAAAAAATGGTTTTGATGTTATTTTTGATACAGGTTCAGCTTTAACATGTGTAGCTTCAGAATAATGTAAAGATATTGGATGTTAGAAGAGTAAACGTTATAATAGAGCAGAGAGTCAATCTTTTAATGAGATTGGTAAATCAGTTGAGATTGTATTTGGTAGTGGAACTTTGAAAGGATTGATAAATAGAGAGAGAATAAGAGTAGATGGTTTAGATTTGAAAGATGCATTATTTATAGAAGTGACATAATAGATTGGAGATGCCTTTCATGAGGGTGAATTTGATGGTATAGTAGGATTAGGATATCCACATATGACAGGTGTACCTACATTATTTGATTATATGATATAATAGCATAAATTACATTCAAATGTGTTTACATTTCATTTGAATAGAGCAACTGGAAATTCAGGATCATAATTAATATTTGGTGGCAGTGATGATTCACAAATAAAAGGAGAGTGGGTTTATCATAATGTCCATGAATAATTTTATTGGTCTATAATGGCAGAATAGATAAGAGTTGGTAATAAGGATACTGGAATATGTACACATTAACAAAAATGTAAAATGGTCGTGGATACAGGAACCACTCTGTTGACAGGACCAACTAAGGATGTGAGAACATTATTATCAATGATTAGAGTTGAACCAAAATGTTAAAATTATCCAACAATGCCAGATATCACATTTGTTATTGATGGACATGATTATATCTTATCACCTAAAGATTATATCTTGACAATTACATGTAAGAATATAATATAAAAATGATTAGCATCTGGAGTAGAGGCTCCCTATCAACATTCATCAATGGATTAGATTGTTGGTTGTGCTGGTACAATTTTCCCTTTGGATTTACCTCCAAAATAGTAAAGATTTAATATTAATTATATAGAGGACCTTTGTGGATCTTAGGTGATGTCTTTATTACAAAATACTCTGCTAAATTTGATAGAGATAAAAATAGAGTAGGTTTGGCATTAAATAAAAATCTTGAATGAAATTCATAAAAAATCATATCGAATAATTAATCATTCATTTGTACTAAAGTATTATTAGAATGTTTATAATGCTTCACTATTATATATCAATCTAACATCTTCTTTATTAAGTTATTCGAATGCTTAATCTTCGTATCCTCTGTCATCATGTAAACTAAGTGTGGATTTCTTTGTTAGCAATAGAGTTTCCATTTTATCTCTTTCTGCTTATTCACCTTAATTATATGGAGAGATCTTATGAAATATTCTAAATATTGTATCTATGAAAATAAGACATTCCATCATTGAATGATATTTAATTGATGCTTGTTCACTCTAGTCATCATATTTAGACATTTAACCACGAGTAGATATCATTTATTCTATATATAATAACAGTTATGTGCATTAATCAATTCCCTAACCAAGTAATGTAGGTGGACCAGTTCTTTTTAACTTCTCTTTTCCAAGTCTAAAAAATGTTATCATTATATCAATATTAAATTATTTGATTCGTGCTAAATATCTCTTTTTTACTGCCTTATTTTATACATACGATTCACTTAATGCAATTAAATATTTTATTATGAATTTCATTGTGCATACTTTTAAAACACTAGGTGGTCTCTTTTAAAATTAATCTGACAATTCAAACCAAAATTAATTTGTATACAAGTCATTTTTTTTCATTTATTAAAACATACTATGTTCTTCTGCTTAATTAAATTCAGATCTATTTATGTTACTATCTATATAATATTTCCATCTATATTCACATAAACCTGGGGTCATTTTATTATAAAAGAATATTTTATTCATTTAACTCGATATCTGTTAAAAATCATTTTAGAAATGTTTTTATAATTTTAACAACAAATCATCTTCTTATGAATTCCATTTTACCTTATCTAATTATTATAACTCAATATCCATGAAAAACAAATATTGTGTATTGCATTCTTAAATTTTTTATTAATATGCTTTAAAATCATTATAATATTTATATCAATCACCTTAAAATTATATGAAGTTTTTAGATGTTATTTCGTATTTCACTCCTTCAATTATCACATAAAGAGGCTATGTATTTCTTGAGGAATTAAATTCATCCAAAATTTATTTTAATTAATTCTGTTAATTTTACTCTTGTCCTTTGAACTATTAATATAGAATAGTATAACATACTTATTAGATATGTTCACTTAATTATCGTACCTATAATTCATTTACTCTTTATCTCAAAATATGATCTTTCTCAAATAACTCCTATGTTTTTGGTTATGTCATAGTAGCCATTACTCCTACCAACATATTCATTAAAAAGAATCCCACAAAAATTGTTAAAAATAAAAAGTAAAACACATATATTGCTTGATGACGTATCACTATTCTAGCTACATCTCCCCAACTATCAAATGTCACAACTTACAACATAAACAAATAAGTCTATGTCAAAGAATCAAACAATGGGTAACCAACATCTATTTTTATAAATTAATGTCCAATCAATGCCATTGTAAAAAGTAGACCACCTACAAAAATTATTATATGACTAACTCCAGGCAATACTTCAACGAATTTAAATAGTAATTTCTGTACATAGAGAATTGCAAGAATTATAAAAACCCTTAGCATTGGCCCAAATCTTATGTTCTAATAAATAATTAATGAGATTATATCAACTATTGTTGCAGTTGGACCTGCAATCAATAAGATTATTACTACATATAATCTAACTGAATATTCTTCGTTTCTTATTAATGTTTCATCCTATTATTTCTCTTCAAACTAATTTTTCTATTCTTTTATAAAACATCTAAATTAACAAATCTTCTAATAACATAAAAGACAAAAATATAATCCAAAGATAAACTCTATCACTATCTCTGCATATTCTATATAAAATAATTCACTAAATAATTCCACCATTGATAACAATATTTGTAATGAGATATAAACGTAGATTAATACTTCTGATTCATTTAATCCCCATGATTTACGATTTAATTGATAAGGAGTTTGATCCATATCCAATAATTTTAATGCATCTCTTATTTCTATTGAATGTCTGTACTCTAAATTCAATTCTTAATTTAGTACATCATCATGTTAAAAATCATATTCAAAGTTTCTTCTCAATGTAGGATTCGAATAATAACTCACAAAAGCTCCCAATAACAAATTGATGAAATAAAAAAACATGAATAGAATAAAAAATAAAAAGAATATGCTCCAAGCTTATCCATAAAATTTTGAAACTGATTAATTAACTTATAAATTCCAACTATCTAATGTTAGTACTTAAAACATTGACAACATTGATTTGAAAATGTTTCTAAAGAACTTAGGGCTTACCTCTTAAAATATCGAATATGCAATATAACTATACACATAATACGTTAAAAGTAATGCAAAATTTATGTATCTTGAGACATACAAAATGTAAAATACATCTTTTATCAATAATCTTAAATTAAATATTGTTTTACCTAATTTTTTCTAAACAAAATATGCGTAATAGTAACATAATATCAGAAATAGTAATTGCAACCTCAACAGTTACTATAGAAAAGTAAATGTTTAAAATTAGACTAAATGGGCCACTAATTATATCAATGATCATAAAACCCACACCTAATTAGATATGTTTATACCATAGTAATGTCTATTTAAATATAATTTGTTAATGAATTTATATTTAATTAGAAAATCTATTGTTATGACAAAGCTGAGAATAAAATTAATGATTCTGAATCTCATATCAACTTCATCTTATTTTCCACAGAAAAAAATGAAATTAATAAAAATCATGAGTCCTATGCAAGATGAAATAATTTCGCTTGTTTGTAAATAGAACCTTCTGACTGAGAACACCCATCCATCACCCTTTGTTAAAAAAGGAGGAAATAAATTGATATCCTTCTTAGCAAAAAGTTTAAAAGGCATGTAAAATATAATTTTATTAATATAATAAATGATCATTTGTAAATTTTTCTGATTGATTGTTTTAAATTAAAGAAGTTGTTATTAAACTAATATGGCTTAATTGTATTTTGATATATATATATAATTGCCATTGAAGAATTAGATTTGACAAGCAACAAGAAGATGTTCTGAAATATTTTATAATTAATTTGTATTCGTTGAATGCTCATAGATAAATTATCTGATCATCAAATTTCATAAAGTGGGTCATTTGCCTATTTGTCTCCGTAAGCTTATGAGGCCTTATAAACTTTAGAGTAAATTAAAAACAATAATATGCTTCAGCAGAATTCGTAAATCGTTAGAAGAGTTTCATCACAATATATTCAACAGTCCTAAAATAATTCCTAGCGTTCAACCAGTTAATTGTAAGCTTCTCCGATTCAATAGAGAAAAGATTTTTAAACAAATTAATCATTATCGTTCATTAAAGGAGCTTTATAATCAAATCGCACTAATAAATAAGAAACTGAAGGAAGTCATTAACCAAGTTCTCAAACTGAGAGATAGATTAGTTAATAATAAACTTTAGGTAAATCAGATGAACCTACTCCATTCTTTAGAGATACTTTATCAAGTGATCGCAACAATAAATGTAATCAAACTAGTTTAAGCTAATATTTGACTAAACATCAATTTTAATAGCAATTCAAATATATCAATGAAGAATTATAAGCATTTAAATAATAGGTTGAAAATGATGTATTGATTGAAACTGTAATAACTAAATTTGAATCTCCAAAAGATAATTCAAAAAACAGTCATTTATTTGCTGATCAATCATAAAAAGAGAATTTATCTCCTACAACTAAATTGATGATGAAAAAGAAAATGATATTAAATCAGATCCTCTCTCTCGATAATCAGATTAAGATCATGGAAGATGAAGAAACTAAAATTGCTCTTGATCCTTAGAAGGAAAGAAAAAAGTAAAATACTAATTCATCTTCTTAAAATAATTAAATTTTTGAAAGTCTTTATCATAGAGCATAAAAAAAGCAATAAAATTTTAAAAAACTTTTTGAAGAAAGCAATATCAATAAAAATTAATAAGAAATGAAAGAATGTACTTTTATTCCAAAAATAAAAAAATAAAATATATCTGGAAATTTTATGGAACGTTTGGATGATTGGGTTAAAAGAAAAAATAAAAAGATTATATAATAGCAGGAATAAAGTTAAGAAAGAATAATGAGAGAGTGTACTTTTAGTCCTCTAAATAATAAAAATTTATCTAAGACCAATCTTAATCATACTGCAGTTTATTAAAGAAATTTAGAATGGTAGAATAGATTAAATATTAAGAAATAAAAATTAAAAGTTTAAAATTCACTTATTTAAATGAGTGCCAAAAAAGAGTAGAGTACTCCATAAAAAATATATAAGAGATCTAGTTCATCATAATATTAGATTGATCTTGCTAAGATTTTATAGTCAACTAATTCATAAAATACTACAAAAAGATTAAAGAATTAATCTCCATTTCATACAGAAATTTAAAGTAGTATTCTTAATGCTTCAAATAAAAAAATAGAAAATATAGATATGAAGTATTTGTAATTATGCGAAATAGCCAATAGAATTAAAGCCAAATCTAAATATTGATTTTTAAATTTATATAGATATATATAATCATCAATAATTTAATGGGATCATTCTTGGCGGTTAATGTCTCACTATTTCTTACATTTCAATTTCTTTCTTCTAGAATCTTTGGCTTAAATTCACCACAATCATAATAATTACACAAACAGTTAAACAAATTACTCCAAAAATTATTAAATTTAGAGGATTATAATTATCTGGTAGTGTGATTTCTAATTACATAATAAATTCATATTATTACATTGATGGTTAATTTAGACCAAGGGATCCTTACTATGTCTTAATTAAATTTAAATTTATTTGGTTTTATCCTTTGTATATTAAGCTAGTTGTTAATTTTCATAACAACCACTTAAAATCTCATTTTTATCAAATACCATACAAATTGAATTCAAGTAAAGGGTACAATCTTCCAAACAATTTTCATTAAGATATTTTTAAATAGGAACACTTACACAATTTTATCCACACCAATTTTCTTTGTTTGTTATTGAATTAATGAAATGAGGCAATTAAAGTGAAAAATATTTGGAATGAAATAATTGATGGTTTGCCTATTATATTTCAGTTTAAAATGCTTAAATTTCATAAGTAAATTAATTCAACTTCTCATTGGTTTTGATAAGTTATAATTAATGAATCTTATTTTTTGTTTTTACAAACATTTAATTTTAGTAGGTTCCTAGATCCCTTTAATTCAATTCTGCTAAAGTTTTTATTATTTTCACTATTGTTATATTGGTATAAAATACTATTTTGTTCATTCAAAGCGTTAGATAAAATCATAAGAAAAGAGATTGTCATAAATAAAGTTCCAAAAAAGCCAAAAGCATAAAAAAAGAAGCCTTATTTTAATCCACCATCTATAATTATTAATTTTTAGTACTTTTAACAACTCCAAAAAGATCTAATTTATTAATCTATTCCATAATAATTAATTATATTAATATAATAGGAAAGAGAATTATAAAATATTTAATATTAATAATAATTCTTTTATTACTCACTTAAATTCAAAAGTACACATTTCACAAAAGTGGTTTGAATTTGATTGTAAGAAGGTACAAACTGGACATTACATTTGATCATCAGTTTTTGTTCCTGTTTCAGGTTTTAGATTTGGCATAAAGACTTAAACTTCTTCATCTATTCTTACTCTAAAATGAATGAAAACTTTACTATTTTTTAGTTTATTAAGGAGCAGAGTTATTTTATTCATTAAAATTAATATCCATTGTTTCTATGAATAATCCCCAATCCATAGAAGGAATGGTTTTCATAATGGTGGTCAGGTAAACAGTAGTTCTTGGAGGAACAACTTTACAAATTTTAGCTGGATGTCTAAAAATTTAGAAAAATTAATCACTTAAAATTGACCATGATATCTGGATCAAGAGTAATTTTATAAGCTATATGTAGGGTTTGATTGGTAGTATTATTAAGCATGAATCTTTTCAACATAGGAGCAATTTGAAGATCAACATCATAATGAATTAGTTATTAAGCAGTTTCACCGAATTAACTAGAGAATTATATTATATTTACTTACATTATAGGAATAGTATTAGTGACTTCAGTCTATTTATTTGAATCTGTAATACATTCTAATTCCATTTAGAATTAAGATAATTGCATCATGGATTCTTATTCTTTTTAATTAAGGGTGTTATTAATATCAGTCCCAAAATCAATTCCATCAATAACATCCTTTTTTTTTGGAAGAGGTGGTGGTTTTGGAATAGTGAAATTTCCTTACTTTTAAATAAGATTGTGAATATTTGAAGTAGGATCTACTTTAATAGTTTACAAGTAAATATTATCATAAAGTATAGAGATAGGGAAAACACTATTACTAGTCATAGTAGGTTTGGATTCAACAAAATAGACTGTTGATTCATAACATTCTAAAATGACTCCATCAACCTAAACAATACTTGAAATGAGTTCTGTTTAAATAGTATTTCCTAAAATATAAATAGGCTAAATAGAATCAAATAATCCAACTTCTGTTACTTAAGAATATAATGTTTTAAATTATTGCCAAAATTATAAAGTTTCTTCAATTTCTTTTTATTTGTTAAAAAATATGGTTGTTGCAATAACAGGGTATTTATTACAATCATCTAAAAATTCATTCAGAAATCCTTCAAACCAATCTGTATATTTTGAATACAAATAACATGGGGGTGGTAAATTAATCAAATAAGAAAATACTAATTTATTAACATTTGCAGTAGCTAAAACCATTTTCATTATTTAAATTGCAATATTTTAAAATCTTTTTTGATTCTCAAATAATAAATTAAGAATTGATATATTTTCATTTTAAGAACTTATATGAGATAAATAAACTATGCTAGGTGAAGCTAAATTAGTTTAACAACCTGTTGCATATTTATCTTAATAATTAGGCTCTGGAAAACCAAGTAGCCATTCAATACGTTCTTATTAATAAGTATCATAGATATTAAGGAGATTGTAAGCTAAACCTAAAAATTAACTCACATTTTCATAATTTGCTTTATTAATTTCTTCTAATAAAACTTCAATTACAGATCTAGATATACTTTCATTATCAAAAACCATTGTTTAAATTATTTATTTAATTGCTTCAAAATCTTAACATTCTGTCAAAGCTCTTTTGTAAAAGATTTAAGCTTAAAGACATATTGTATCATTTTTGGAAAGTTCATAATTTTAATTTTACAATAAGTATTGTATACATTAGAAAAGTTAAGAATAGAATGGTATTACCATTTTACTTGCCATAGTTATTTTTTTTTCCAAGATAAATTCATAAAATTTAGTTTTTTACAAACCTGGGGGAGATTACTTCTCCATAAAGAAATCTGCAAAAATAGATACTAATTCTATTTGATTAGCAAATTTAACATTTGTAACTGATGATTTTACGAAGTCTCTCCAAAATGTAAAATAATAAATAAATTTAGTAGGATTTTTGGCAACATCATTTTATAATTTTTATATCATATCTAATAAAAACCTTATAACAACTTAATCACAATTTACAGTAGTATTATCTGTCTGTAGAATCTATAATAATTCAGTATTTAATGTAAGAGCATGAATATAAGTGATAACATTAATATAATGCAATAGAATTTGTTAAATTGCTTATCTTATTGAATAATCTGGAGCACATAACAAAACATTAAAAACTCTTTATTATCTATTGACAATCAGATTTTGAAAAATTGAAAAAGCACTTGTAGGAACTATATTAATAAGATTCATTATTATAAGTACATATCCTTTAATAGTAGAATGATCAGATGATCTAGCAATCAATTCAATTGCTACGTATGTTAGATTTTATAATAAACATTCAATCTTTTCTACTCCTTGCATTTATTAATAATTATTGTAAATACCAAAATATTATGGTATTTATTCTGGATTGGTAATTAATATATAATCTTATGGAAATGGGAAAGCTTCTCCTATTTCCTTTACAAACCTAAAGAATTCATCACTATAAATGTGTCTTTCCATCATGAATCTATGATTATCATGCCAAATTTCTTAATATAAAGAATCTGGTATATGTTATTAAGTCATAGTTTTGTAATCAAGTTTATATGACAGTTCTAAATTAATTTCTTCCTAAATTACACTATCAAATTTAGACATAATCTCTTGTTTTTATTATAAATTAGAGAACTTCAACTCCACCTATTCTTTCTAAATTCTCTCATAAACTAAAATGTATGCATTTGTGCTACTTCCAGATTCTTAAAAATCTTAAGCTTCTTCTGTGTCTTTACCACCATAACATTCATGTGGTAATCTTTTTACATCAAAATCCTCAATTATTGAATCATTAAATTTTAACCATTTCTCATCCTTAGTATTAATTAAACTATAATAATGGCCATATTAAGCAGTACCTTTGTGAACAACTACTCCTTTTAATTTATATTAATAATATGACTATTATTTAATATCTTAATTAAGTAAGCCTTCCCTTGTATAATTAAATAAATTTAGATTATGCGGAAATTCCAAACGTGTACTTAATTTTTCATTCATGAATATATCTAAATTAAAAACTATTCTTTGGATGTGTACTATTAATACATTTGGTAATGTTTGCAAACATTATCGTTTAATAAGATCATTTTTTTATTTACATTATTCACAATAATAATCTTTAATTACTTCTCCATTAATCATACTTTCAAAGGATTCATGAATTGATTTCACTCCTTTCACTTTAACTGAAAGAGTATAAAATAAATCGAATTTTTCTCTCATATTTTTACAACCATTACATATCATTTAACTGCATGCTTAACCCCCATAAATAGATTCAATAAATTATTACCATCCTTTATTTTTTAATTAATTATCTAATCTATCAAAAAATTGATTCAAGAATTCTTAAGCATCCTACTATAAAGAGACATTAACTGGTTAATTATCATAATCTTTAAAAGAATAACAAAAATGTTATGGATTGCAATCAGGTCTTTCACTTAATTCTAAATAAGCTAACAATCTTTAGAATTAATGAATATAATTATCATCTATTTAATGTTCTAAACCTTAATTATCCCTAAACTATACAACTTTTGGTTCAACACCATCTTCAGCCCTCAACATACTGTATCTGAATTCAGGAGTCATAAAGAATTATTACATCATTGCATTCATATAGCAAATACATCCCAAATTTCGAATACCTACAAAACCATGATAAGTCTTGGGATTCAATTTGATATCAAATCCACTATAAATCATGATAGAATAAATAACTGCATTTAAATCTAACATCTCTGGATAATAGTTCTATTTTAGATACAATATTATTATTCTATAAACTATCTTTCTACTTTCTGGAGATTTACTCTTCACATAATCTGGAGTATATTATTTCTGAGGTGTCAGCTAAAATGTATTTAAATGGAAACAAAACAAATGAACTTAAAATAAATACATTATCAATTATTAAGTTAGGATACTTTAATCCACTATACTCAAACTTTCTAAAATCGATAGAAGGCCTGTAAGAGTTTTATCTGATGTTAATCCAATTCTAGATTCTGAAGGTTCATATTCTTTTAGTTGTGCTATAATATTTTCTGCAAATTTTTTATCACTGTATTTAGATTCCTGAATCAATTTGGCCAATAAATCAAAAAAAGATTAGGAATCTTTATTTTCATTTTTTGGGAACAGTTCAATTAACATATTAATTAGAGTATTACCTAATTGATTCTAACATTTAAATATTAAAAACAAAGAATTTCCTGCAAACTTTCTTATTAATAATTATTTAGGTGCATAAAGCAATTATTCATAACGTTATTTAATTGATTGTATAGAAGATACAAAATAATTTAAGCAATCTCCTAAATTATATCCTACTATTGTGGTGATCAAAATTAATACACATTCTATTATTAATCTATCCTCAGTAATATCCAATTATATGTTGATAATATATTTCAATAAATCAATATAATCTATTTATATATCTAATCCATTCATAAATTTTACTAATTCCAAGAATTCTTCAGTTTCTTTTACTCTTAATAAAGGTTTATTATCAGATTATGATGGATAAGTACCATCAATTAATTAGGCAATTATATCAAAATTAGCTTAAATTGGTTGTTTAACATGCTGTTAAATTTGGTATATATTATTGAATTAAGGTTTGTATTAGGCAGCTATATGTTTCATAAATATACTTAAAATCAAACATTATACTAATTTAACAATTTTATTGATTTCTTATTCTAAATTATTTAAAATTAATTGTAATTATTTGAATCCACCTCTTTAAACAAAATTTCTGCAATAATCTTCAGTACATAATAGATGTTCAATTATTTTGATTGAATAAATTAATTCATATGATCTATCTTTTGTAAAATCTTCAAAATTAAGTATTCTTTATTTAGCTGCTTCAAAAACAGGTAAAGAACATAATAATTTCCAGCATTCTTAAGCAACTTAATCACTTTATTTGATGAAATGAAACATTAGTCTATAAAATCTTTGATTATGAGCCAATTAATAACGAGGTAATTTAAATTCATCTAATTCAACATCATTATTTTCAAGCAGTGTCAAATCATTTTTATAACCAAATGAATGTAAATTCTTCCATACTATAGTTGTAATCTTCTATTAGAGACAACAATCTTCATAAAAGGAAATGAAATTATCTACTGATAAATATCCCTTCGATTCTCCATAAGTATCCAAAACTTCTTTGATTTTCTTTCCTTATTTAAAACTCTCATCATTTGCAGCCTTCACTCCAAAACTAGATAATTGTTCAGAATTCATTTTACCATCTGTTGAATATAATTCAAACAATTAATGCAAAACTTAAATAAATTTTGGTGTTAACTTGTTATTCTCAACCAAAGGCACTTAAGGAATTGGTTTTGTTTTTCTTCTATAAACATTTATAACTTCACTCTTTCTTACATTCATTTATTTAAGTGTCTTACCATTATCTGTATCTAATACTGTTACTCCATTTCTTACCAATTTCACTTATTCCCAATTAGTTTACAATTCTTTAGCTATCAATCTTCGTAATTCAAACATTGTCATTCTTGAATATACCTTTAATGTAACTCTATTACTTGGTGCGCCATCTCCCATATCATTTATAATATTTATACTAAATGAATCTCCTTTTACTAAACCATCCAATGAAAGCAATGATCCTACTCCCTTTGTCTCAGTCTCATTCAATAAATTTTTCAATACTTCCAAACATTTCAGAATTATATATTCATCTGTACAATCCATTTTATCTAAAATCTTCTCAATGAATTATTCTTATTATGATAAATTCAATTTCACTAATAATTAAACTGCTTTATCAAGTTAAGAATTAAAAACTATATGCCATAAATATTCTATTCCTATGATCTAATTAACATCTACTAATAAAGTTAATTCTAATTGTTAATCATTTTCATTCACATTTGTATTTGTCATGCTTATTACATTTCCATATTGATCACAATTTTAGTTTAAATTTTATTATTGTCTATGCAATCGATATTCTTTCTAATTAATATAATACAATATCGCCTAAAAGCAATTAAACGCACTCTCGCTCAAATGTGAATCTGAATTTAATAATCTTCTAAAAAAAAGATCTAATTCTGTCAAACTAAATTACTCATCCTTCTCTACTAAATCTCTTAACCAATTACTAGCCATATCACATTCTTATTTACAAATAGGTTTCAAAATGAGTTCATTCCATATCAAATCTAAGAATTATTAATCTATTATATTTGTAGCAGTGCCATTAATTTTAATTAGAGTTTTAATTAGTAAGATTCTTTCTTATAACTTGTTCATGTATCGAGCAGATTCTTAAAGATTATCTGCATTGATACCTTTATTTTAAATACGAAGATTTTCAATATTTTATCTTAGAATATGATGTATATTTGATTGTTAAACAAGTTCTTTCACAAATTCATCTTATGTTATTTCTTATGTTGTTTTGTTTTCATAGTTAGATGATTAATCAATTTCTTCTTGAATTTTTTATGCAATAACATTTTGAGAATTGTTCTACACAAAAGGATATATCATGACTTATGTTTCTACATTACTATCTGATTGTTATTAGGGTTAAGGTTATGGTAAAGGTAATTGTTTTAATGGAAATGAACATATTACATGAGATAAAATTTTAATAGATGAACTCTCTACTTTCATTTATTAAATGTTGTTAATTAACTTTTGAACCATTTATACTTTGATTTCTTTAATTTCAAGATTCTTAATCAAATCGCAAAGATACTATCTAGATTTGTCTTCTAATGGTTGTTTGGATGCTTAGCCTGCATATTCAATAATTTTCCATAAGATAACTATAGCTTAGCATATTAATAATTAATTTTTAGTTTAATATCTATTCATTTCAAAGAGTAATTAAACATGTTCAATTAAAATTTAATCTTCTTTCAACAATTAGATTTATTTTAAGAAATAAGAAACATGTTAGATTCTCATTTAAAAAGCTATTTCATTAATTAATTTGAAAATGATTGGTCTTAATTCATTATCATTTTATTGCATAAGATCCCATATCATTTTCAAATGTTTAACTGTAAAGGCATTTTCAATAATTAAATAGAGTCTAATCAATTCTTTAGTTCTTTCAAGTAATTGAAGATGAGTATTGTGATGAAATAATGTTTCCATAATATTTTCAGTTTCAATCCATTATAAAATAGTTTATGGACACTTATCAGTGCTGGCTTACTTTAGCATATCAGTTAATAATTTTAAACCCATGATTTTTTTATCTAAAAAATTACAATTAAAACAAATCTAAACAAATTCCAGACTCAACTTTTAAAGCCATTCTCTTCTTTAATCTTCATTCATAATTCGATCTAATAGAACTTTAAATGCTTAAATAATTAAATTCATTTTTTCTCTTCCCATATTTCTTAGAGTCTACTCATCAGAATGAAGTAAAGTTTATCTTAATCCTTGTAATTTAGGTATATATTCAAAACAAAAAGATCTGAATAACTAAGCATGTATATTACCTATAGCAGACATATAATTAGCAAGAATATCAACAGATTATATGTTGAGTACTTTATCAAATCCACCTAAATAACCAAAATGATTAATAAATTAAATTAAAAGAAAACTCTTAGATTATTTAGGTCTTAATATAGCATAAAATTTATCTTCTTAATAATCTTATTCATATAGAATGTCATAACTGTCATCTATATATTATTCTAAAGAATTGAATCTCCTTAAAATGTGATCTCCACAAATAGCCAAACGTGGATGACAAGCTGTGATTGATTCATCATGATATCTATTATAACCAATATATCTCATTAAAGATCCATCATCTACATTTGTTCCCTCTTCTGTATAAAAACGAAATGCCACATTATATTTAAGTATTGGTTCTTAATCATTCTCTTCAATACATTCCTAAATAGTGCTCAATACCCATTTATCTGATTAAGTTGCTAAGATCAATTAACCAACTTAAAGTTTAAACATTTAATCTAATTTTTAAGACCGAGTTTTAAATGGCATAATATTACCACTTCTAATATTGTAAATATTTTTGACAGATTATTCATTTAGATATCTCACTTTTATATTATCTTCATTTAGTTCTTCCACTACTCCTCTAGACCAATTATATCTCCCTGTACTACGACATAAACGCATACAATCTACATAAGTCCCTACTTAAAGTTAATCTATAAATTGCTTGTATTGAGGATTGAGCGAATAAGAATATTTTATAAACTAACTTTATGCAATTTATTACTTGATCATGCCATTCAGTACGATGTGCATTATGCTCATAAATCATACGAGAAGGATCCATTATTGTCCTAAACATTTAACTTACCTTCTCCTCTTACAAATTATTACAAATGTATTTCAATACACACTTTATAAATGCTTCCAAATTGAAAATCACTCTTTCTGGGTAACCTTTATGATTTATTATGAAATTCACACAAATATTTACCAGCTCTGGCAAATATTATCGACCGTCTGCTGTCACTGTCTCTTCCATATACTACTCTACTCTTTATAAAGCTTGCAGAATCGGCTCATATTACTATTCACTTTTCGCTGTCTTTAGCTTTTCCACTTAAGACAACAATTATTTCATTCCCTATAATTCTTCACTCATTTATATTTATATTACACTCTCAAATTTTTGAAATGTACTTATATAGTTAATATATTAATTCAAATATTTATTTCAAGCATTCCTACATAACAAATGCAAGTCTCAAATACTCACACACTTTTCCTATTATCCATTAATATCTTATTAGTAATCTTTTCAATCTTTCTTAAGTTTTAATGCTTTTTTATAATAACAATAATCTCCATCTTATAATAAGATCAGCATTTCCTACTTACCATAATCTAATATTTATTATATTAAAAGAATCATGGTTGCTATTCTTGTGCCAAATATTAAATCCGATAAAAGACTTACTAGATTCTGGTAAACTCTATGTAATTTTTAGTCACTCAAATCTCAAGTTATAAAAAAGAGTTCATAAGTACATCTCTCTATATATAAAACCATCTATTGATGTTTGAGAAAATTTCAAACATACATTTACAATTTTTCTACATTTTTAACATTATAATAAATACCTTTGAGTATTCAATATGGAGTATTATTGTAATATTATTAAAGTTCCTAATATACTATTTGAATAACTATTAAATATATCACTTTTTGTTTTGAAGTTTAAATTAAATTGTCCAGTCTCTCTATCTATCAATTCTGATTTCTAAAGAATTAGGAAAATTCCAAGCTTAAAAAACTGTAAGTTCCCAACCATTAAAAAATGTTAGCATTCCAATTTTAACTTATCTGATATCAATGGATTCATAACCTACAATCCTAATTTATTTGCAATAATATGTTATTTATTTTAGAAAAAATGCATTTTGTTTTTTTTATAAAATATGGGTTAACTTGAAAGGGTAAAGTAATCGGTATATTTAAATTTCTGTTTTGCTTTTTAAAGTATTTCTCTGATTCTCATATAGATTAAAATTCATTTTTTATACTTAAATTTTTATCACTTCAAATGGATTACTCTAATTTAGCTTTACACACAAATCAATCTTGAGGAAATAATTATCTGAGAAGGTTTTAGATTTATATTATATAACTTTTAATATAATAAATAAAAATCTGAAATTAAAAAGAATTATTAATAAGAAATTCTAATATAAATTGATTATAATTTAATAAATCTATATTATTAATCAAATAAATAATACTCATTTTCTAAGTTTTCGATCTTTTCGTTATTTATCCTCCAAGATTTCCTTATATTTCATAGATAAATCAAAATCATCCAATTACCATCCAATTAAATCTTCTCTATATGATGAATCTGAAGCTAGCGGATATCTTTCAGGTTTACACTTGAATGGAAAATCTTTCATCAAATTAAAAATTGTTTTTCCATTTAATTTCATAACTTGTTCTTACTACCAACTAAAATATTATTTCTAAAGATTTAATACTTTCCTTCTATTTCAGCTAAAACTTATGCTTATTGGTTAGCCATTTTAATTTTGCCATCTTTTTTGTACTTTTAAAGTATACTTTGATTCACTGAGAATATTTTTCCTTCAAAATAATCATATTGAGTTTTTCCCTTTTTTTAGGGATTGAAATACAACTCCCCTATATTTTCATTCTCATAATCAATATATAACTATTGTCCTTCAGTATAAAAATAACGATCCCCAATAGTAATACCACTTACATATCCCTTACAATAACTGTATTCTATCTTATTATGACTAAATTCTATTACTATTTTACCCTCATTTCCTCCTGTTACTGTATTAACCCCAATATTGGCTGTTGATTCAATATTACCATATATTTTGTAACCTCTACCATACATAATAAATGCTGCAATTGGAGGATGATGATTTATCTATTCTAAATAAACTGGACATCCCTTTATCCATAATTAACAAGTTTCTCCTAGAATTGGGTTGAATGGTTTCTCTAAATTCAAATATAGAATAGTGAATGAAAGTGAAAAAGCCATTACTGATGCCATCTATTATACTGGATCATTTGGAATATTTTCAAGGATTTGGGGAGCATAAGAAAAAGATTCCCCAAATCTTTATAAATTTGTTCTCTTTTCAAAAACATAAACTGGCAGAGATACACTTAGTATTGATTTACCTTTTAAAAGATTTGATCCTATTTTGCTTATTATATACCTAAATACTTTTTTCTAAGCTTCCAACTTTTTAGTATTCACAAATTTTAGATAACCTTTTTTATTATCAAATTACCATTCATCTTTATAAAAGAAATGCTAACCCTCTATCTCTTTAATTTATTCATATTATTAATCTTCCTCTTTTATTGTAGTTATATAAGGATGCAATTAAGAATTCCACATTTAACATTTTTAAACAAAGCTCAACAATTCCTTATAAAATTCATCCTAATTTAGGATCAATTATGATTTTTCCCATTCAGGTCGAATATCTTAATGCATAAATTCATCATCTAATTCAATATCACTATTAGAGCCATCTCCAAAATTTTATTGTTAAACATCTTTCACATTCTCTGATGATATCTTCTATTCAATATTTATTTTTTCATTTTATCCACTAACTATTTTATTAACTATATCAACATCTAAAACTTATTTTTGTTCTATTGTTTATTCTTAATTAATTATGGCTTCTTACGTTTATTAGTTAATTAATGTACCATCTTAAATTCTAATCTAATTTAAATTTGATTACATAGAATCATAATTATTCTGAAATCTTGGTAAATGTTTTTATTTAAATTACACATGTTATAGAGAATCCTATGTAATCAATTCATTCTCTTCTTTCTATTATATTTATGGTTACGATTTATGCATATAATTATTTACTGCAGTATTCTCAACAAATTCTGCAACTTTTTCTTTATTAACTAATTATTAAGTTTTTTTAGATTTAGCAGGATAATTTTCATAAATACTAATTAAATCTAAAATAAATTGAGGAGTTTATGTTTACAATTTTAATTCCATAACATATGAAATTAAATGAGCATATTCTTTTAAATATTAAATTGTTAATTATATGTCTTAATTTTAAGTTATATATCCACCATTAATTATTTTTGTATCTACAATGAATAGTTTAGGAATATTTTGAAATAGAAACACAGCACAAATGTTCCAATTTATATTACTGCTACTTTTATCATTCGATTTTTCAATAACAAAAATTGCATTATTTTTGAAATAAAATTATCTTAAATAGGTGAAAATTCTTGTTTGATAAAAGTATTCATAAGGTAATCTTGTCTCTTTAATTTTTACAGTTGTAAGACCTAAATTTTCTAATTACTCAATATTTTGAATTTATTTATTCCATTTTGTTTGTGTTTTTGTGTCAAATAGAGCCATAACTATCCCACTTAGAGTAGCATCAATTATTGGTAGATAAACTCTGAAATTTTTACTATCATATTTATTTTGCATGATTCTTATGCTATCTTAGAATAAATATAGATTGAATTAAGATTCGTCCATCAAATAATCATAACTTAATTTATTTTTAAGATCTTCAAAGATAATAGATAATTCAGGTTAATCTATTTGAATAATTTTATGATTATCTTAAATTTAAGGTATAATAGTTGATTCACTTAGAGGTTACTGCAGAAATGTTATTTTTTATTTATCAACTTAATTAAGATTTTATTATTTTTAAAATTCTGATTGATTATCTAATTAGATGATAGAATAATGTTTTTATTGTGTAACTTCTTAAGAAAAGAACAAATTTTGGTTGAAATTTATTCTTTCTCGATCCAATCTTTTCAATATTTCTATATTAATATCTTTAGCCATAGGTTCAACTGTCATAGTTTCATATCTAATTCCTTATTTACCCTAAGTAATACATTAATTAATATCTTTAAACCATTAATTAACATAATTTTTATCGTCATCTGCAAACCAAAAGTTTTGAGAGAGAGACTTGTGCAAAAGTAAAAATTTGTATCTCTTATTATCTTAAATGGGATTTTAGATTTAAAAGAAACGTAAATTAAGAATGATTTCTTTTTGAGTCTATATAATCAATTCACATAGATCAATATCTATTGTTAATTATCTTGTTTTCCAAAATGATTCATCTTTAATTCTGATATCAATTTAGCCTGTCTTTTTTGGTTGAAACATATAAATGCGAATGGTTTGTCTAAATATATTTTCTTTGTTTTCCCTAGTCACCTTTAATTAGCTTAAATCTTTATTAAATGCAAGATCCTAATATAAAGATTCAATTTTTTCTATAACATTATCTGATATTTCAAATGGATGAAGTTATTAATACTTTTAAAATCGTTTATATAGAAAAGCAATTGATTCTTCTTAATTCATTTATTAAAACTAATCAAAAATCATCAAACATATGTTATTTTTCATCATCAACTGGTTAAATATCGTCCCTTTCTTCAGGATACTTGTCAAACCATTATGAATCAGTTTCATTTCTTAAAAAAGGAATCCAAGGAGGCTAGATTTACTTTTCATAGACTTTTTACCATGGAACACCTCTAAAGAATTTATGATTCATTAAAGCTGCACCTTCCTAATCTAAAAAGATTTAATTACATCTTCAACCCCTAATCTTTTGTTAACATCAGAATTTAATAATTTCCTTATAACATCTTTTGCTCTTACATGTAAAAACTTTGGAAATTCTATTATACCATTCAGAATCTTTTTATAGATATTTGTAGGTTCGATATCATAAAAAGGAGGATGCCTTAAATATTTAATATTTCTAATTAATACCCTGCTAACATTTCAAATATTAATACGCCTAATGCCCACCAATCTATTGATTTTCCATACCCTGTTTTTGCACCTTAAATTAATTCAGGAGCCAAATATTCAGGTGTACCACATAAAGTTTAAGTATGATTATTCTTAATCTTTTTTGCAAATCCAAAATCTGCAATTTTTATATGTCCTTCTCTATCAATTAATAAATTCTCTGGTTTTAAATCTCTATAAACAATTTCTCTTCTATGTAAATGCTGTATTGCCAATAATATTTCAGATACATAAAATAATGTAATATCTTAACTAAATCTACCATCCTTTCTTAATCTAGAAAATAATTCACCTCCCGATACAAATTCAAATAGCATATATATACATTTTGCATCTTAAAAAGAGCCTTTTAACTATACTAAAAATGGATGTTGAATTTCATTTAAAATATTCTTCTCAGATTTTATATGATCAACTTATTTTAATTTAATTATCTCATGTTTCTTCATTATTTTTAATGCATAAACTTATCTACTTGGATCGCGTTTTATTCGAACTTGTTTTACACGTCCAAAAGTGCCTGTACCCAATGTTGTATACACTTCAAAACTATCTATCGAAAGGTTTTAGAAAAGTTATTTATCATTAGGTTTTCCTTAAACAGATTAAAATGTTGGCTCCTCATCTGATAAATCCTCATTCATTCGTTCAAATTGTAATTTTTATAACTTACGTTACAGTTCTTCAATTTGAAGTTAGTTCATGACAGTTAATAAAATTAATATATATATTTATTTTTCTGTCTGAATTAATTATTTTTATGAAATAGCTATTCTACTTTCTCCTTCTATTAAAAAATATTATCCTTTTTATATTCAATATGATACTGTTTATTATATTGTATATAAAAATATGATAAGATAATAAACTAAAAAATTGGATTAATTTTATAACTCAAAATAATCATAATAAGATTGCATCTTATATAAATTCATCTATACATTATTCAAATACCATATCTCCTATTTCCATCAAAAGCTCTAATTTATCATCTGATGCTAAATTCCATCTAAATTCATCTTCTTACATCTTTTTTATATAAATAATTATTTACATCTTAAATCAACATTTTATTGACTCTTTATTCTCTTATCTATATGATTGGATCATAATAATATTAAAAATCTGAATCATATAATTCTGGATTCTGTTGAGCATTCATTTGTTATATCATCATTTCTGAACTCTTTGCTTCTAAAATCACTTATTTCTCTCTTGGAACTTAATATTCTTCTTCGATTGGTAAAAATCCACATAAGCAATTAGCAAACTTCATTATTCTAGATTCCATTTTACTCAAAATATCACAAAAATCTTCACATTTAATCTCTTAATGTGGAGTTCTAGTATCCCAAGGATAAGGCTCTCCATTTTCTATGATATGAATAAATAATAATTTACAGTAATAATATGGTCTAAAGGTATTCAATATTTCATTACATGCATCAAAAATAGCTCTATTATGAATATGTTCAAGTTCTTTTAATGCTTTTGAAACATGATTCATATTTGAAAAATCATTTTCTTAAAGGCGATAAAATTCATATTCAAAAAAATATTAATCCAACATCACATAATTAACATAATCTTAATCTATTTTATTTTAACAATAATTGCCATAAAATAATTCTAATCTTTTTTATGGAGAATATCCATAAGGAATATTTATCTTTTTTACAATCTCTTCACCATATTGAGGTAATATATAATCAAAAAAATTATGAAGATAATATCTAATCTCAAGTATTGATGTTGGTATTTAAGACATAGATGGTGAAAACTATTAAATTAATAATCCAAATTAATCTTGCTTATTTAACAATTCTAAAATATTATTTATTTTTACCTTCTGTTAGATTTTCAAATACTTCATTCATTAACTCGTTTGCTATATAATCTAATTTCTCTTCCATATTCATTTCTTAATTTGGCTCAATAATAGCTTCATTAAGTAACTATCTTTGTTCAATCTATTTTTCTTAATCGAAATCTTCAGATTAAGTCTCTTCAAGTTTTTCTAATTCATTTTCAGATTGTACATTTATTAAATTTAAAATTTTTATTTCAGATTAATTTTATTTTGATTTTTTTAAATTACTTAATCTTTCATCTACTTTTTATTTAAGACTTATCAATTTTGAATTGTTTTCATCAAAACTTGATGCAATCATTAAATCTCTTTAAATCTTTTTCATAGCACTTGCTTCTTTTTTTTTACTTAATTCAATGTACTATCTAGTAATCTATAAATCTTCTAATTCTTTTTTTAACCAAATATTTAAATCTCCTTTCTTTGTTTCATCATTCTCAATTTTTTTTATTTCAGTCAAATATCTCAATTATATAGCTTCTTCTCTCATATTTAAAAGTTCTGTTTCTTTTTTCATCAATTAAGATTATAATACTAATAATGATGATTTACTAATTTCTGTTGTTTAATCTTTAGATGATTAAATTAATCTAACTTCACTTTAATTTTAAAAAGCTTTAACTTTCTTTCTTAATTAATTAAAGTTTTTTTCAAAACTTAATTCTTAAGAATATCTCAATTTTGTATCAAAAGAATGCTCAGATTATTGAGAATTTATCTTAAATTTGGATAGTTAAGTCTTAATAATTGAAATTATTGCATGTTTCATTTGTTTTTTTAAGTTTCTCATAGCTATTTTCTTTTTTTAATCATTATCATAAGTATCTAAATTAAATTTCCATCCATTCAATTAATTTTAAATTTCATCTACCATATTTGTTTGTTCAAATTGTGAAGCATTCTAAATACTTTATGAGTTGCTCAATTAATTGCTTTGACAAATTTAAAAATCTGTTTAATTTTCTATAACTAAAGGAATTTTATTAATTACTCTTTAATCTTCTATTATTTATTTAGGCTTTAAGTTTTTAATCTTAACATTATCTTACTCTTCTTATTATTAATTTATTTACTATTTACTTCCTACTATTTATATTGGTACTTTTTATTTTAATACTTTATTAATCTAATTTTAGTAAGATTTCTTCTATGTTTAATCATTAAATAAAGATTTATAATTTTTTTAGATTAATCTTTTAATTTCTATTTAATAAATTCTTTAACCTTTTTATTTTAATCTTTAATAAAATTATTTCCAAGCCTTTTATATTTTCATTACAGCTTATTACATGCTTTGATATATTAGAAGTTTAAAATTAAAATCAGACAAAGTTGTGTTTATGCTTTAAGAATCTTAAAACAGTAGAATTAATTTTTTTATCATTTTTTATAAATATAAAGTGGGAGAGTATTTCCTAAAAAAAGCATCAATTTCATTATTTAGTATTAAATCATTATCATTATGATGATGCAATTTATCAAATTATTATTAATTATTTTCTGCTTTTTTTTCGTTTAATTTTGATGATGAAGATCTTCTTCTTTTCAAAGAAACATTATATAAATCTACAGTTTTTAAGAAATTAGGTTATAAAATTTCTTATTTACTCTAATCGGCTTGATTTTGAATATTAGCTGGATTTCTTTTTTATTTTTTCATTTTCTTTTTTCCTTTTTTGGGTGATTTGCTTTTTTAATCTAATATTTTATTCTTTGTAACTATCTTTTATTTCAACTCTTCTAATTTAACTTGATTCTCTATTCTAATTCTAATTTTATAATTACTTTTTTTTTTATTCTTGTAATATCTAAATTTCATAATTTTTTGCATTTATAGAATTTTAGGCTTTCTTTAAAGTCATATATAAATCATTTGACTTTTTATGAGTCTGATTTTATTATTCTTAAATATTATCTTCTTTTTTCGGTATTGATTATTTAAGCTAATTCTTTTATAAATTTTATTGTTTTATTTATAATTTAATTGTATTGTCTTGAATATTCTCTACCTTAGATTGTTATTTTTTAAATACTGTTTGACTTTAATTTATATCATTATTCTTAAAATTATGTTTTCGATTTGTTGAAGTTAATGATTAAATTGATTGTTTAGAATTTTTATATTAAGTTGGATAAAACGATTTTTTTGTTGTGTTCATTAGAGAAAGCACTTTGCCTTGCTTTTTCTTAGAAGGTCTTTTCTTACTAGAGTTCTAAATTTGCATTGATTATGACTTAAGTTTATTAATTTAATCTAATTGTTTTTCAGGTGATTTTACTCTTGAACTATTTCTTTATCTCTTACTATTAATAGAGTTATTTGGTTCTTGTATATTACTATCTTAAAATTGGTTATCAACATAATTTTAAGTATTCATGTTAGAAATAAATTATTAAATATGTTTAAATTTGTCACTTTAATTATGAAAATATAGATAATGATAAGGCTCTATTTAGAAAGAATGTTAAACAAAAAATTAGTTACTAAGTAACTATATATTTGAATATATAAATGATAATTTTGATAGTGTTTTAATTAATTTAGAATTTACTTTGAGTAAAAATTTTTGTAAGATAAATGAAATAAAGTATTTTTTGCAATAAAAATTTATTAAAAGAATAAGTATGTTAATATTAATAAATGTTTTTGCCATCATCATGACCTGAATTATTTTATTATTTGAATTGTTAAATGCATTCAAAAGATTTAACATTAAACTTTATGTTAAGTTTTTAAGAATTTTGATACACTAATAGATAAGAACCATATAAAATAGAAAAGAAGAAGAGAAAAAAAAATAATAAAAGTTCTGATTTCATTTAGACATGTCTGTAAACTTAATGGATACCCCATAATTAATTAAATGGAAATGAATTTATAAAATAATATTTATTCCATGAAGAAAATGAAATTGAATTTTAAGATAGTTCTATATCCATAAAGAGATAACCTCTTTTAGATAGAAAGCTTAGTTAAGATGGATAAAAAGAAAATAGAAAATCATCTTTTTATGATGGGGCTTTAAGTTAATTGAAAAAATCAATACTTGAAGTTAGTTTGCATTAATAAATTGAAAACATGTAGAAATTAATATAATTGTAGCCTTCTCTTTAAGAATTATATAATTCTTTGGCATTAATGAGTATCGAATAAAAATGCCATCTACTTTTAAAGTCTGTATAAGAATAAGAAGTCTAAGAAATTCTAGCAATTATAGATCATTTTAATACAATATCTCCTAAGCCGAAATTAAGTGAAATTTATGATTAAAAATAACAGACTCTACTTCATATATCATGCTTTAAAAACTTACAAATTGCTGTTGAGAAAATCTTAATTTATGAAAAGAGTAATTCAAAAATTGAAGAATTTAAATAGTGGTTAAATAAAAAAAATAATGATTCATTTACAGTAGTACATTTTGCTGCATATGTTGGATCTATATAAACTTTAGAAATTTTAAAAAAATTTGGAGCAGATCTATAAGTAAAAAATGATTAAGGTCAAATGCTCTTTCTATTGCAGCATAAGGAGATTAAGTATCAGCAATGGTTTGGCTTTATTTGCAAGGTTTATCTTATACTGAATAAGATGAGAAAGGAGGAACACCTTTACATTGGGCTACTAATTATGGAAGTGAGTTTGCTGTTTAATTTTTATTAAGTTGGTTATAAAAAAGTAAGGATGGCAAAAATATTATAAATTAATAAGATACTGAAGGAATGACACCTTTACATTTAGCAGCAATGACTGGAAATCAAAGAATTGCTAAAAAATTATTATATAAAGGAAGTTAAAAAAATATTAGAGACAAAAGGAATTAAACTCCAGCCTAAACAGCATTAGAAAATGAATACGAAATAATCTATTAAATATTGGAAACAAATAATTGTCTATTTGAATTCTTAAATATTCGAACAAGGTAAATGCAAAGTTCCTTCTTACCTCATTTTTAATTGGATTGATTTTTTACTTTATGACTATGTTTATTAATCCAGGATATATTTAAAAAAATAATGATTCAAGATAATTATTTTCACTTCTTACTTAATATGAACCTTGGGAATTATGTCCAGATTGTTAGATACATAAACCTTTAAGATCAAGACATTGTGAATTTTGTTCAAGATGTGTTATTGTTTATGATCATCATTGTCCTTGGTTAAATAATTGTGTAAATAATTATATTTTTAATTAAGATAGGAGCTAAAAATTATCCATTTTTTATTTGTTTTATTTTAACCGTCTTTATAAACTTAATTCATCTTATTATATTGAATTCTATTTTTTTAAAGGATGATTATAATAATTATTTACCAAATCATCATTATCCATGGTTTAATTATGTTATTAATATAGAAGCATTAAATATTTCAAAAAAATGTGTTCAATCATCTATTTTAATAATATGTGTCCTGTTTTTATTTCCTCTATCATATTTAATCTATGTTTAGATGGATAATTTATTTAGAAATATTACTACTTTTGAAAAGTATAGATAAGAAGAATAAACTAATGTTTAAGGCTCAAAAGATAAAAAGAGTTAATAAACAATAAAGTATATATAATTATTTAGTTTTTAGTTCTACTTCTTCAATTAAATCCACTGCATCACACAAATTATCATGTTCAAATTGCATCGAAATGTGTTGTAATAATTCCAAAAATACTTCATATTAATAATGACACAATTAAATATATATAATTATTTTAAATTTTATTCTATCAAATTTAATATGAAATTTAATAAATAATATCACTAACTTAATTTGTTAATATTATTTATTCTTCAATTTCACTATCCTGCTAAAAATTTTTTTGGGAACATTATTACAATGATTCCAACTCAATGTTAATTGAATGCGATTTAAATTAATTGTCATCTTCTATCTCTATTACATCTTCCTAGATATCAATAAATTTAGTCACAAATTAACATTAGTTTGTAATATGGTTCTTAAAATTCTTCAAATGTCCTCTCCAATTTTCACATCTTAAACACTCTATTTAAACTTCTGAAATCATTGATTCAGCAAACAAATCTTTTTCTGATAAAAAATTTCTATTTATATGATATCTACATTCAGGACAGGTTCTTTTATATTATAACCAATTTAAAATACAAGATCCACAAAATGTATGCCTAATTTATTAATTATAACTAATCTACCCACAAGATACTCTCAATGGTTTATAAAAAACATCTCTACATATTGTACAAAATAAATGAGGACTTATAGGATAGGATTGCTCATTAGATATTCTAAATTAACGAGGTTTATTCATTATTTTAATTACTATTGAATATACAAAAATTGAAATTAATATCAATCAAACTAACTATTTAACTTTTTCTTATTTTGATTATTTTTCTAATTATTTTAGATAGATTATTATATTTTTCCCTTCCAGTGTCTATTATTTTTTATTACTCCAAATATTTCTAAAAAATTGATCTTTAAAATCCCTTAATCATTTTGTTAATCCTACTTATAAAATTGCAAATTCTTTAATTTGAATAGCTATCTTTTCATTAATTTTTAATTCTTTTTAAATGTCAAATCTATAGAATTATAAACCTTCAACAAATAATTTAAGATGTTAAAAATCTTTATCAAAACCTTTTTGTTCAAAAATCTTAAAAGGTACTCCACATTTATGATTAATCAATAATGTAAGCCTAAATTAGATTATTATNAATGTTTAAGGCTCAAAAGATAAAAAGAGTTAATAAACAATAAAGTATATATAATTATTTAGTTTTTAGTTCTACTTCTTCAATTAAATCCACTGCATCACACAAATTATCATGTTCAAATTGCATCGAAATGTGTTGTAATAATTCCAAAAATACTTCATATTAATAATGACACAATTAAATATATATAATTATTTTAAATTTTATTCTATCAAATTTAATATGAAATTTAATAAATAATATCACTAACTTAATTTGTTAATATTATTTATTCTTCAATTTCACTATCCTGCTAAAAATTTTTTTGGGAACATTATTACAATGATTCCAACTCAATGTTAATTGAATGCGATTTAAATTAATTGTCATCTTCTATCTCTATTACATCTTCCTAGATATCAATAAATTTAGTCACAAATTAACATTAGTTTGTAATATGGTTCTTAAAATTCTTCAAATGTCCTCTCCAATTTTCACATCTTAAACACTCTATTTAAACTTCTGAAATCATTGATTCAGCAAACAAATCTTTTTCTGATAAAAAATTTCTATTTATATGATATCTACATTCAGGACAGGTTCTTTTATATTATAACCAATTTAAAATACAAGATCCACAAAATGTATGCCTAATTTATTAATTATAACTAATCTACCCACAAGATACTCTCAATGGTTTATAAAAAACATCTCTACATATTGTACAAAATAAATGAGGACTTATAGGATAGGATTGCTCATTAGATATTCTAAATTAACGAGGTTTATTCATTATTTTAATTACTATTGAATATACAAAAATTGAAATTAATATCAATCAAACTAACTATTTAACTTTTTCTTATTTTGATTATTTTTCTAATTATTTTAGATAGATTATTATATTTTTCCCTTCCAGTGTCTATTATTTTTTATTACTCCAAATATTTCTAAAAAATTGATCTTTAAAATCCCTTAATCATTTTGTTAATCCTACTTATAAAATTGCAAATTCTTTAATTTGAATAGCTATCTTTTCATTAATTTTTAATTCTTTTTAAATGTCAAATCTATAGAATTATAAACCTTCAACAAATAATTTAAGATGTTAAAAATCTTTATCAAAACCTTTTTGTTCAAAAATCTTAAAAGGTATGAATTTAAAAAATAATTGTATAACATATATACTCCACATTTATGATTAATCAATAATGTAAGCCTAAATTAGATTATTATTACATAAGCATCATATTATCAAAAATCAAAAGATAAATTAACTCCTATTCTTATTTTATAGATTTAACCATCTGTTCTCATTCTAGATAAATCTTTGTAAATTTAGCAATATTGACTGATTTGGTATATTGATATTAAATCCTTTCATAAGAAAAGGATTTAAATTGTTAATTCTTATCACTTAGATTTAGTCCAAAAATGTAACTATCATTAAAAAATGTTTCTTACCAGCCTCATCATCATCCTTATATACTCCTTTACTATCACCTCTTATAACTTGATCTGTAAAAACAATAAATTGTTATTCGTTTCCTTTCTGAATGAAAGTATCCATAACAACAATTGGTGAATTTTTTAGATGAAGTGTGGATGGAATTACTAATTTTTTTGCCTTTTAGAATATATTCATGTATTTATTATATAATTGAAATATTGCAAAGTCATCCAAAAAAAACTTATGATCTATTTCTATATGTTTCTGAAGGAGGTTGTAATGGTGGTAAATTGTATTGCCCACTTCCTTCATTTAAAATAAATTTCCCAATAATTTTAGCTGAACTTTCTGTAACTCTTGGAGAAGTCAGAGGAAATAAGGCATGTTAACTTTAATATCTCTATTAATATTTCATAGGTATTGAAGTTGATTTACTCAGTTCTAAAGGTGTGAAGATTTTGTTATCCTTATTGATATCAAAATTAAATACTTCTGGTTTTTTAAATCTTTGATAAGAAACATTCGAAATTGTGGATAGATTATTAATGGTAGTAATTTTATCAGTATTTTTTAAGCAATCCTGTTTGTCATACCATTAATATTATTCAGTGTGAGCAATTTGATTCTTATGATCTATAAAGTTAATATATATAATAATATAACTTTAAAGTGTTCGAATATAAGTTTTCTTCTACCCATCATATAGAACTTATCTATATAGAGGATTTGCTTCTGGATTGAGCATTGGATTAAATAAATATAATATATATAAATAAATTAAGTTATATATTTTAATAACAAATTCATACTCCATTTGAAATTAAGCTTTTAAGACTTAACTCAACTTTCATTTTAGGTCGATTAGTATCTAAAAGTATTAATTAATAAGATACCTTATTTGATAAGTACTCTTTGAGTAGGGCATTTACTTAAATCAACTATCACATGAGATTAATTTTAATTATGAGTTTCCTTGACTTTAATTTAAATTAATTTATTTTAAGATCTCTCAGTCCTTTAAGTTCTCTAATTTATTGTTGATAAATTATTTTCTTTGGCTTATCTGAATGGAGATGCAGATGGTGTAGTTCTTTTATTAGTTTTTGGTGTAAGTTTTTGAACCATAGTATTTTTAATAAAAGGTGATTTACTTCTTTATTAATTATTTTGTTAATTGTATTATGGTCTTTATAGAAATTATCTATATGGAGAATTACTTCTTTAGGGCGACACTTCTTTTTTTTTCAATGGATAATTTTAATTTTGACTAGGTTGATTAGCTTTGTGAACCTGATTTTTATTAATTTAATTATTTAAAGATTCTTAGGTTTATTTGGAAGTAACACTGTGTTAACTATTAGTTTTAGTAGATAATTTTTAGGATTAATCTTCTTATTATAAGTATTTGAAAATGGAATGCATATGATTAATTTGTAAAATAACATCATTGTCTTATAAAATAGGTTATTCTTCTATTTCATGTTATCTTGAAGTCATCTTAATTGAATCAGGTACATAGGTTTGTTAAATAATTTTACTATCAGGAGCTTCTAAAGAAATATTTGTGTCTGTTTAAATAGTCTAGAATAATTCTTGACATTCTTAAGTAGATGTAGATTCTTTGCTTGTTGATTTGTATCTTTAAAGTAATTCTTAGACTGAGAAACAAACTGGTTTTTAGGTAGGTTTAATTGTATTATCAAAGGTTTTCATTTAGCTGTTAAACAAATTTATTTATAAATTATCTATTACTATTGATAAATAGATTATATTAACTAATTATATGATTATATGGGATTGTTTATAAGGTAATTAGATAATATCATTTAAAAAAGTGTGTATATTCTTTAAAAGACTTAAAATTAGAAAATTTAAATATATAATATATATATTCGAAAAATGTACAAAAACAACTTTGTTGAATCTCAATCCTTTTTCAACAAATATATGTAGTAAGCAATGAAGAATAAGAAAAAGGCTAACAACGAAGATGCTGCTGCAGTAAGATGTTAAAGATGTTTAAAATATGGACATTTAACATATGAATGCAAAAATGAAAATGTATATCTGTATAGACCCTCAAGAACAATGTAATTTAAGTATAAATTTAATGTAAATTCTTTTAAGAGAGAAATAATTGTAATATGAATTAAATAATGAAAAAGCACCAGAAGTTCCTGATGCATTTGATGGAGATTGGAGAAGAAGCACAAAAAAGAAGGTAGAATTAGATGTGTCATCAGATTCAGATAGCAATGAGTAAGTATAAGTAAAAAAAGAGGGAACTACAAATAATGTAAAAAAATAAAAAAGTTCATCTTCTGAAAGCAGTAGTGAGGATTCAAGTAGTAGTGATAGTGATAGTGATTCATCAGGTTCATCATAAAAAAGAAGAAAAAGTAGATCTAAAGAGAAAAGATAAAAAAAATGAATTTTATACATAAAAATAATTATCAAAAAAAATGAGTAATAAAAAAAAAAATACTTCTAAAATTGATGATGGCTATGATGATGTAGGATATTGTTGTGGATGGCTTAAAAAAAAGAAATAGAATAATATTCATATAGAATAGAGCAGATAATCAATTAATAAATAGCAAAGAAACTCTTTATATAAATCTGCTCTTGATACTAGTAATCATTAAGGTATTTCATAATTCAATTAATTAAATTCTACTAATTCAGAATCATAAAAATAGAATGATGATGCTTCACCTTTTTCAAGTGGTATAGTAATTCCAATCTTTGAGAATAACTACCCTTTAAATTAATTGTTTTAACTTAAAAATATTTAAAGTGGAGATACTATTTTTGCTAAAATTACATCAATAAATATTGATACTCCTAAATCTAATGCTTTCAATGAAGATAGATTAAGAAACTAAAAAATTTCAGATTAGATAGCAAAATATATTGCCTAAAGAATTAATTACTAAATTAATTCATTAGCTGAACTAGGTTGTGGGGATGGAGGAAACACAGTTTAAGTATTATATGAAATAAATAAAAGTTTGCTTAATATCTAGACTTTGTGATTGCAATTGATAAATCTACTGAAGCATGTATCAAAACTAGAAGAAATTGTGATAAAGATCTTAAAAATTCTTCAAATCCTAAAGTAGAAATTATAAATTCAGATATTTTTAAATTAAAAAGGCGTTTACCTTTTGATAGTATTTTCATAAATCCTACAATTAATGCAGAATCAGCTCATATTTGTAGAGATTTATTAAAAGATTGTTAACCTAATTTATAATAATTACTTATGATGATTTCAGATTAGATTGAAAATTTAATTATTTAATTTCCAGCTTAAATTGATTATTCATAATTACCATTACTATTAAATATAAATCAACAATATCAAAATAATTCTTAACATAAATTTCAATCATAAAGAACAAAATAAAATTAATAGTAGTCATTTATTGCTCATTGTGCATTAGAAATTGAAAAAATTTATGTTAATGGAATACATATTTAAAATATTATTTATTATGGTAAGATAGCAAATATTTAAAGAGAGGAATTAAGATCAATATTAACAATTTAGTTATAAAATTAAGAAGTTAAACCAGAATCAATACATAACGTAATAGCAAAGTTGAAAGATAAACTAGGTATACAATTAAATATTTATTTGAGCTTAGGAAGTTTAGAAGTTGTTTATGAATTACTTTAAGCATAACGCTTTAAGTACAATATTGATAAATTTTTAGAAGTAGTTTGTGATAAGTATAAATTAGAATATGCTGAGTATGCGTTCATTCTTTATTCAAAATTATCAAAGTAAAAATGTTTTAATATAAATTTAGAGATTTTTAATAAAACACTTTTAATTATACATGTAAACAAAAAGATTCAATAAATGAACAAGAATCTGATTGTGCATATAGTCCAAAGTTTTCATACAATATAAATGGAATGTAAATGGATTCAAATTCAGTAGATGAAAATGAGGATATAGAAGCTCTAGGATTAAGTTATAATGATCAACAAAAATTAAAATGAAATGATTTCATTTAATATATTTCTTAATCAAGACTTTAAGTTATTCAATTCTAACAGGTTTAATAATGTAATCTTTCATACCACTTTCCAATGCTTTACTTAAATTATCTTCAGTATCATAGGCTGAACACATAATGATATTTAATTTATTATCTATTTACAATAATAAAGTAGAAGTTTGATATCCATTTAATCCTGGCATTTCAATATCCATAAAAATTATCTTATATTATTCTTTTTATTAAAGTGTCCTTTGCTTAATTTGATTTATAGCCTAATAACCATCATAGACAATGTCACTCTCAAAACCAAGATTCTTAATCAATAAATTAAGAGAAATCAAATTAAAAGCAACATCATCACAAATCAGAATTTAAGACAACGTTTCACTTTAAATTTATTTCTAAGAAAAGAATGTTTAAGTCCAAAGTGGAATTTAGTGTTCTTCCTAGATAACATCATCAATATCAATTTGATTTAAAGACAAAACATAATTCAATTTTAGTGAGGAATCTTTTGGTGTGATACCAAAGGAAGTTATTTAGTTACTAATACGAAAACTAACTTTGGTAAACAAACCTTCTTTACTTCTTATCTTGAAATATGATTTTTTAGAATATGCTAATTCTTTACTCATTCTACTTCCTATTGTGAATCCTAATCCAACATATTTTGTTGTGAAATTCTTTAATTAATGGTATATATCATTATCAATAGATGTATGAATAATATTATTGATGGCATCTAATTCTGTCTTTACTATCCCTCTACCTGTATCATGAACTATAAATTTAATATAATTATCCTTGATTATTCCTGATGATTTTTATTTACTTTTTGCAGTAACACAAATAATGTCATTTTCTCTTGTAAATTTAAGAGAATTATTTACCAAATTAACTAAAAGTTACAATATTCTTTCAGGATCATTATAAATTATATGATTTTCAAGAGAATCAAAAATAGAAAATATCAATTTAATTCCTTTTGTTGAACAAATTTCAATATAATATTCTTCTAGTTATCTAAATAAATCTTTTATTTGAAAATCTCTTATATTTAATTGAAATGTTCCAAGTCCAAATGATGCATAATCTAAAATATCATTTATTTGATGCATTAATAATTTATTTGAAACTATAGCAGGATTTAAATAGTTCTATATGAGTTATGATGATATTGATTAGGTTTTTAATGCTTAAAGTAAGGTGAGTGAACAATTAAGAGGTGTTCTCAATTCATGAGAAAAAGAATTAAAATGTAAAGTTTAAAACTTCTATTTTTAGATATATTATTATAATTTTTCGTTTTCTGTCATATCATTTATAAAGAGTAAATAACCACTTTAATTAATGAGATTAGCAATTTTGCAGAATTACAATTCAATAATCTTTTCTCCTTGATTTGTTTTAAGATTAACTTTCAATTTGTTAGCTTTAATTAAGGTTCTTTAATCTAAACTATAATAAAATATAATGATTACAGATTATTCACTTAGGAATCAGCAAATAAAGATTAGAGTAATTATCTAAATTCATAGGTTGTGAATTGATTCTTCTTTTATTTATTTGATAAAAATTAAGAGTCTAATTTTTTTTCACTCATAGATTAAAATCGCTTGAGATTTTATTCAGCAGAAGCTATCAAACTCTCTATCATTTTACTATCAGCTTTTTGCAATAGATGTTTTTACGAAGCTCTAGACTTAATTTCTTTGTGTTGGCTATTAAAATTTTGATCTTATTCTATGGCTCTTTTTAATAGTAAAATAATTTACTGCATAATAATTAATTACAATTGATTCATAGCTTAATTATATGATTTAATTAAACATAACTTCTAAGCTTTATCATTCATATATTAAATCTCAAGGTTTTAACCAAAATAGATAATTCCCTATCTACTATGATTTAGAATAAATATTAATTCATCTCTAGTGAGTAAATCAATTTTTCTGTTTGAAGATGCTATTTCTGGTGGAACAGTTGAATATGAATGAAATACATCATTAGAGGATTAATGCTTATGAATTATTTATTATGTATTCGATGATGTCTTAATGAGAAAGATAATCACAAAAATCAATGAAGTTATTGTGTATTAGTGAATTTATGAATTTTAGAATTGTATTTCAATCATGCAATAAAGAAGAGTAGAGAATTAAAGATATTTAAGTTGCTGGTTCTAGTGTTCATAATACAATAAAAGCAAGTATTTGTAAACGTTGAATGAATTTAAATATGTAAAAGTTTATCTGATTTCAGAAGCAAGTTGAATTTAATATAAGAATTATAGTAAGATAGTGAATTATGAAAGCCTAATTTATTTGTAGATTACAAATTAAAATAGTATGTTCAGTAAGGCAATGGTACATCTTATTCCTTACAATAATTAGTTCATATTTGAAAGTGAATATATAAGATTTATAGTCGCATCTGTTCCAATTACCAGATTTATTGATAAAGCAATCCAAATATTCATCAATTTTTTATACGTAAATTATATCACATTAATTAATTAACAATGAAAACTAAAACATGAATTTTGATATTGAGATGGGTCAATATAATACCTGCTATTATTTTACAAGTACGATGTTAGAGTAGTAATTGAACTTATGGAAATTATCAATTAGTTACTTTTTAAGTATTTTCCAATTTTCATTTCTATGAAATCTCAAGCATATTTACTCTTATTTATACATTGTAATTATTTTCATTTCTTAATACAGGATCTTTAATGGTCTTCTATTTGATATTCAATTTAAGAAATATTTCATTGTAAATTAATTTCAATTTACTCTTTCATGCTTTGTAAGAGGTGTATTTTATATAATGTATAAAATATTATCTACTTTTTTATCAAATATCAGACCGATGATCATAATAAGTGTAAATTGAGGATTAACTTAATGGAGAGAGGGAATATTGTATGTGGTTATTCAGTTTATGATCAAAAAAGAGTGGAATTGTAGATTTAATACATTTCATTTGAATTTAGGTTATTAGTTCCGAAATATGGAACTACCTGAAAATCATGAAAATTTATATATATATATAAATAACAAAATATTTATATTTATGTAAACTCTTCTCAAAAGTTATTCATAATTGTGGGTAAATCAAATGAAATATGGATTCAGGCAGTACTATACTTATTTTTAATGTATTAGTGTATCAATATGCAGCAAAACAAACAGTAGACATAAATATTATGCTACAAAACCTTAATAATTTTACAGGTTTTATGAAATGAGAAAAAAATTTGATTTCAAGAATGATGATTTGACTTTCCCAATAAATATTCCATTAAAATAGAGGTACTTATAAGGATGATAAAATAAAGATATGCATATCGTCCATAAAGACAATTTAAGAAAGCCACTCCATAAAATGATTATCTTAATACAGAAATTATGAGTGGCAATGAAATTCTTTTATATTTAGAATAATTGGACAATCTTAGAATTAATGAGATTTTGAATAGTCTTGAGAGATTGCATAAATTTAATAAAGGATGTATGAATATATAAAATATTAGAATTTAATCTTATTGAACATCCTTGGGTTAAAGCTGCTTTAGATAAGGCATTTGTTGAACATCATCATGTTACTAAAACTCAGTTTATATAATTACTAAATATATATAGTAATTATGGTATTGAAACACAAGAAGTTTGGGGAAAGTTTGAAGAAAGAATGCTTAGGTAATTACAATTAAATATTGATTAAATAGAATCTTGCCAAACATTCCTGCAAAATTATTTGGTGAATGTGTTAGATTATTTATGGAAAAATCAGAAAGATCATCTGATGAATTTAAAAAATAAATGAGTCTAGTTATTCCAGTTCATTTACATAAAATGTCTCCATAAGCAATTGCAAAAGCATTTGAAATGGTTTACAAATATAATTTAATGACTGATTACTTATTCTTTGATCATTTACACTTTATCTTAAGAAAAAGATTTAAATGGTTTATAATGGAAAGAGCTTGTCCACTTATGTTGAGACTCTTAAGAGAAGCTAATTTTGAAGTAATTAAATTTTCTTCATTTATAGACATGTGAATTTTTGTGGCCTGAGGTTTATAAGTAACTTGATGCTGAATTAGATAGAATTCCAAAAGATTAATGTGCACCTATTAGAGATGAATTAGTCAAAATTGGTGAGGCTTTTCCTAGTCATTCACAATATAATAATATTATTATAGCCAAAAAAATAGGTGCTAGGGCTACTTGGGAAGCTACTCTTGGAGGATAAGCCAGAAGATTAAGCTTAGTAGAAATTGTGAAAAATGATATCCTTTATTTTAAAGAAAAGCAAAAAATATTTAGAAGTTAAACTTAACAGAGTCCTTGAATATTATTATAAAATTGTAAAATATTAAATTATAACAAAAACTAATATATTTATAAGTTTTATTATCTATGCCATTTATTGATTCAATATTACATACTTTCTTAATAATAATAATTAAATTTATTTCAAATTATAAAGATTATATATATAACATTATAGTTTATCTAAAAAAAAAGAAATTATGATAAATAGAAAAAATTCAAATCAAAACTTTTGTTCAAAATATTTATAAAAATAAAATTGTCTATAAACTTATAAGATTAGGCAAAAATGAATGTATAGATTGTTAATTATTATGTTAAGTAAGTTTTTCTATTAATATTTCTTAACTTTTAATATTTAAATGTATTTTTATGAAGATAGGGATTGTTTAAAAATAAAAATTACACTTAAATTATTTTTCTAAATAATTTTATTTAATTCTTTAACATGATTAGTGTTTTTGATTGAATAAGTTTTTAAAGAACTTTGAAAATAATTATATATTTTCTCAAAAAGCTTTAATAATGATTCTAATTAAATATTTAGATGAAAAATGTTAATTATTTATTCAATAAAACAAGTATACTTATTTGATATAAAAATAATGAAGGTTCTCAGAAAGTCTCTATGATAATTTAATATTAAATTTATAAAATTATTGCAATATTAAATGTAATAGCTACATTTAAGGTTAAGAGCTTCATCTGTGTAAGAACAGGGAGAGTAAAAATCAAAATTTCCAAATATTTTGACTCCTACATTTGCTGATTGGAAAATTCCTAGTGATGTTAGGGCTCATCCAAAAATAAGCAGAAGAAATCCTCTTTTCAAATTTGGACTTATTCCACCAAAAAAAGCAGCAACACCTTCTTCATAAACTCATCAAAAACCTCATGATTTTAGAGGATTAAAATCTGAAGAACAAAGTCAAAGGATTAAAGAAATAATAGTTGAAGATAGAGTAAGTACAACAGAAACAAATAATCTTCATAAATTTGAATCTGAAAAAAAATATGTTCAATTACGGACTAGATCTATTAGTGGACCTAAACATTCTAATTAATTAGTAAGTGATTTTAATTATTAATCTTTAGTTAATCGAATGTAAATAATTGTTTGATAACTAAAAGAAAGCTTTTGAAGAAATATTAAAATAAAATAGTCTCTACAATAAATACTATAAAGTAATTGACAAAGAATAAAATATTACAAATTAGAAAATTATGCAAATTTTTAACTTATATAAATGATTATATATATAACTATTTATTCAGAGAAAAATCAAACATTCATAACAATAAACTCATTACTTAAACAAAAATAATATTACTCATTCTTTTTTTGAACTATCAATAATTTTTAATTTTGGTTTAAGTTCATTTAAGTATTTATCTTCCAAATCTTTTTGATGTGGAGCTTTCTTAATAAATCTTCTGTAAAGTGCATATCCATATAAGGCAACTCCTGGAATTCCAAATAATCCAGTTAATTGACAATATCGTTAGAATTTTTATGATATTCCTTTATTAGATTTAAATTCTTGCATTAATCTAAATTTTACTAATTTTTATAATTACTTATAAGCCATAAATGTTGAAGGCATCAATACAAATGCTGTGCCAGCTTCAAGGAGAAAAGTGTATTTATAATGGTTGAAATATTATTGCTCTTCAATAGTAAATTCTTTATTTCCTTTTTTCCTTTCATACAAAAATTGGAATAAAGGAGATTCTGATTAATATTGATACTCTAATAAAATATCATCCATCTTCTTAATGCTAATAAAAATTATTAAAATTATTAAAATTATCCAAAATTATTATAATTACTTAAAGCAATCCAATAATTAAAAGCTCTTATAGATTTTTATTTAAAGATTGTGTTTTTTATTAATATGGTAAAATAGAGAGAACATGATATTATCAATTATTTTATTTGAACAATATCTTTTATAAGATTGATTAATCTACTTAGCCGATATAAAGCGATATATAATATAAATGATATAAAAATATCTTAAATCAATCGTTTGATTGATACTTGAACCAATAAGATATATTGAAAAATAATTTTTTTATATATAATTTTTTTTAGTAGATACATGAGATAGATGTATATGAATGGATTTTGATAGGAAATTTTAAGTTATAAATGTATATAATTAATCAGTACAGGCTTTGTGGGAATAAGCCTGGCTTTTGATATTCTAAGTCGATTGCCTTCCTTGATTTATTATATTTACCATAATATTCCATGCAGGTAAAAGTAAATCTTTTAATTAAGATAAGAATAATACCTGATGCAATTTCCAAACTTAGCAGTTCGCAAATACTCTTTAGAGATTCCAGTTTTGGTAAGATCATCAGCATATACGAAAATATCTGAACCATCTGAGTCCATAACAATGAATCCATAATTTTTATTTTCATCAAAGAACTTTAAGAAGCCTGCACTTCTATTCTTTTTAGGTTGATCAAGAGCAAGTTCCTAAAGAAGCTATGTAACACTAACTTAGGTGTCTTATATGAAGCGATTGCATTCTTATATGATTTGATCACCATCAATATTACTTTCTTCTATTAATTATTGTTTGTACTATAATATTATTGATTTATTTCATACATAATTTCTAGGATAAGAAGAACTCTTCTTAATTTAAGGGTGTTTGTGCATTTGATCCATTTTAAAAGTGTCATAGTCAAGATCATTTTCACTAATGTTAGTTGAGAAATCTTTGTATTCAGATCTAGAGGGTGACAACTATAAATCAATCAACTTCACAGGGAACATTAATAGACAAATAATTAAAATATTTATGAATAATTTTATTTTACAAATCCTTGTACTTATATATATATTTATATAAATATTAGAAGATCCTTTCAATAGTTCTTCATCAATTTTTAATAATAATATTTAAAATGTTTTCTAAACGATCAACTAAAGTAGTCTTATTGTCATTTAGAATACGACAAGCTTGTAAATTCTCTTAATTAATTGAAACGTTGTCAAAGATGACCTGCCAGCCTACAGATTATAAAATGAAGCTCAAATGATAATCAGTGGTCATCTTATTGCACTAAATATATTTGGGTGGTTTTCTTTTTTTCTTATAACTCTTTTATGATATACTTATTATCCAATAATTGTTTCCTTCTTTTACTTATCCCATATTCCAGCTGTAATACTAAAAAACATTCCATTTTCAATCATATTGATCTCATCAAAAACTTATAGTTTAACTCCTATAGGTCTATCATTTATTCCTAAATAAGAAATTGTAACTGGAACTTTATATTCAGAAGCTTAGATAGAGAATCATTTTACTGATAAAATATCGATAACAACTTTCACTATTAACTTCATTACTAATAATGCAATTTTCTTTATATCTATCATAATCATCCAAATCCAATTCTTTAGCGTAGGTATTCAAATCAAAAAGTTGAGAAAGTAAATAGCATAACAATTACATATCAGAATAATCTAAAAGTGATGTATATAGACCAAAAATCCTATTGACATCATAATAATCAAATTGATCTAATCCTTATGCTTTAACCTTTGTACCTCTAGGAGCTATTCATATTTTTAAAATAATTAATTTACCATATGTATCATAACAATTTTGTAATAGAATTTCAAAACATTATTCTTAGTTATTATCAGCAATAATTATAATTCTTTAATAAGTAGCCATTTCAGTAATTTTGATACAACACATTTTTACATTCGCTTGACTATTATTAGGCATTTAAATTTGTAATCCATTTAAAAAATTAAAAAAACTAACTAAATCATCAATTTAAAATATATTAGCTAATTCATTTTCTAGATTTTATTTAAGTGATTCTAAAAATTTAATAAATCTAATCTTATTTTTAATAACATAGCTTTAAACTTAATGTGTAATTTTTTTTGAAGGAGATTGAAATTATTATTCCGTTTAATTAATAATTCTTATCATCTATTAGACAGATTCTTTTTCATATTCCTCATAAAAGTATTAATCAAAAAATTAATCTAATGATGTTTAATCAAATTATAGATCAATCCATCCTTATTATTATGAACCAATAATTATTAATCTAAGAATAAATTACTCAATAGTAACAACAATTATTTAACATTCTTCTTCAAAAATCCATAATTTATTTTATTCATTTAAAATACTAGATGGTAAATGAGAAAGTTTAATTTAATTCTCTTCCAATATTACAAAAGGTAAAATTAAATGCTGAGCAAATTTATTGAATGAATTAATACATTTTAATGGACAAGTATAAGGCAACACTGCCCTTAACTCTGCTACTTAAAAAAACTAATTCTTTATTTAAATATAATACATTATTAAGTGCATTAATATCAAATGTTTCAGTTTTATCGTTATCAAATTAGATTTTTAGATGATTTCCATGCACTGTACATGAAATTTCTTGCAAATTATCATCAAATATTACTTTTTTTATAAGAGTAATATCATTTTATAACAAAATAGTATATTCTCTTCCTTAATCAAGCTCTATATAAATAAATAATGAATTACAATCGATAATTGTTATTTCCATTTCATCATTAAATGAATTACTTAGATTTATATCTGGAATTTTTAAAACTTTAATAGTATCTTCAATTTATCCTTAATTTAAGGTTTGTATTAAACATCTGATTTCTGTAGTACTTTGCCTATTGATTTATTTTGGAGGAGGTAAGAATTATAAATTTTATTATGGTTATTCAAATTATTATGGTATCATATTTCCAAAAGATAATCGATCATGCATAATATTTTATTATTCTTGTAGTTTTTATTTGAATTTATTGGATTCATTTCCTAACTCTTCAATCTTTAATTTTAATTCATTGATTTCTTATTCTCTCTCTAATCTCTATTATTAGATTTTAAGATTTTCTTTTTAAAGTTCAGAAATTCTTTTTTCTAAAGCATTAATTTTAGGTTCATTTTTTTTAGAACTAAAAGTTTAAACAAAATGATCAAATTTAGTCTAAATGATATTTTAGATATCAATAGGAGGTTATTATTATCTTGGAGAATGTAATCTAAATTGTTTAATCATTCTTTCTGAACTTTTAGTAGCAGACTCACCCATTTCAATTTTAACTGATTCTGATTGTGTTTTGATTTATTATTCATTAATATTTTTAGAAGTCTACAATTTGATTTATCTCATAAGAATATTACATGAAGCACTAATTTTTTTAGCATCTGCTACTTTGATAGATTTTCCTTTAGATTTTATCATAATACTTTTTCTTGAGATAGTAACACTTCTTTATTAAGTAAAGTAGGAAAATAAATAATGATTAGAATTGAGAAACTTACGACAGATTTTTTAACCATTATGGAAAAACTTATCATAATCAATATCAAGCATTTCTGATAGTTTTTAAAGTTGCTAGACACATTTGCCATAAAACAAATATCCATTCAATAGTAAAATGATGTCAGATGGATTGTTTTGTAACTTTGATGCATTGGTTTTCATCTCTTTGAATATCTTACTGATATAATATTGAGTTTACATAAGGTTCATATTTGATCAATGCTCTTTCAACAAGTCTAAAACATTTATTGTAATTAAATTAGCAGTAATGAATTCTAGCCAAGTTGAGATGTGTGATCAAAAACAATTGAGGTTGTTCATTCAAAAAGTACTTAAGATTGAATTTGGCAAGTTTCTTACTTAGATCAACTAAATTGGAATTGAATAATAAAACAGTCAAAGTATTTAGAGCTTAAGTAATAACAATATGACTAGGAGAGTTCTTGGCTATATATATGGACATGTAAATTAAATCCTAAATGTCTCCTACCACAATTATAAAAAAGGAGTTACCTTCTTCACTAAGGAATGAAATCATTTGTGTAAGAATTAGACCGAATTCCTCTAAATTAATTTGTTGGATGTTACGAAAATTGATGTACTATTTCATAATTGACATGTCTATCTAAGATTTATTATTGACAAAGTCATTCATAAATTCAATTAGGTTCATGATTGAAAGTAGTTTGACTTAAATTGATAAATATTTTATATATATATTTTTAAATATATACTTAATATGTAAAACCCACTTCAATAGTTCCTTACTATTGTAGCCTCAAGAGAAGAAGTTATATTTATGATTAGAATTCTTACACATCAATCTATTGAAGATACAAGAAATCTAAAACAATATCAATTAGAAATCATTAAAGGAGAAAAAAGAAGAGAAGAACTAGAAAATTAAGTGTAATCTATCTATTATATACTATCATAGTTATTAAACTATTAATGAAAATATACATAGAAGAATATTCCTTCCTAAAGTCGTCCAAAAATTCAACAAAATATAAACATATTATGCTAATAAAACTAAAGTAAAGATCATATAAATATCAGATCTACTTCCCTAAATAAGGACAACTAATTGGATAAGAAAATATTATTTAACCAAATCTCAGAAATGTCATCATCAACATGTAACATGAAGGCTTAGTTTCTATACTTAAATACTTAAGTAACGTTTAGAAAATGAGAATGAAATAAGAACTTAATCGGGCATAGTATATGGAAAAGTAATATATAAAAGGCTATGCTTTATTCTAGAGAAGAGAGATGTAATCGTAACGAGAAGTTCTTTTCCGAACCTCTACTTGTGGGAAATTTTGGTATGAATTACATCAACAAATTACATCAGAAATATTATTTCTTAGCATCTTAAAGAAATTGGAAGAATGTTTATGATATTCTTAGTTTAGATGATAATACTAAACAATTATATTTATAAGGAGCAGGTTAACAATTATTTTTATTTAGGTTTTAAAAGTGTTATTGCCAGTATTAATAAATAAAAAAAGTCAAATGATGCCCCTTAAGTATATATTCCTATTGAAACAACCTAAGAAATCATTACAACTCGTTATGAAAAGTTGCTCAAGGAACTTTATGACATGAATTGTCATGTTTCAAAATCTATTATGAAATATAATGAATTTCATCAACATAGAAAAAAGAATAAGGAATCCTCAAATAGAATTAAAATAACTACTACTAGACATTCTTAATAGGTTAAAATACTTAATTTAAGTGACTTTGGTAAATTTTCTGCTCCTTCATCCAGATATAGTAGAACAAGATAACTCAAAACATAGTTATCATGTCTATAATCTCCGTCTGAACCACAAATTAAATAATATGAGTTTCTTTTAAGTTTAAGATAACCTGTTAATTCTGGACGCCTGATTAATAAATGCATTAATTAAAATTCATGAAATACTTTAAGGAAGCTTCATTCTCATTCAAATAAAAATTTGGCTATTCACCAGACGAATAAGCTATCAAACTCTTCGACTAAGCATATCATTATGAAAGCTCTATTCTTCCTGTCAATCTTCTTGATCAAATTGCTGAATTGAGTTTTCAAATGTATTTATATATAATTTATACTTTTTCAAGGGATCATTATCCAAAAATTATCAATTAAATTGTTCTACAATTATCCACTGTTGGAATCGCTACAAATGTCATTCTTAAAGTATTATATTTCTAATTTTATTCCAATAGACTCTTATTATTACAGATTATCTATTAAAGTATGGATGTTCTGGTATAATCGATGATTTGAAAGTTAGGATATACATGTTTAGATATTATTTGGAATTTAAAGTTGATTAATAAGATCCAATATATTTTACAAGTATGATTTTAAAATATGAAAAAGTTCGATAAAAAGCAGGAAACATTGCAAACTAGTTATCTAATAGAAAACTCTTGTATAAGGAAAAAGAAATAGCAAAATAAATAAAGCTTAAAATTTAAATTAATAAATAAAAGACGCAATCTTTAAGCCATTAAGATTATCAATAAACTACAAATACTTTAGATGACATTTTGGAAAATTATATTTTTAAATATATGGATAAATTTAATGATAAATTGGAAACTTGGGGAGATTAAATAAATGAAAAATTAGATCAAATAATTGATAATATCACAATTAATGCATCATATGAAAGAGATGAAAATGGGTATTATTTTCCTGAATCTTGTATGGATGAAATCACGATATCAAATAAATCAAATGATAGATAAGATTAGTAATAAAATTCAAAAGAAAAATAAGAATAGCAACAAGATTTAATTAATACAAATTCATAGATAAAAAATTTATGTAATTATTATCTTAATAAGGTAGTGGAATTTGAAAACGACTATAATTTGCCTTAATAATAAAAGAAGCAAGAGATTAATTTACTAGATTGATTATACTATAAAATAATTTTATAAAAACAATGAGATCCATTTTTGTTAATCTATATTTTTTATTCATTGAATAAAATTTACTAATAGTTAAAGTTAAAATATTTTATAATAAAAAATATATATAAGTATAAAATTATTTTTCCTTTTCTAATATAATTTTCTTAAAAAATTTTTTTAATAATCTCTTAAATTAATGAGGATGAACTTGTATATTAATTATTTATGAATGAGTATTATATTTTTACATAAAGAGTTATAATTAATTTAATTGAATTATAATAATAAAATAATACTATAAAACTGATAATATAATAAAAAATTATAAAAATTTGAATAGATACATTATTTTAGTATTAATTATTTGCGTTCGTTTTAGAATTATTAATAATAAAATTAGTTAGAAGGCTTGTCCTTATTGCTTATTTGATGTATGAATAATTAGATAAAGAACTAATAGAACTTTTTTGATGATTCACCATATTATCATAGATATTGGCTCTTTGTAACTATTTGGTAATATTTGATTAAACATTTCTAAATGTTATTACTTCATTTATAAAATATATTATATAAAGTATATAAAATTACATGTTAATTCAAATAAAACTTGATATTTGTGTCTTATCTGTATTTTAGAAATTCTTCCAATTATGGTATTCTAAAGTAAGTTCGAGAATTTAAGTATAGAATTATTAGAACTTATTAGTTATTTCTTCAATTAACAATTCTTCTCTTATTAATTCCTCTATCTCAAAGGCTATTTTTTCCATAAGTCCAACAATAATTCCAGTTGTTATTTCTGAAAAAGTAAGTGCATTTTTTTATTTATATAGTATGTTTTGAATCTATTTCTTTAATTCTAAGATTTAATGTGTTCTTTCACAATGTACTAACTTATTCAATTTTTTTTCAACCTTCCCCCACAATTTAAGTATCTTAGCCTAAAGATCAGGCAAAGTAGCGGGTTTTGAATGGTAATTCTCATTTTCAACCTTGATAAGACGAATGAGAGACTTAGGTTGTTTTGTAATTGGTTTTGTTGAACAAAGGCCCATTATGATTAGATATTTAAAAAATAATACATAATCATTCTTTAATGAGTGACTTTTAATACTTAAAAATTAAATCTTTTTATGTATGTTTTAATTATTAGATGAAAATACTTAGCATAAATAATAAATGATAAATATGATCATTTAGATTGTTGAATACGAACTTTTTCTGTTGAAACACTTTAAAGAAAAATTCCAAATTTATCAATCAGAACTTTATAATCAAACAATTTAACTCCATCAAACTCTTTATAAATAAATTAACCCAAAAATTCCTTTTATTTATCATCTAATATAATATTGCTGTTTATTAAGGCACTCCTAAAATCATTTTCATCACAACACTCACAAAATTAAGAGTTTGTTTTTTTTTAAACGATTATTTTAATTTATTCAACTATCGATTATCTAAATTTCCAAATTTATTAACCAATAGAATTCATTATTTATAATTATTGCTCTTCATTAAGTAAAGTATATTTCCCTATCACTTTCTTTAATACACTTTTGATGATACAAATATCATTCACTTAAAAAGGAGTAAAATCAACAAATTATTATGAATTATCCTCAATTAAATAACGTGCCAATAATAATGCTTCTTTATAATCTTATAAATTAAAAGGATATTCTTATAAAATTTCAACTAATTCTTAAATTGTTATATCTTATTTCTATTCAAAAAATTTATGAATGTCTTCTAAAATTATTTTTTCAGATATTAATTTATATTTCAAAGATTTTCCTATATTTTCAACATCACACAAATTAACTCGAGGTAATTTTTATTTAATATACTCTATTTCTTATAAATGTCTTGAACTTTAAATCCGAGAAGTTTTTAATTCCTCTTTTGCAGATTCCATACTTATACGATTTGGTAATATTTAAGTTTTTTCTTATATTTCATCTTCAAATATAATTTTAGAATCAGAACCTACTCTAATAGAATAATTCATTTCATCATCTGAAATTACAATATTGTTTTTTTTAACTTTTTCATCTAAAATTTCTTAAAATGATGTAGGAGCTTCTCTTTTATTTGTTAACCAAGATTTCTTTGTTTAATATTAATCTTCTAATTCCTTAAATTAACGTTATTTTTAAGAAACTAACATTCTTTATTTATCTAATTCAGTCTACATTTATTAAATTAATGTCTATTTATCAGCTAATTATTAATTCAAAAGTTCAATAGTTTATTTATATTTTTTTTTTTTCTCAATTTCTTATTCATGATCTTTTATGAATTTTTCAAAATCATTTTTAGTTTATTCAAGCTATTTTTTTAATTTTTCTTTTATAGCTAAACAAGTCAATAATTCTTGTCTAAGATTTAAAACTTTCTTCTTTTACTTTTAGTGTGAAAAAGATAATTATCTCAACTATTCTTCTAATTCAATTGTTTGAACTGTTAATTTTTGAAATTTGTTTACGTCATTTTCTGTCTTTAAAATTTCGTTGAATTATTTGTTTAAAAACTCAAACTTTAGCTTAGTTGCACACAATTCATTCTTGGAATATCAATAAGCACAATACTTCCATTTCTTAAAGTCGCATATAGCGTGTAGATTTTTTTAGATTATCAATTTCAGCTTATTTTTCTTGTAATAACAATCTAGCTTATTTTAATTTCTCTACGAGTCTTTAGTTTTGATTTGGATTGACTTAATCATCAGATACATCTTGAGTTGTTCGTTTCTCAATTTGCTCTTTCTAATATGAATAATTGATTGATTACCTCATCAAGTTTTATCTAAAAACATAATTATTAGTTTATATGTTTGAGTTTTTGGTTTTCTTTCTTTAATAATAAAATTTCTTCTTTCATTTATTCAGCATCTTTTTAGAATTAAATTTAAACTCTGCCTGTAGAAATATCATTGCTTGGAGAATCTTAATATTTTTAAGTAACTCTTCTCCTATAGAATTAAGATATACACAAATTTGTGTTATCCTAATTAAGAGCTGGTAATCCATTTGTCATAGATTAATTAAGAGAATGTGGAATTCTTTAATTTTAGCGTACACTTCGATTCATTATAAATATATTAATATAACATATAAACCACAACATACAATATTAAAAAGATAATAATATTTGATTTCTATCAACTAGGTCAAATTTATTCCAATTCTTACTTAATTTTCTTTAATTATTGCTAAAAGTTAATAAATGTTCAAATTCATAAGTAATAAATATTTAATAACGAATGAGTTAATTATTATTATCATTCAAAATCAATCAAAACTCTTTTCAAGTTAAAAAAACACTTCTGAAATCATTTCTATTCTGATTGGTTTTGAAAGAAAAGCATCAAAACCTAATTTTTCACATTTTTCTTATTAGGCTACATCATCAAATCCAGATAAAGCAATCAATTTTATATTTTCAATTTCTTTATTATCAATCTATATATTGAATATAATATTTGATACCATTATTCGAATTTTTTCTGCGGCTTGCCATCCATTTAAAATTGGCATTTATAAATCCATAAATACATATTTTATGTTGTAACTTTTTTAATATTCTTATAACTAATTTTATAATTAAAAATTACTTTAGCTATTGCTTATTATCCATTATAAGCTTCAATAATATCTACTTAAGGAATTAAATTTTAAAGTAGCATTTTAAATGCTAAAACATTAAATGTTTAATCATCAACAATTAAAATACTGAATTTTTTATTTTAATGTAATTATTGAATAATCAATTTAGGATCTTAAACTTCTAAAAGATCTTGAGATTATAAATTTTTTTGTGTTTAAGATCTCTAACTTAAAGATTATAATCTTAATATATTTTTTGATTTTGTCTAATCTCCATCTTCCATAGAGGGTTCATTCATTTCTGTATCTGCCTTTTCTAATGGTTTAGTGTATAACCTAAGATAAGATGATCTCACAAATAAAGATTATTGTTATGGTTTGTCTTTTTAATTTGGTGATTCTTCATTTTATAAATTATTTAAATGTTATGAACTATTTTCTTGTTTAAAGCAACTTACATAATTAGATAATCTATAAGCATTATCTTATAATTTTGCAAATATCTAAAATGTCATTTTTGTTCCTACATTTAATTAACTTTATAAATCAATAGTATCTGAAGGTCCTAATAAACTTACTAATTTTTTACAAACCATTAGACCTATTCCAGTTCCATTCTTATTTTCCATTTTTTAAGATGAAAAAGTAGCAAATAAGTTGAATAATTAAGGTTTGATTGAATCAGGAATTCCACAACCTGTATCTTCAATTGAGATTGTATATACAAGTTTGTTAGAAGATATTGATGGATGTTTACCTTAAAGAGATTTACGAATCTAAGAAACAGATTAATTGCCATTCATATAGCTTATGCATTTAGAAGAATTACTTCTCATTATATGTTAAGATTTATCTGTATTTTAAGATTATATTGTAATTGTTATACTACCTTTTTCTGTGAATTTCAAGGAATTTGATAAAATATTCATTATGATTTATTTAATCCTATTTGGATCAGAATGTACTTGATAAGAAGGAATATCATAAATAGTCTTAATTTCTACTCCTTTTTATTCTGCTGATATAGCTATTGTTTCAATAACTTCATCTACTAATTCATTAATATAAAAATCACTAATACACAATCTTAATTGATTCTTTTCTATTCTTGCATAATCTTAAATATCATATATCATGTATAACATAAGACAAACATTTTTTCTTATAATATTAAGATAATATTTCTCTTATTGATTTAAACTCTTTTTACCTTCTAAACTTTCCAAAATAGCTACTATTCCATTAATTGGGGTTTTAAAATCATGGAAAACAGTGGCTAAAATCATATCCTTATTTTCACAGATTTACTTTGATGTTGTTAATTCTTTTTATACTTAAATTAATGATTTTTCTATCTCTTTATTCTAAAATATTAAAACAAAAGCTTAATTCCTATTCCAATAACAGTGATTAAAAAAAAGTTTCAATTTTTTCTATTTTAATTCATTTACACAAATATTTCGTAAACTTTAATTCTGAATTAATAGTTCCTCCATTATTTTAGATTTTTTATTTTTTGGTGTCTCTTCACTTAATTATATAGAAGCTCTATAAAATTATTGATATTTTGGAGTGTCAATTATAATTTCAGAACCATGTTAAAACTATGATTATTTTTACTCTTCGATTTAATCATTTTCTATATGAACTTCAGGTAAATTAGTAAACTTTTAAAATATTGGACTTTATACTAAATATTAACAATTATCCATAATTTCTGTAAATATTGTCTTAAAATTGTTTTTTGGTTTGTAAATCAAATCTTTTGAATTATCAATTAAAGTTTAAAGTTTAATTTGGTTGTCTGAAAAAAAATGATTCAAACATTCAATAAACTCTTATGAATGAGCTGCATCATATTTAAACTCATTTTCCAATGCCTTAGTATGATAGATAGGTTTCCTTGTTGATTTGTCTATTACTAACATAGATAATGGTAAGATCTCCTTAAATAATAATAAAAGATCTGTATCATCACTTTATTCTTGTAACTAAAATTATCATAATCATAATTACTAGAAGAATTGGTGAAAAAGTCAATCCTAAGTAAGATATTGGATACTGATACTCTTTCAATCTTATGATCGAATATATAAGCATTGTGAAATATATTAATTTCTATAATAACTTTACTCTCAATACCTGAGTCAAGGCTAAAAGTTTCAGTATAATGAATATGAAAATTCCCTTGATTTTATAACAATCTATATACCTTCTGTTAAGTGTTTATAGTCATCTCAACTTACACTATCTACATAATCAATTAAGTTATAGCCAAATAATAATCTCCTGATGAACAAATAAACTTTTATTTGTAGTCTAACAATAAAAAAATTAAAGAAAATATCAGATCCACAACCATAAATAGTCCAGAATCCAAAGTAACGATATGTTGAGTGAGTCCAAAAACCAAAAATAAAATAGATGCAATTAGATTGCATATTGTGAATCTTTGATGTAATCCAATTTTCATAATCTAAGTATAGAAAATAATTTAATTATATAATTTTTCATTTCTTCCTTATCTTTTACCAATGGCAGATCAAACCTTTTACTATCTAATTCAGATAGTAAATTAACTTCATCACTTTTCTACAAAAATACTTTGATATAAAAAATAAATGATGTGAATATTTTTAATTATTCATTGTATATTTCAAATATCCTTTGAACGCTTTTACAGTATTAAATTAATATCTGCCTCTTTCATTTTTATTAATTAAGAGATTATTTATGATATACAACTCAAAATTTAATTCAAAATTTTAGATAATTGCTTTGTCTAATACATTTATTTAAGAATTATAAAATGGTTCCAACACTTTTTTTTAATACTTCAAAAAATTTCATATTTAAAAGCATTATGGTCATTGCATTTTCAATTATAGATGAAGCCCTTCGAAGAATTACTTAAAGATGGGTTATAAATCTTATGTAATAGTTTATATTAAACAAAATCATAAGAAAAATTACTTCTTAAATTTTGATAAAAAATCATCATATAATGACAAACAATAATAAATAGAGGTAAATATTCCTGAAAAAATGGAATATATCCAAAATTTTCATTTAACTCAAATTTGATTGCACTTTTCAAAAAAAAAATTTTTATGGAAAAAATCATCAATTTCAGTTTTTCCACTTCTATTTTAATTTACTTATATAGAAAATTCTTACTTAAAATAAGTAGGAGATTACAATCCATATTATATTTTGTAATATAGATTTCTAGTAACCAAAAACTTTCACATTGATCTTTTTTTCATGATTTTAATCAATTCCTCAAAATTCATATAATCTTTACTTAATGCATCTAGATTTTAGCATGTATGAGTATTTTATTCTTTAAAAAGTAATATATATTTGGTCTAATTTTATAAGAATTAATATTTACTATATTCGAAAATTCCTTTTTGAATCAAGCAAATTTTAAAGTGTATGGTAATAGTAAAGCAATTATTTGTGATTTTTAAAAGAAATTGCAATAAGTTAAGAGGATAAAATTCAGAAAGTAAGAATTTAAATTATCAAAAAATTTTTACTTACTTTTTTACTAATTCAAATAAAAAGTTTTGCCTGACAAATAGTTATTATAGATATCATAAAAATAGAAAATTAAGTAAATTTGAATCTATTTTCATTAAATAATTAGTTTGAGCTCGTAGCAATTAAAGATTTTTCGAAATTCATCAACTTTTGCCTGACAATAAAATAGACAGTCAGATCGTCTTTGTTTTAATCATTATCTTTTAAAAAAGGAATTTCTATTAAATAGAAATTTAAATTGCAATAATTAGTCACCAAATGTAGGAAACAGTTAGTTTCATAAATTATCTTTTAAGCCCCAAGTAAATTACTTCTGAAAAATAGTCTAGATGTTCTTGATCCTCTTCATCGTATGTATTTTAAATTAAATTTGAACATTGCATAAACACTTAAAATAATTTTTATAATAGGAATAATTTTAATAATCAACTATATAGATTTCCTTAGAAATTTATTTAAATAATTAAAACATTAGGTGTTTTTTGAAAGATTTAAAATATATAAAAATAAAGTGAAGCTGTGATTATAAATATAATTTAGAGATTAATAATCTTCATAACTGATAAATGATGAATCTAAAAAAATGGATAAATTTTATTGATCCGAAATAAAAATCAAAAAGGATGTAACTTGAGTCAAATTTGGAGTTAAATGATTTATTATGCTTAAATATACAAAATATAATATGATTAAATGAAAATGTGAAGTTGAAAATGTTTAATTAAGATTAGAGGTTATAATTATTGCCAAATGATATTTAAATAAAAGAAGAAGATTTTGTAGAGAATGAGAAAAAAAATTTTGAATAATATGAGAATAATAAAGGGATGTTATATATAAATAATTTTTTATGATATCATTATTATATAAAAATTTAAATAATATGTGATAGTAATTATAAAATACTTAGGCTAAATTAGAGTGAAAAATGCCCAGATAGAATAAGATTCTAAAATAAGTATTAATGGATGAGATTTCAATAATATTTTATAGAGACATGCAAATCGAATAAGATGAGTGCACATAATATAATAAGTTTATGTAAAATTTCAGCAAAGAGGAGAAATTAGGAGAAGGAACATATGGAATAGTAACAAGAGCTTTTGATAAAAAAAGAGGGAAAGTTGTTGCTATAAAGAAATTGAAATTAGACAGTTGCGATGATGAAGGAGTTCCGAGTACTACAATAAGGGAAATAGCAATTTTGTAGAAATTGAAACATGGAAATATAATAAAGTGTTAATATATTTTAATGTAGTTTATTGGAAGTAAAATACTTTATGTAAGAGAAAAAGATTTTATTGATTTTCGAATCGATGCAATGTGATTTAAGGAAATACTTAGATAATAACTAAACTTTATCATTAAATACAATAAAATAGATAATATACTAAATATTATTGGGACTATCTTTTTGTCATAGTCGTAGAGTATTGCATCGAGATTTAAAGCCATAAAATATACTATTGAATGAGACAATGACATTAAAGTTGGCAGATTTTGGATTATCGAGAGTATTTCCATTTCCAATGCCTAAATTTACAAGGGAAATAGCAACATTGTGGTATAGAGCACCCGAACTAATGTTGGGTGATGATAATTATGGAACAGGAGTAGATATATGGGCAGTAGGATGTATAATGGCAGAATGTTTAATAGGAAGACCATTATTAGCAGGAGATAGTTAAGTAGATATGCTATTTAAAATGATGGAAGTATAATATATAAAGATATAAATAATAGTTATTAGGTACTCCAAATGATAATACATATGTTGGTTTATCAAAGCTTCCTCATTTCAAAGTGACATTCCCTAAATTTTAAGGAAAAGATTTAATTGAAGTTATACCAGTGTTAGAACATGATAGAAAGGGTTTGGAGATTTTATAATCAATGTTATAGTTTAATCCAGGAAAAAGACCTTAAGCTAAAGAATTGTTAAAACATTGTTGGTTTGATGATATAAGAAATAATTATTGATTATTCTATCATTATTATCATTATTCTTCTTGGACTAATTTTAAAAGCATTTCTTAATAAGCTTCTGTCCAATTTTAAACATACCAATCATATTAGGAACTATCTGGATTGAAATAATCAAAACATTCTTCTTTTGACATATCATATTTCGAAGATGTTTATAAGAAACAAGAATGATTATTATTATGTTCGAACTTTCTATTTTTAGTTGATTATTATTGACCTGTTAATTATAAGAAACTTGAATGTTATCTCGATTTCAATTATTCTTCTAAATTTATTGATCCATGATAGATTTCAAAAGCAAATGAATATCTTATCTTTAATTCATCATAAGCATAATCAACACAACTACCTGGTGCTAAATAACCAATTGCCTATGATGCTACTCCAACATCACATGAAGGACAATATTTACCAGATATATCATTTAGAATATCCATCATTTTATCTTCATTTTATTCAGCTATAATATTTAATTTATTAATTACCAGCATCTGTAGAATAAGCATGTGGTGTAAACATTCCTAAAGTACCTGAATGAACTGTTAAGAATATATCTGGATTAAATGCTTTTAATGAATCACGAACTGCTCTTGTTTCAGGTTCTGAAAATGGATTTGGTCCTGATGTTACTTATCTTACATCATCTTAAACTTTTTGCCAATGTGCATCATAATTTCTATTTATATCTACTCCATTTTCGTTTTCTCTTAAACAATATTCACCTCCCTCTACTTTCTATCTGGAAAGTGGATTTGCATTTAAAATCAATCTTAATTCAAAATCATCCAAAATTTATTTGTTTTTTGGATCAGTTTTTTCATAACACAAATCATTTAAGAAATGAATTCCTGATTCAGGACTAATCAATTCTCTTGGATGTTCACCAAATAAAATATATGCTTTATTTGTTAGCTGTATTCAATACCTCTATATTTTTTGTTTTGATTTCTATTAATACTTACTTCTTTTATTAATGGGCTTTCTGAGGCATTTGATAATGATAAGAATGAACAACTTCTACTTAAAGATTCCAACTCATCATTCAATTCTCCTGTTGTGTGGTACTTGCTACTAAACTTAGTGGCATAAACAAATGATAAACTCAACAAGACAATTATTGCAATTTTCATTATATATAATAAAAACGGAACTTAGTTTAATTTCAGAATTGTAATATTTTATTTGTTTGATTGAATGGACTTCCATTTGAATGTTTCAACATAATTGGAGTTGCATATATTGTAGGAGTTGAAGTTTTAGGTTGTTCATAGGAATGATTTGATTGTTACGAATTTAAATTATTAGTATGATGTGGTATTCTCATACTCAATTGTTAATGATGCTATTGAGCTTGAAAATATTGACTAAAATAATGATTTCTAGGTTCAACATGAGGTGATTTATTAAGTTGTTTATAATGTTGACTATTATTATTTCTGATTGCTATCTATTACTTGACTCCTGGCTCACTAACTTAAGTTAAGCATCTATTTTTTGAATCATTCTTCATTTATTTGATTATCAATTACTCAAGCATTTATTTGGTCATTGACTTTTACTATTATATCAATTCGGCATTTAATTATTTTAGCCGTTTAATTTCATCAACCAATACCTAAATATCATCATTGTGTTTAATAATTTTATTATCATCATTCTTTTATATGATCTTCTTCTTATCAAAATCAAATTCTATCTCTATCTCTTCAGATCCCTACTTTAGTAACTTATCCTACTATTATAATAATATCTAATTTAATCTCTTCTCTAACATCCAATAATTCCGTTTCCAATCATCTAATTCCAATTCCATCTTCTGAATCATCTCTACTAATTTCGTTACTTTATATACTAAGAATGTCTCCTAATCACATTATAAATCTATCGTATCATCCATATCTATTTGATCCAAAATCTTCAATAAACTATTTGCTTCTATCTTACATGCAGTTACTTATGATTAACCTAAACTTTTTTAATAAAATTCTGTCTCCTCTTATATAACTTAAAGATCGTTCTCATCACAACGCTAATCCTCAAAAATAGAATTATCCAAATTGCACTTTAATTATACTATCTCTCTATTATGTATTCGTTCCTATTCCTCATACTTCTCTTCCCATATCTTTTTAACATTATATTTATACTTTTATTTATTCCTTCAATCCTTAAATCTCTTCTTCCAATTATTATATTGTTATCTTCATTTGCTATTAATATTCACTTTTCTTACATCATTATCTTATGCTTTTTAAACTGATGTCGTTGCTGATTCACTCCCTGTTGATTAATTTACTAACATTGTTATATTATTAATTATGATTAATTAATACATTGAAATCATTAAACAACTCAGACTTATCAAGATTGAACAATTATTATTATAAAAGCTAATCTACAAATTGGCTAATCAAATGAGACATTTTCCAGAGTTTAGAATGCTCAAAAAATTTAATAAAAAAACAATCAAAATTATTCAATCTTGTACTTAACAAATTAAAGAAAATACTTTTAAAGGACCAGAAATGCTAACAGAAATCGAGAAAGTCTAATCATTTCTATTAACGCTTTCATATATCATTACAGGAAATATAAAGAGAAAACTTCTCATATAATTTCAACTCTTAACTTTTGGTGCCATTAGCAGAATATAGGCATGCTTTGAGCAAGTTAAAAATATTATTAATGAAATGGAATAAGGTAAAACAAGCACAAATCCATAAATCATTTCTTGAGATATATTTCATTTATTTTATATAGTTAGAACATTCACTTAGTTTTTCTTTAATATAAATTTTGGCAAGACTGTTTATTTAACTTATGATTCTTTCAAAATCTTATTCAAATATTGAGACTAATCAGAAGATTTGATTTGTCGTTATGTTTGAACTTAAGGCATTAATTTATAAGTTGCTTTATCTTTATTTGAGCTTTCACTACTTGATGATATTTCTTCTTTCCTTTCAACTCTTTAAGATTAAATAGCTTCTAGAGTAATTGACCTTTTACGTAAATCACTGTCACAGTATCTTTATATTTCAACTCTCTTTTTAATTTTTGATAATGAAGCACCTTTAGGTTAGAAAGGAACTGTAAATTTTTTTACAATCATTTCCAATCTCCTTGGATCTGATAAGGAAAATTGATGAAAATCTTTTCTGATGCTCATTTAGTGAAAGCTTGTTGTAAATCGATGATTTTATCTTGTAAATGACATTTATATATATTTATTTCACTTTTCAATACATTAAATGAAATATCTTAATTGTTCTTGCAATTAGTCTAAGGTAGTTACTTCCTCTGCTTCTTCTTACTAACTTCGTTCATCATTTTAAATGAGAACTAATGCAAGCCATTACATCACTTGGATGAATTCATAATAAAATAATCCTTCAAATCCGTTAAACTTTTCATCATGAAATAATTCTTTATATGCTGTCTTAATAATTCCATCAAGATTATCACCCTTGTATCCAGAATCTTGGATAAGCTATTTTATTTCTTCTTATCTGATATGGAATTTAATATCTGAGTTATCATCATTTCCTTGACTAAACCTTTTAATGAAAATATTTTGTAATTAATCTTATATTTCCTTAATATAATTATATTTGATATTACTCTAATAAAATTGACCAAAATTTCATTGTACTTCATATGTTATTAGAAATTATTAAACTCTTTTTCATCGGAATTAGTTTCAATAATTTTATCAACAATTTTCATAACAAGTTGATCTTATGCTAGATTTGAGTAAATATTAAATTTACATTCAACTTCACTAAGATTATTTGTTTTTTTAAATTATGCCAATTCGACAATGATTACAAAGAATTCTTAGAATTTAACAGATAATTCTAAGCTTTTTCTAACATCTTTTGATTTGGATCCCTATTTATCATAAGTTTCAACAAATGAAAATAATTCCTAACTATCCTATACTAATCCGTACTAATATAAATGAAATGAAATACAAATTTTAAGAAATGCATCACATCTTAAAATGATATACTAATTTCATCTTTTTTAGCATGATCTGTATTATAGAGAATGGCATATTAACGAAAAACTTCGTAAAGTAGTGGCAATTTATCATCCATATAAGCTGCAATTTTATTGTAAAAGTTTTCTTCCTTTTTAATAAATAATATTGCTTTACAAGATCTTTAAGCTCTAGATTACCTTCAGCATTTTTGTAAATGATGGTCCACAATTTCTCAAATTTATATGGACATTCTTCTGCAGCAGATTGTTTATTTTTTTAACTATCTTCTCGTTTTTGAATTTGTTATTATTATAAATCTTTTTCTTTTTATTAAGCATATTCCATAATTTTTTTTTGTATTTCTTGTTAAGAATAAGGTTATGGTTGCTAAAACACAACATGACTAAAGTTTTTCATATCTAAAGGGAAGATAGATGATTGAGGTTCTTGTCCCTCTTTTTCAGTGATAATTTATCCAAAGAATTAATATGTAAAAGAACCAAAAGGAAGGGTGATGTCTGCGTAATATTTTTTAGAATTATCTCCTTCTCTAGATATAAAAATATATAGTGAACTTTTATTCTTTCATAATGATTTTATCTTTCGATGGATAATTTTTGGGATCGAATTCATGCATAACTTCCGGAAACATCTTATATTCATATTGTATAATATAAGTAGGTTCTTAACGTACACCTTTGGAATTTTAGGGTAATAATGAAAAGCTAATATAGAATTAATTCCTCATCTTTCCAAAGGCCTCATCATACCACTCTAAATTTTCGAAATTAGATAATACTTTCTTATTATTTAGTCATAATCCATCCTTAACCTTTTCTAATTTCAACTTGTGCAAATTGTTCTTATGCTTATTCTTCTTTATTAACAATATCAAATATTTTAGCACGTGGAGGTGGTGGAAACATATCGCCTTAATTAGAAAGGATTCTTAAATAGCAAGGTAAATAATTAGAATCAGGATTCTTTTTATTAGAATAAAGTTTGGCAGCAGCAAGAGCTAGCCATGCAAAATCATTCAATCCTTAACCAACATTGATGTAAAAGACAAATTCTTCTACCTGAACTTTAAATTTCATTATTATTAATTATATTTCAATGGGAATTTGCACAAATAAATAATATACATAGAATAATGATCCACCTTAAAATCATAGATAGAATAGATTATATTTGAATTATCAATAATTAGCAAATATCAATCATCCTTTGAATGTTAATCATAAATACAACAATTATTTCTAAATAATACCAGAGAGTACAGTAGGTAAGGGAATCAAAATGACCAATCAATATACTAGTAGATTAAGTAGAGAAGAATGGTTAGAAAAGAGAAAAGAATTTTGGGGTAGCATTTTATGTGTAATTTAAAGAATCAAGAGTAGAAGGTGAGAAAGTCTATTGGTAATCAATCTAAAAAGCAATTGAAGAACCAGATGAAGGTATAATCATTAATATTTAGCAAATGTATAAGCAATTCTTAATGCATGTGATCTAAAATTGGTTAATAATTCCATTTAATTATTGTATGATAATTCAATGCATAAATATGATGTTCCTGTTTTTATGATTAATGAACCTTAATCATTCCCATAAACCAAATTTTGTGATGCTGGTTTAATACAAGATTTTTAAGAAACGGAATTAAAAGTAAAATGTTTGTTAAAGTAATCTATTTGTAGATTAAAGTACGTTCAAATAAATTACCTTAAGATTTTGAAGTTCTTACTCACACAAACCAAAGCATCGCAGAATTAAAGACTAAAGTTTAAGAATCTGCCCCCTAATCTGAATAATGTAGATTATTTTTCAAAGGTAGAGAGATGAAAAATCATCATCTAATTGGAAATTATTAACTTAAAGACGGAGAAGTATTCTACTTACTATTTTGTAGATGGTCCAAGCCTTTATGTGATATTACTTATTAACAAACAATATTTAATTTATTATGGCATTAATTCATAATCAAAATGATATATAGAACATGTTTAGCAAAGCTGGTAAAATCACTTCAGAAAAATACATTGTTTTTTAAAGAAAGGATGAAATTATTAACAATAGGCCTAGATATTTTAAACCTAAATCTTAATCAGTTGCATTTCCAGATGAAATTAATCTCTAACCTGAAAAGAAGATTCCTGAAATCATCAATAAGAAATCATAGTAAATTACAGAAGCTGAACTTGTCTAACACAAAAATCAATTGAAATTATCCTAACCATTCTCTAAATAACTCTCTCGATAAGTTGGACATTATACTAAATTAAGTAATGATAATAAACCATCCTGTGGACAATATCATGTTAAATACAATGAATTAGATAAGTATATTTATTTATTATCATTAATTTTAGAGCTATTCATTCCATTCATGATTATGATAAATCCCTCAAATTAACCACTCCAAGACATGTTCCAGGAAAACTTGGATAACCAGAAGCCATAGAGTATACAACTATTCAATTTATTTAAGCAAACCTATTGTAGATCGACCGAGATTCTCTTATACTTGTTTTACTGATCTAACTAGATAAACACCTAGGTAATGTATTATTTTCTATTCTCTCTATAGACCTGATATCTTTTTTGGAAGACCAACTCCACATCCTGATAGATTCACTTTCTTAAGTGTTACTGATTCTTGGAGTAAAATTCCAAGAACTCCTTCTGTTTAATTACATAAATAATTGTCTAGAGATTAGATGATAATCTATAAAAAGAAATAATTTGCACCTGACTATCATCCCAATTTTGAATTCGGAAAAAAGTACTTATTTTAGTCTTAACCCTTTTTTTAGATAATTAGGTAGTTGTGGAGCTCCTTTTGATAAACTGGAAAAAAGAAAAGATTTTATGACCAAAATCCCACCATATAATAATGAAGCTTATTTTGAATTCGATGTCTATTCAAAAGATCCTTAAAGTAAATTATTTAGAAATCCAACTGCTCCCAATTTCGAAAAAATGTTAGAAAGAGAATGTGATGGAAAATCTCTATTACCAAGCTTTATGTAGGTAAATTAATCATTTTTTAATTAGAAATTTACCAATACTCGTCTTGGAATTACCCATTTAACTTAAAAAATGTTAGAAGTCAATAATTTTAGAGATGGAAGATTCTAAACTGTTACATCCAGTTTTATGCCATCTAAATTAAAAAAAAAATAATAACTTGATGAATCCAGCGAAGAAATCGAACAGATGGAAGATTAGTAATGAATTTATTTTAATATATTAATTATTCAAGTCTCAAAATGTTTTTAATAAAAGTATTTATTAATATCATATATATTCATATCATTAATCAAGTATCAACTCTCATTATATTTACTATTTATTATTTATTTTTTCATCATTATTCACATTCCTTTTATTTTTTCTAATTCAAATATTAGAAAATTTTTATAAATATTTTCTAGGAAAAATACTGAATTAATTCATAAGTTTTATTTAAAAAAGCTTATGTCAATCAGTTTTTTTAAAAGGTGTTTATAACCTTTTTCCCATTATCATCATTTTTTTTTGGAATGAAATACCAATCTGTTTTACTTATTTTTCCTAATTTTATTAATTTAAGAAATTTTATATCTTATTTTAAGATTATAACTTAATTTGAGTTTTTTTTTCTGGCATAACTTTTAATTTGTAAAAATATTTATGAGCATCTCTCTAAATAATCATCTAATCTCCTAAAATCACACAATTTCAGAGATTTTTGATTAAGTTTAAGAACAAATAAAAAAACAGCATTAAGAAATACAACAGATACAATTATAGAGATAAAAAACAAATGAAAAATTGTAAAAACACCTAGAAAAGCTCAATCACCTAGTTTAAAGATTGATCGATCAATAGATTAGTTAACATCCTAAATCTAAATAAAATCTCTCTAATCAGTAATACAAATATGAAATTCAAATGGATCATAATCTTGAACTTCCATGTTATAGAAACAGAATTTTTTCAATAAAGCTTCGACTTGTTGAAAATGATAAGGTTATTTTCAATGCAAACAATCTCCTTGTAGAATTGTAAATGTAAATATTATCTTATATTAGATGGACCTATGATAAAATACCAAAAAAACTTACTCACAACAATAGAAATTAATCAATATACAAGGGTTGTTAACAAACGATGATTAAAAAAGGCTATGGATGTTTAACTAGAATACAGATTAAAGAAGTTTCTTCTCATTTTCCAAGAGGACTATTATAACTTATAGTACTCCCAATAGATGATGGCGCTGTTATAGGAAATGAAAGGTATTTAATATCAAATAGAAATAGTAAATTGTTAATCAAAAAAGAATGGATCAAGCCACTTATAATAAATGATGTTTCAATTAAGGCAAAAAAATTTTCAGATAGACACTATCCTTATTTTGCAAAATCAGATGGCACAAGGAATGTTGTTGAATAAAATTGATTTTATTTCTTTTATCATATTATCAATCAATAAATTTAATCCATTTCCAAGAAATCTGGTATTTTTACTTGTATTAAAAATAATTATAAGTTGTTTTAATCAGAAAATTATAAAACTTGATTTTTATTTACCAATATTCTTTTATAAGAATTACTACATTTTCTCATTTCTTATTTCCTTATTTAGGTTTTTGAAAAAGAAAAAAATCAATTAGGNATACCAATCTGTTTTACTTATTTTTCCTAATTTTATTAATTTAAGAAATTTTATATCTTATTTTAAGATTATAACTTAATTTGAGTTTTTTTTTCTGGCATAACTTTTAATTTGTAAAAATATTTATGAGCATCTCTCTAAATAATCATCTAATCTCCTAAAATCACACAATTTCAGAGATTTTTGATTAAGTTTAAGAACAAATAAAAAAACAGCATTAAGAAATACAACAGATACAATTATAGAGATAAAAAACAAATGAAAAATTGTAAAAACACCTAGAAAAGCTCAATCACCTAGTTTAAAGATTGATCGATCAATAGATTAGTTAACATCCTAAATCTAAATAAAATCTCTCTAATCAGTAATACAAATATGAAATTCAAATGGATCATAATCTTGAACTTCCATGTTATAGAAACAGAATTTTTTCAATAAAGCTTCGACTTGTTGAAAATGATAAGGTTATTTTCAATGCAAACAATCTCCTTGTAGAATTGTAAATGTAAATATTATCTTATATTAGATGGACCTATGATAAAATACCAAAAAAACTTACTCACAACAATAGAAATTAATCAATATACAAGGGTTGTTAACAAACGATGATTAAAAAAGGCTATGGATGTTTAACTAGAATACAGATTAAAGAAGTTTCTTCTCATTTTCCAAGAGGACTATTATAACTTATAGTACTCCCAATAGATGATGGCGCTGTTATAGGAAATGAAAGGTATTTAATATCAAATAGAAATAGTAAATTGTTAATCAAAAAAGAATGGATCAAGCCACTTATAATAAATGATGTTTCAATTAAGGCAAAAAAATTTTCAGATAGACACTATCCTTATTTTGCAAAATCAGATGGCACAAGGAATGTTGTTGAATAAAATTGATTTTATTTCTTTTATCATATTATCAATCAATAAATTTAATCCATTTCCAAGAAATCTGGTATTTTTACTTGTATTAAAAATAATTATAAGTTGTTTTAATCAGAAAATTATAAAACTTGATTTTTATTTACCAATATTCTTTTATAAGAATTACTACATTTTCTCATTTCTTATTTCCTTATTTAGGTTTTTGAAAAAGAAAAAAATCAATTAGGTATACTTTTTGTTTTTCTTTTTTTTATTTTAAAAAAAAAAATTTATTCTTAACAAAATATTTAAAAAATGAAAATTTTTGAAAAGAAATAAAATAAAAATTTGTGAAAATTTAATCCTCCATAACAAAAATATAATTAAAAATTGTAGAAAAATATTGAATTAAAATTATTTCTAATTTTTATAAAAATATGCAAGCTTTGATACAAAAATATATTTATTACTTATTATGATAATTCATCTTATTTCAAGAAAAAATTTATCATTCAGATTACTAAAATTCTGATCTTATAAGTTATAATAGATAACTTATACATTTATGATTGAAATCTTAAAGCAATTAAATTATTATATTTAGTGATTGAAATATTAAAAGCAATTTTTGTTTTGAAGTATCAACACAATTTAAAAATTTTTTAATACATTATTTTGAAAGTAAGAAGTCTGCAAATTTAATACAAATATAAAATAAGTGAGTCTAAAACTAATTAATAGATATTTATGTCTATTTCTTCTGAATATTTAGGTTTTGAATCAACAAAACAATTCAATTTTAGTATCCATGCTAGTTAATTGTGATTATTGATCATGAAAATAAAAAATACTTTTTATAATTGTTAAGCGAATTCTTTAAATAGAAATTATAAAAATTATAAGAATTCAAAAAATTTTATTTAATTAAAAATTAGTTTTAAATAAAATTGTAAAGAGAACTAATAATAGAAGTATTTTAATTATTTTTGTAATTTTTTCTTAGATAATGCTAAAAAATGAATAGCTAGATCCAAACTTTATATGTCTTAATTATTATTAATGAATTTCTATTTGGTATAAATTAAAATTCCTAAATTAATGACCAGGCTTAACTTCTCTTTATAAATGGTGTTACGATTAATGTCTAAAATTTATTAAATGATCTTATATATATTTTTATTAATTCTCCTCTTTGAAAAAAATGCTAGATTATACTGGACAGACAAAAGCACATTCAGAAGGCAATCATTCTATTGTAGACTCTGATTTAGAAAGTTGGTAAAAGTAATAGATGTGAATTTAAATTTTAGAAGACCTAAATCTACTTCAGAACAAGATTATCGAAAACTTTTTGAAATAACGAAACATTGTTTTACTTCTAAAGTTCCTCAGGCAACCTGTGATGAGATTCCTGAGTTTAATTCATATGAGGATTCATTTTTTCTAAGACCTTCTCTGTGTACTAATAAATCAAGCAAATAAAGCTATGAAATTTTTAAGGAAGAGAAGTAATCAGAAAAAGAATTAATAACTCCAATAAATGAAGAGAATAAACATTTATTGATTAGGAGTGATTAAGTGCAATGTAAATTAAAAGGAATAAAAATGAAAAGTGGAGGCATCTACACAGGGTATTGGTACAAAAGAAAACCTCATGGCATTGGGGAATATAAATTTGCGGATGGAAGTAAATATAAAGGAGAGGTATATTTATGATACATAAAAAGTGGAATAATGGTTTTGCAAATGGGAAAGGGGAGTATTATGACACAGATGGAGGATATTACTTAGGAGATTTTCAACAAAACTGTATGCATGGTAATGGAATATATAAATATTCGGATGGAACAGTATATGATGGTACATAATAATGATAATGAAAGGTTAATGGTAAAATGACAAATATCATGGATATGGAATTGAAATAAAAATTGATAGCCAGTATAAAGGTAAGAATAAATTATAAACTAGGCAAGTTTTATAATGGTTGGAAACATGGATTTGGAACATTGGTGTTTTTGAATAAGGAAAAATATGAGGGCTTATTTGTGAATGGGTTATTTGAAGGAAAAGGGATTTTTGTAACAAATCTATTTTCATCTTTAGATATGGCCTGATGGAAGAAGATATGAAGGAGATTGGAAAAAAGGTTTAATGCATGGATAAGGGCTTCTGTAATGGCCTGATGGTAATTAATATGAATTAAGTAGGTCGCATCTATGTAGGATAATATGCGAATGATAAAAGATAAGGTTTTGGAACATTCTAATTTGCTGATGGTCGTAAATATGCAGGTTTATGGATGAATGGTTTATAACATGGATCAGGAGAGTTTACTGAATTTCATGGTCAAATAACCAAAGGTGTTTGGAGAGAAGGCAAATTGTTTTCTCTTCAATGATTATAATATTAATTTATATATCTCATAATTTTGGTTAGGAATACTTAGCAAAGTTCTCTGGAGTTGGTGCTGGGAAAAGACTTGGTGTGAATAGAGTACTTAAAATAGAATTAAATATTTACGCTTTCTTCATATTTCCTTTGATCTTCATTTATCCCTTTAAGAATGCTTCATTTGCTTATAATTTTCCTAGACAAACCTTTTCAAAATCATCATCAATCATTAAGAAAGTAGCATCAGCATTTTCTTTTCCTTCCTTGATTGCTCCTTAACCATTCTTTAAATCTATAACCCAAGATTTTATTACTGGACCACCTTTTTAGGTAATAATTTCAAAATTGAAAACTCCTTATACTTTAGGAATTAAATCCTTTCCTTCTCCTCTATCTAAAAATGCTTTCATTAAACCAAAAATCTTTTCAGCTTTAAGATTAACGCTTGGAGCCTAAGTACTTTACTAAGCTTAGCCTGTGGTAGTTTTTCCTTCTTTTTATTATTTAATGAAGTCCTCTTTGTTAAAGAAGATTTCAAAAATTTCAGAAGAAGTTTAAGGATAATAAACAGTATCCCCAAAACCTGCTACTTATTCCCATTTATCTCTAACATCTTCAGGAGTAAATGGAGTATCAAAGAAATATCCTTGATTTCTTTACCATCTCAATTTTGAAATATATCCAGCGCCTAATTCATAAATAGCTCCTGTTTCTTTAGATTCTTCATGACCCAAAACAGCAACAAGTGGAACAACATATTCTGGTTTTAAATTAGATAATAATTCTTTGCTCATAACAGTCTCTGTCAATCTACTAGCCGCTACAGGACATATTGAATTAACTAAAATATTTCTTTTTAATCCTTCTCTTGCCAAAGCCAATGTTAATCCATGAATACCCATCTTTGCCGCACAATAATTTGTTTATCCAAAAACGCCATAAACTCCTGATGCTGAAGATGTATTAATAATTCTTCCATATTTTTATTCTCTCATATATGGCCATGCAGCCTTAGTACATGAGTATGTGCCCTTCAAATGAACCTAAATGTCGTTTATCATATATTACTCTATATATAAGATCCCAATCTTCATCCTTCATTTTTTCAAATGAAACATCTCTCAATATTCCAGCATTGTTAATCAAAATATCAATTTTTCCAAATGTCTTAATTGCTGTATCAATCACTCTCTCTCCAAATTCAACACTATCGTAGTTAGCAACAGCCATTCCTCCAGCAGCTTTTATTTCTTCAACTACTTTATCAGCAGCAGATGATGAAGCTCCCGTTCCTTTCATCGATCCTCCTAAGTCATTTACAACTACTTTTGCTCCCCTTTTACCAAAAAATAAGGCATATTCCTTTCCTAAGCCATTACCAGCTCCAGTGATAACCACCACTTTCCCATCAAATCTCAATTAACTCATATTTTTAATAAACTAATACAAATCATCTTCATATTATATATATAAAGAACACTTTTAACAAATCGTGCGTCATATTTCAAACAGTGATTTAATTTATATATAATATTTTACCTTCACACTAATTATAATAATTATTTTCCTAAAGTATTGTACCAAATTTTAAAATTGTAGTTATCATTATAAATTTAAAAAATCAATTAATGCTTTTCAAATAAACAATATTTTCCTCTTGTTTTTTTTTGATTTTTAAGTCATCAAAAAAATTTACAATTTGATCACCTTATCATCTTTTTTGCTGTTCTTAAGAAATAATATAAATTTAATAACATTTATGTTTTCTTTTCTATTAAATACTTAATCCTCATATAGATTTTAATAGGGAATTATTAGAAGATTAAATATTAAAATTAAGAATGATTCTTTGAATAATTGAAGGGATTTTGCTGAAGTTATGAGAAAATCTTGAACAAAAAGATACTAAATTCTAAACTAAAGATAAATTAGATTGTTTGAATATAATAAAAGAATCATCAATAAGTATAAAGGATAATAAAAATTATGTGGTTTAGATTAGGATTAATTTTAATTATTATATTTAAAATAATGTCTTACGACACAGCCCTTACAGTATTTTCTCCAGATGGACAACTATTTTAAGTAGAATATGCAATGGAAGCAGTTAAAAGAGGACTTTGTTGTGTTGGAGTGAGAGGAAAGGACGTCATTATTTTAGGAGTAGAAAAAAAGGCAACATCAAAGCTTTAAGATGTTAAAACAATAAAGAAAGTTTATTAATTGGGTAGGAATTTATTAAAATATAGATCATAACCTATGTATGACATTTTCTGGATTAAATGCTGATGCAAGAATTTTAGCGAATCAAACAAGATTACAATGCTAATAATATAAAATTTATTATGAAGATGATCCTTCTGTTGATTACATTGCTAAATTTACAAGTCAGCAATAATAAAAGTTCACACAAAGAGGTGGAGCAAGGCCTTATGGTATTTCAACTTTAATTGCCGGATTTGATAATCATAATAAACCAAAGTTATTCTAAACAGATCCATCTGGAGCTTGTTCAGAATGGAAGGCTACTTCTTTAGGAAAGAGTGCAAAATAAGTGAAGGATTTTTTAGAAAAACATTGGAGAGAAGGATTACATGAGAAAGATGCTCTTTTGTTAACAACAAAAGTATAAAGTTTTAGTATATATTAAGGCTTTGATGGATGTAGTTGAAAGTGGAAATAAAAATATAGAATTATGTGTGATTAGAAAGAATACTTGTTGGTTTTTGAGTGAGGCTGAAGTTGAGGAGTTGACTAAAATAACAGCATAGATATAATGATTATTATAAACATTAAGAAATTGTACAAGTTTAGTAATATTATCATCTCTTATCTGTTATTGTAAATAAAAGAAAATAGATTATAGAGAGATATTTAGAATACTTTTCATAATAAATTAAAAATATTAGGTATAATTAAAAATTTTGATTAAATTTCATTTTTTAATCTTAATATTGAGACTTTAATTTATTCTAAAAATTAATAATATTTATCATAATTTCTTTTATTCTGAATTCAAAATATTATAATTAATGAAATAAGAATCTTGGGATGATTTGCATTTATCAAATGAAAAATCTATTACAAAAATTTTAGAGTTAGGAGAGTAAGTGTTGTTTTCAAGTTTACTCTATAAATTTAATGAGGTGAACAAAAGACAAGAGAGAACATTACTAATTACAACCAATAACTTGTACAATCTTTCAAAATTGACAGTGAAAAGAAAAATTCCAATAAAAAGAGTTTATGGAATAACAATTGGTTTGATTGGTACAGAATTTGTCGTGCACGTGCCAGAAGAATATGATTATCGATATTCAAGTTCTGAAAGAAGAGATTAAGCAGTCTTAAGCATTATAAGGGCTTATTGTTTATAAAACAAAGGTATATCTCTACCAGTGTTCTACAAAGATGAACTTACATTAACTGCATATACAACAACAAAAATAGATAAAAGAAAAGGAATAAATAGGTTGCCAACCACCGGTTCTGAATTAATGAATGAAGAATAGTTCAGAAAGAGATTAGATTCATAAACAGAAGAACGATTATAAACAAGAGCAAAGACTTCAACACTCTATGCAAAATAAAAAGGTGAAGCAGTAACAATTGATGATTTTGATCTAATAAAAGTTTTGGGAAGAGGTGCTTATGGAAAAGTGATGTTGGTTGAAAAGAAAAGCGATAAATAATATTATGCTATGAAATCAATCAGAAAAGAGGATATTGCTGATCCTGAGTAAATAGAACACACAAAAACAGAAAGATTAGTTTTAGAGCATGTCAATCATCCATTTTTAGTAAATTTGAATTGGGCATTTTAAACACCTGAAAAGTTATTTTTTGTTACATAATTTATGAAGGGTGGAGAATTATTTTAGCATCTAAAACATGTTAAACGATTTGATGAAAATCGAACAAAATTTTACGTTTCAGAAATAGTAAATTCTTACACATATTTTAATAGGTATTAGCTTTAGAACATTTACATTAAAAAAATATTATTTACAGAGATCTTAAACCAGAAAATGTTTTATTAGATGAAATTGGTCATATTTGTTTAACAGATTTTGGTATGGCAAAAATGTTGAAAAAAAATGAACTCGCAAAATCATTTTGTGGAACTCCTGAATATCTAGCTCCCGAAATACTTCTTGAAATCGGACATTCTTAATCTGCAGATTGGTGGGCTCTAGGTATATTAACATATGAAATGCTCTATGCACTTCCTCCATTTTACAATAAAAATTAAGATTTAATGTTTAAATAAATCTAAACTAAAGATATTTCATTTCCTACTACACCAAATATTTCTAATGAAGCTAAAGATTTTATGTATAAAGTAATGATTATTTATTTGAATAGTTAACCATAAAAGATCCAAAATAAAGATTAGGTCATAGTAAAATTGATGAAGTGAAAAATCATCCTTGGTTTAAAGGAGTGAATTGGGAAAAACTGTTAAAAAAAGAAATAGATACTCCTTTCAAACCATAAATTTAAGGTGATGCTTGGATTGATAATTTCGATAAACAGTTTACTGCAGAAGAAGCAATAAATTCATACGCCCCAGAAAATAATTTAGTCAATCAAGATGAATTTAGAGAATTTGACTATTATCAAAAATAACATTGAAATGCAGATATCAGTATAATAGAATCACTTATTAATTATGAATTTATGGTAAAGTAATTCTAAAGCAGTAGGCCTTAATTTGTGATCCCTTTATAGGCACAATCTAATAAATTAACTTAATTCTTGATCTAAATCTTCAGGAATGCTTGGTAGAGCATTATCAGAAATAATTAAAAGTAAAGCACTTAATGGATTATCGAAACCATGTTCATGCCAAGGTTTTTTTCCTGTTGCCATTTCTAACACAGTACATCCAAAAGACCAAATATCGCTTGCTCTACAATTTTCATCCTAACTAGCCACCTTTAGAGTTAATAGTTATCGTTACTTCAGGAGCCATATAAGGAATGCTTCCCTTTAATGAATGCAAGATATTCCCTCCTTATTTAGATCTCGATATTGTTTTCTCTTTTATTTTACTACAACCAAAATCTCCTAATTTAATCTCACCATTAACTCCTAGCAACACATTCCCACCTTTTATGTCTCTATGAATAATATTATTATCATGAAGATATGCTATGGCTGATAACAATTATTCAGAATATGATCTAATTGTATTTAAATTTAGAGGTCCAAACTTTTCTGTCAATTAAGTTAATGTACCTATTTTATTATAAAAATTAACCTTAAGACATATATTCTAAATACAGTAATTAATACTCTTCATTTTCTTAATTCCAAACATATCTTATTATATTTTTATGCTTTATTCTCTTCAATAAATCGATTTCACTTTTCAATCCCTACAAATCTTCTTATTCAAAGTCTCCTTTTAAATTAATCTTCTTAACAGCATATATTTTGCCTGTTTTATTTTCCTATGCTATGTAAACTTATCCAAAAGATCCTGCTCCAATCATTTCTCCTTCGGTAAAGCTTGGATTTTATTATGAAAAATTGAATTATGAATATGTAGATGAATCATTAACAATTTTATTTGAACTACTAGATTCTATAGCTTATTTCTAAGAACTAGAGAAGGATTGATTTTTCATTGCAGTAAATCTATTCTCCATAAAGGATTCAATTTTTGATACACACTCTTCTTTTATGATTGTATCATCCTAAAAGTCTATATTAATTTTCATATATACCATTAATTGGGAATTCTATCATTCTAATTGCTGGACTTTAAAATTTATTTTCTATCATTTCTTAAGATTCTGTATTATTTTTTACAAATTTAACTTGATAATTTTTAAGTTTGCGAATTATCATTCCTTAAACTTTAAAATTTTTAGTTGAGGAATAACTTTTCTATTTTTGAGAATTGTCTGTAACTGGCCGATTATCTTACTTCTTCTCAATTGATAGCTTTTTCAATTGAGAAGGTGATCGAAAACTCATTGGAATTTTAGTTGTAATTGTCGGATCAATTTTTACTTTTGGAGAAAGAAGTGGTGGCAATCCAGTATTATTAGATATCTTAGGTTTAATTTTAGCTATAACTCAAATTTCTTGAATACTTTATAAATCTCCTCTTTTAAGAATGAAATTCATTTTATAATTATATTATATTTTATATTTTTCTAATTTTCCACTTCATTAATTTAATACACAGTAACCATTAAATTATTTTCATAAACCCAATAACTCCATTAAAACATTTCTTGAAAATAACTTATAATATTTCTACTTAAATTTATTTACCTTCTAGTCTTTTGTTATCAATTATGAACCATTAAAGTAACAATAAAATATCCAATTAATTCATAAAACAGAGAAAATATAATACATTTTCTAATTTATTTTTTAAATATCTCCTATTTTTATAAGAGAGGACTCCCTTCTTTGTTATTATACTGTGTAAAGATGCTCAAATTTAAAAAGAAAAAATTTAAATTAATATATCAGATATATATCATATTTTTTAATTAAATAGCCTACTTTTCAGCAATATATTAAATGTATAAATATTCAAGAATTTTTTTTTTTTTATAATAACCGTATAAATATCTATGTCAGACTGTAATATTGATATCGGCTTGAATTTCATTTTACCAAATCTTGAATGATTCAAAACTAACTAAAAAAAAATTTATTTTTTTTCAAAATAAAGCTTTTAAAATAGCTATATCTAAAAGAAATTTTTGACTTGCTTATCAATAAAATAAATTAAGGTATTATTTATTTACTAATATCCTTTTAAAAATGAAAAGAAGATTAAAGTTATAAATTGAATGAAGAATAAGAAAAAATAAAATTTTTTACCCTCTTTCAAGAAAGAAGTTGAAAATTTAACTATATATTGAATAAGATATCTACTAAGTTTTGATTAAAAAAAATAATTCTACTACAAGTATTTTAAGTTTCACTTCTACAAATTATGATTCTTTATCCAAAAATTTTGAGGATTCAATAGAACTACTTTTAATCTAATTTTTATGAATCATACTTTTTAATTATTGACTATAATTTTTAAATATTAACAAAAGTAACTATAATGAATAACAAAATTCTTTAATCATTTATTTACTAAACCTCGAATTGTTTATACAGTTCTAGAACTAATCTAATAAAGAGGCCTAATTTATTAGCGAATAGAACTATCAAATTCAGAACCCAAAGGAGGTTTTTTTGAAAAAAAATTATCAGGAACCATAGTTTCATTATTTTATGAAATTAAAATAGTCTTTGTTATATCTTAAATAACATATTTAGATACCTTTCTACTCGAAAAAATGAGGAGACTTAATCTCTGGCAAATAAAGATCTTACTTTTTTTCTATTTTTTAAGGACTAAAATTCTCTTAAAACATTTTGAAGTTATTTTTTTATTTTAATGATTCATTTATGAATGAAATATTTTTATTATTTTGCAAGACTTGCTTATTATTATTTTACGATATCTAATAATTTTTAGCTAAAAGATTTATATTTTCAGCATTAAAAATGCTATTAATTTCAATCTCATAACTTTTTTGATTTCTATTTTATTTTTTTTTTGGACTTATTGAGAATGAATACCTATTATTTGTATAATGATATTTATTTGGACTTGGACTCCGAAACATGATAATAGTTTTATTCTTGTATTAACTTTATATTGGTTTATCTATCTATAGAGTCTTTAGTTATTAAGCTTTTTCTAATAAAGTATTCATTTCAATTGTTGGTTAGGGTATTTATTTATTTAATCGTTAATTCCTTTCTAAACTTTAAATGTACAATCTTTCTATATTTTCTTGTCTTGTTTTATGAAATAGGATGAGGTTTGAACAATATTATCTAATTTTTAATTATTTATTACTTTTATAATTACATAATATCGTAGAGCTTCCAGAAATCTTTATCATAAAATTGAGATAGACATTTATTTTCTTGAATATTAAGTTGCCAAGATGGAATTGATTTCTTAACTAATATTTAATTGGGTTTTTCATTTTTTTCTTAAATTATCAACTGAGACTTTCCATGAATTTTATTAAGTATAAAATTAAAATCTGAATTATCATTGTTCAGGATATCCCTAATACTTATAATATAGTCAATGGCATTTTGAGTCTTACATTTTTAAAACAATTCAGAAACTCTGATTTTGAAACGGTGGATCAATCTGGTGTTAGTATAATTATAACTTTTTATCATGATCTTAGAGCTAATAGTATTTGTATTTTGCTATTAGTAAAGGAATAGTCACATCTAGATCATTTTCCTTTTGTTAAATATATTCATTGATTGCTCTATAAATTTTATCTAAATCGTCAGGATTGAGCTCATATAATTTATTTAATTCCATTTTTATTTATATAAATAGGCTGACACTAAATTTAAATCAAATTAAATTATTTAAATGAACACATACAGAATAATCATTTTAAAATTCTTTAAAGAATTTTTATTGAGATGATTGATTAGGTTTATGTAAATTTAACTTTTTCTGGGGAAAGATAATAAAATACTAGTAAAAATCTTAAAAAAAAAAATAAAATTACAAAATGTTAAAAATTAAACATTTAGGATACTTTAAGAAATTAATAATTTATTTGGAATTTTTATTTCAGCTATTCAGAAAAAAAACATAAATTATTTAGAAAGAGTGACTTTGATATTAATTAAGATTTTTCTATATTATAAATATATTTAATTGACATTGTCAAATAATGGGTACTTGTGCTACGTGTAATACAAAGATAGAAATCGTGGAGAGTGATATTATGATATCTAAAGAAAGTGTTTTTTAGAAATTAAAAGAGTTAAATCAAAATACAAAATCAACAATTTTTTTGACAATGAGAAGCAATAAAAAGATTGGTTATGAAAATTTAGTAGATTAATCTTCATAAGTTAGTGAAATAAATGATGAAAGATCTGAAATGAAAAATATACATGGGAGTGTCAAATTAAGAAAGAGAATTTATAGTTTTTAAGAAAAGCAATTATAGTAGGCGCATTTTCTTATTAATGATCAAAATGACTCTGCTAAAGTTAGATGTTTTAGATTTACAGATCCTAATCTTCCTAGAAATTTATCAAACTCATCAAGTTCAAATAGTTAATTTAGAGAATTTAATGCACATTTCAAAATTAGTGATAAATAAATTATTGAATCTGATGAAAGTAAATCAATAAAAAGTATTTTAAAAAAAAAACCAAGGTAATAGAGTGAGACTAAATCGGTTCACTTTGCAAAAAATATTGATAGTTAAACAAGAATAAAATCAAAATCTTGTCATCATAAATAAAATAAAAAAAAAAAGAAAAAGCTAATTAAAAATCATACTTAAAGATATGAAAATTATTAATTTTGATATCACTTTTTTTATTTACTAACTCCTTTTTCATCCTCTGGTTTAGGACCAATTCCTAATAATGTATCTTTAAATTTTTGATATTCGTTTTCAAAGTTTGAAATATCATCAAGAACTTTATTCTTTTAAAATTAATTGAATAAATACATCTCCAGATTATTTAGTTTCTTTTGAAGCTTGAGCTAAAATTTCTTTTTCATTTTGTTATTTTGCTTATTACTCTCTAAATTTAAATCTTTCTTAAAAATAATTAACTCTTTTAAGTTCTCTTTCCCAAAAAGCCCTCATAACTTTTACTTCATTTCCTTGATCTTTACATAAACTTTATGGAAATTCTAATAAATGTAAAGTTCCATCTTAATCTCCAACAGCCACTATATGTGCCATATTATCATTAAATTTAAGAGATGTTATGGCACAAGCAACAACTTAAAACTGTATGGTCCATTTATGTGATTAATCTAACATATCCCAAACATCTAAATTTCCATCAGTTTTTCCTACAATTATAACACCTGCTCGAAATGGAGAAAATCCACCACAAGTTATATGAGCTCCTTTTAAAACAAAACTTTCAAAAATTGGTAGGCTTGAGTTGTGTTTCCAAACACAAAAATTGAAATCATAAAGAGTAAGAATAATATCATCAAAAAATGGACTAATATCCAATGCAATAGGAGGTCTCATACTTCTTGCTTATTGCCATATTGCTGTGACTAATTAATTCTTATTTCCCTCTTCTCCTTATCTTTCCCCCCAATCTAAAATAAAAACTTCACCTTCATCTGAAGTTCCTGATAATGTTGGTGCTTTCTAATCTATATTTAAATATTATATATAAATACTCTTCCTAAATTATAATTATCCACCTCCCATCATTCCACCTCCTTCAGGTCGATATAATTATATTCCATATGTAGCTTTCCAAGGTATAGATTAAATCTATACTCATATATAAATTTATTACATCTTATTATGTTTTCTTGCTATCCTTGTCTATTAAACGAGTGTCCCAAAATAAGATTTATCCATCAGAACTAATACTTGCAAATTAATAAGTCTCTTATGATGATGTTAATATAAGATGATTAAAGTGTTTTTTATCGAATTCCATTCCTATTGGAAACCATTTAAGTGCTTAAGCAGGGCTTTTATGAGAAGCAACCTATTTTTTTAACACATCATTTGAAGCACCAGCTTAATAAGAAGCAGGATCTTAAAGAGCAGATGTCATTTTAGGTAGTAATTCTTAAATTTCATCTAAATTTATTTATTATAATATACTTCTTTCTTATTTTGTCTTTTACGTCTTCTTTGATGCAAAAACAGATAGAGCTGTTCCACTTAAATCCCATAACATAACTTATCCATTTATTGCACCTCCTATAATTATATTAGGGTCTTTTGGATTGAATTCAAATGATAGTATTTCCAGTGGAGATTATAATAATAAAACTGGCTCTATTGAATGAATGTCTTCAAAGTCCCAAAATACTATAAGAGATTTATGAGATTTTAATTATGAAATTGCTCTTTCTTCAAAAAATAAATTCTCTACAAATGATTCTGCAACGATATATTTTGATTTTATTGCTTAACTTGATGGTTGAAATTGTATGCATTATATTTTTTTACCTTTACAATTTAAGTAACTGAAACTTTTAATTTCTTTGATTACATTTGTAATTTCAGCATTTTAGTCTATAAAAGGTTTTACTTATTTATATACCTGCATTTAAATCTGATGATGGGAGAACATTGAAATCATCTTAATAAATATCAATAGTTTCATTTGATTAAAGTGCTTCTTCCATAAGAGGATTGACAGTTTCTAAAAATTTGTTAAGATGATAATCTTCATCAGGCTATTCTTTTCTTTCATCTCCTTCATCAACTTATAATGCTTTATTAATTTTTCTGTTCCAAACTGTTTAAGAGCAAGCATCTAATACAGGATTACATCCTTAAATTCCCATTTCAATAACTTTATTTTTTGATAATTAAAGGGGATCCTTATCTAATGCTTTAATTTCTCCTGTTCTTTCAGATGTCTCTTGATCACTAAATTTGAATGTCAATCTTAAAAAAATGTGAATTAAAAAATGGATACCCAAATTCTTTTCTTTTTTTAATGAATTGCATTTTGATAAATGGTCTATCTTTAACATATAAGGATAGAATTTCCTAATAAAATAAAAAACTTAATTACTTGAATGGTTTCATCATCATGATTTGTTTTATAAGGTCTTGGTTCAATAGGTTTATCTTCAACAAAATCATCTTCATCAGAGAATTCTATAAATTTTGTATATAAATACCCTCTTAGTCATCTGAATCATGTTTGCTCATTTTTTTATATTTTTATAATAATTAGTAGTAGAAAAGAGATATTTGTTAGAGGATAAATTGATAATGTTAAAATAAATAAATAAAAAGAGAGAGAATATATGTAAACTTGATGAATTATAATTGTATAGAATCAGAGATGGTTAATTATACTAAAATAATTTATTAGTAAATTAATTTAATTTATCGTTAGATGTTTGTTTGTTGTGGTAAGAAGAAGAAGGATCGTAAACATTTATCATTAGGAAATCTGCATTAGTTAAATTTAATTTGTTAAGATGGTCTTTATTTCGATAAGAATCTTAAAATAATAACAGAAAATAATAAGACTAATGTATTATTTAGATTAATAATAATTAGGCAAGTGAAATAGTGAGTAAAGAATGTAAATATTACTGTCCAATCTGCTTCAAATATTATGATTGTATTGAATAGTAGTTTATATTAGGTATGTTACAATCAACTTGTTGTTCTAATTATGTTTGTCATATTTGTGCAGTGCAATCTTTAACAAATAAGATGTATAATTGTCATTATTGTCGGAATGAGCAGTGTAAATACGTGGATGTTGATCCAAATTAATAGTTAAAAATATACACAGATTCACACTATAAATTATGAAAATACTTATAATAATTAAAATTATAAAAATATTAATATTTTTATGATATGTATTTTAATGTATAAATCATTCATCAATGGATTTTGAGGCATAATTGATTTCACATCTATAGATAGATTATAACTCTTTATTTCTGATAAAGTCAATATTTTTCAATTATTTATAGAAACTAAAATATAAAGATAAGTTTGTACTCTGAAAATTCATCACGATCTTTGATGGCAATTTTTCCTAATTATTAGAATTTGTTTTCAAGGATTCCATTTAAATCGCAAGTAGTATTACGAGCATGACCAGATGGGAACATCACAAATTGACTATCTAAATTTTTGCCATCTTTCAATAAGATTTAAACTCTGGTAGGAATACCTTCTGGATATTTATCATCATATTCTTTTCCTCCATGTTCAAATTCAGTTAATGCCATTAATTTCTAGAGAAATATTAATCATAATATATACTCTTGTATCCTTATTTCTAACAGCAGCATGACTATAATCATAAGGTGAAAGGAAGAGAGCCTTCCAAATTTCATTCAAATCTTTAGTTTAAGTTAATAATTAATGGAATGATTCATCAGTAAATGCTTTTCTTAACATAGTACCTAAAATATAAACCATAGAATGATCAGCTGATTATCTTGTATGAGGATCTCTTTTAGCAGGATCTCCAATAATTCCAAAAGCTGGTTCATAAGCAGTAACTTTGATTTTTTAAATAGAATCGATTGAATAATTTTAAACAAATTTAGTATCTAAAATAAGTTTTTACAATCCTTCTAATGCACCAGCAGATTGATGTTCATATAAACCTAATTTAAAATGCATTCCCATCACTGCAAAATCATCTCCTTTTAATGAAAGAGTAATATCAAATGGACTATCTCCATTAGTTTTTTAGAATAATCTAAAAATAGCTTCTGGATTACGAAAGATATCAGCTGGACCAATAAATCCATTCATTGATCTCTACAAACATTTAATAGCAGCTTCAGTAGAGATAGCAGCAGATGCACCTTTTGAATCAGATAATTAATGTCCTGCTCTAATTGCTCTGAATGGAATGTGATGTGCAACAAACATACCAATAGCTGATTCAATTTATGCAGGAGTAGCTCCTAATAATGCTCCATATGTGCATATTGATGCAATAGCTCCATGAACAACATGATCTATTTAATATATAAATTATATTTATGTACCAATTTTATATGTCTTCAATGAAAATACTTCAGCTAATCTTCCTCTAATTTCATCACTCAATACCATTGCTTTAAGTGCTTATCTTCCATCGATTGATTCATTTTATTAAGCAGCTGCTATTATAACTGGATAATAATCATTATGTCCAAATTCACCTGCTCTTCTTGCTGCACTACTTGCATCATATCCAAATACTGTTCCATTGGAATCCCATTCTCTAACTGCAGCACTATTTGCTACTATTGCATTTGTTACTGGAACCCATAAATTACTACCAAAGAGCTTTGCAAATCCTGGTTTGGGTTTAGTAGCAGCTCCTTACTTAGATGCTAATTATTTGGCTTCTTAACTTATAATTTTATTATATTCTTACGCTAATACTGTTGGGGCATTTGTCCTTAAAGCCAATGCACTTAAACCACAGAATACTGAATCTGTATGGAAAAGTTTGCATCTCTCTGTCACTTTTACACTTGGATTACCATTCTTCATGAATTCTATTGCATACTCTCCCAACTCTCTTGCTTGATTCTTATTTGCTTTCAAAACAACTTGACTAAAGGCACGGCTTATTGTTTAGGTTAACATTAATATCTTTTTATTTAATGTAAAATTTAAATCATTCTCAATTTATATAGCGTATTAATATCATCTAATTTTATATGACAATTATTCATTTTCATCAAGTTAAATACGCAACAAAAAATTATTTATATTTTATATTTCACACCATCTACTAAAATATTTTATCTTTCTTCTCCTCTCTATTTTTAATCCACCTCTCAACTTATTTTATCATATCAATTACTATTTCATACTTAGTTACAAAAATCATACAATCAAATTTTTTTTAAACATAATCATAACCTCTTCAATTTAAGTTTTTCATTCTTTTAATTTTCATTTCAAATTTATCTATTCTTCTATCCCTCTTTAAATACTATAAATATATGAAAATCAAAATACTTCAAAAATTATACAATGAAAACAAAAGCCTTTATAAAATCACCACGACATAAATTCAATATCACATAATTATTAAATAAAATAACTAAAAGAATTATGCAAGAAGATCTTTTAATAGTTTAGATATAAAAATAAGTTTTGTAAGAAGCATTATCTATAAATGAATGAAAATGAAATAATATAGTTTTTATTACAACTCTTTGATTATTATTGAGTCATTAGCTATAAAATGATCTCAAAATCATAATTCTTTTCCTTTTATAATAATTAAATTTCACATTTTAAATTCAATATTATTATATAATTTGAAAACTTTTTATATTTATTTCATTTTGAATCTTTCAAAAAATTTCAAGAATTATTTCTAGGTAATATATCAATAATAGCTTCAAAGATTCCATTTTTTAATAATTTGCTCAATCTTCAGAAATTACAAATTTCATTTCATTATTATTATCAAAATTAATTTTTTAAGGATTTAAAATATCAATTCTTCAAAATCGTTCCTACAAACTTGTTCTTTATGGAACATGTTAAATTTTATTACTAATTAAAGACTTCTATTTGCTACTTTCAAGAAGGTATCCATTTTTGCTAAGATAGAATAAATAATCGATTTATTTGTTCCCTTTTAAAATTATAATTCTAAAAATTAATTATACTCCTATTTTTATATATTTTTATATGGTTCTGATCTGTTTCCTTTTAGGTTATAACTTTTATGTTATTATTATATATATTTCATAGTGATCTTTTTTGTTCTTATCTCCTTATAATATTAATATATAATAACTATAATAACATAAGGACCATTATCAAAGTCATTCTCATGTAATTTCATCTTGATATTTATAATTAAAATAGAATAATGAATATCTTAAGTAAAAATGAATTAAAATATGTATCCATATAGATTGAAATTTGATCAATTGCAAAAAAAGAGATTTTATTTTGAATCTTGAAAGTTTCTAATAATCATTAGTATAAAAATATTATATAAATTTTTCATCTAGGTCTGATAAATATGTTAATATTTTGGATTCTGATTGAATGCTATTCATAAGGGTTTGCAAAAGAGTTTTCTATTTATTAGAATGATGAATAAGTGCTTGATAGTTTTTCATAATTTGGAATAATTTTGGGATCAAATATAACATATGAAAGTCAAACAGATTAACCCTGTTACATAATAAATTAAAAATTAAAGAATAAACAATCAGAGGAAATTATTCTTATACCTGAATTTTAAGAAGTTACCTTTAGTAATTATTTCAATGATGGGAAATTAAATAGAGATATAAATTAAATTGTATAAGTTGTTCAAATATCAACTGGTGCAATTGTTATGAGCAATCAAGGAGAATTGATTTATTTAAAATTAGTAGAGAATTCTTTTAAATTAGTTGAATCAAAGATGCTTTCCATTAATAAACAATAATTGCTGAAACCTGTTTATATGTAATTCATCATATTGTCAAATGAATTATTGATTTTACTGAATGGTGAAACTTTCAAGATAAGATTGGAATTTGAAAGTGAATCGATTTTTGGTGAAATCACAAAGATATATGATGTTTTTTTAACAGAATAGATAAAAAGTGTAGCATTTGTAGAAGATTTATTATTTGTAGCATCAGGAGAATTAGGATTGCATATTTATTTAGTTAGTAAACGAGTATTTGAGTAAATATCATGTACAATTGAATTTAAAAATATTACAGATTTAAGAGTTTTTTAAGATCAATCAGTTTACTTTATTTTTGCTCTTGATTATGAAAAAGGAGTAAAAGTAATCACTTTTAATGCAAAAACATCTTTATTTTATGAAAATAATAAATTAACAAATATTCCTTATAGAGGAGAGATTATAGACTTGTATTAAAATGTGTTGATGGTTGTTGAAGAGAAGGAAAGTGAATCAATAATTCATGAATTATAAATATCATATGAAAATAGTACTTGGAGATTAGTTCATTAACATTAAGCATAGAAATATATTCAAGATATTGAGATGACTGATAATTATGCACTCATTATAGGAAGAAATGGACATGAAATCATTTATCATTCTCTTCCTACTTACGATATTTAAATTTAGGATAAAATCATTATACCTGGATTATAGAAACTCTTTTTTCTTAATAAAACAGAGTCTCATAATATTCAGATGTTCGGAATAACTAAACATAAATTCTTCACTACAAATTTATAATTATTTCCCCAATTAATTAGTTGTTTTTATAGCAAAGACGATAATGAAATTAAGTTAACATATCATCAAAATTCAACAAAATGCCCTGGGTCATCTTAATCAAAGATCTGTCATTACAAATAAAATTATACAATAACATTCGTTCATCCTGTTCTTACTTCTGAACAATCAATTTATGTGTATATTACATGTGTAGTTATTGTAGCAATCTTTATAATAGTTTTAGGATTATTGATAAAAGAATTCAGAAGATACTAATATTTTGTGAATTTTCACAACCCAAAAGATTCTTACATTTAATAAAGTGGAAGTAGAGCATAACCTTCTAATGATATATATGCTTTAAACTCATTTGATAGTCCTATGAAAATAAGTAAATTAACTTATATTCCTTCCATTCCTATATAAAATGACTAAAAGATTGAATGAAAATATAAAATTAAATATTTTAATAGTATGCTCATAATTCTTTAACTTTTGATTTACTAAGCATAATCTGAACTTATATAGATTTTAACTAAGCAGGAAGTAATTTTAGAGGTCTTTACTTCAGCTGGAATAATCCTTGAACAATAATTAACAGATTAAAGATTATGTCACATTGTACCATAATAATTAGTGGCTCATGACATTGATGATAATTCAATAACCTTAATCGAAAGTTACAAAGATGAAATATTTAGTTAAAACTTTGAGCTTGGATCCTTTGTTGGCAAAATAGGAAAGATTATAAAATTTGTATAAGTTTCTAATGGGGTTTTGGTGTTATAAGATGATGCTCAATTAAAATATTTAAGTTATCAAAATAATTCCTTTAGATTGAAATCGACTTTTATGTTAGAAATTGACAAATTCGCTTTAGAAGGCAATGTATTCTTAGAATATTTTTATTATCAATAATAAGTTTTATTGATAGCAAATACTTAAACATTAGCATTAGATTTAATTTATGATGATGAGGATCTGTATCTAAAATAGTATAAAATTTATGAGCAATGGCAAATATCTCATATAAACAGTATTGCAACAGTTGGTAATATTATGATTGTAGCTATGGATACTGGAATCAAAATATTTGAATTCAAGGATCATTTATTAAATGAGTTATTAATAGAAATCGATTAAATTAATCGTGTTACTGATATCAAAATTTTTAATAAAAAAAATAATGAAATTTACTATATTTATTTATTAGATAAGATACAAGGAATTAATCAGTATATTTTCAATACCGTAACTTAGAATCTTTAACTTAATTCAAAATTAGGTATCATTCCATATCCAGGTGAAATCCTTGATATTTATAATGAAATATTAATGATTGTGAAAGATAAAAATCTATATGAGATTCGAGTAGATTATTATAGAAATTAATTTACACTTGTTAAATAGCATGAGTTAGAAACTGAAATTATTGATATTGAATTGACAGAATAATTTGCTATTGTAATAGGTAGAAATGGTCATTAAATATTGTTTCATTCAATTCCATCCACTTATTCTTAATTTGAGTGGATGAATCAATTAGTTATACCTAATTTAAAATAATTGGGTATTTTATCTTTGAATTTAGATTAATAAAAATAATAGCTTAGAGAGGGTACTTCTTCTCATAATATAATAATTGGAATAACATAACACAAATTCTTTTATTCTAAAGTGGAATTGGTAAATATCTTGATTATTGAATATAGGAAAAATCATTTATATAATGTTATTCAGATGAAATGACTACTGAAATTCAATTAAATTATAGTCATAAGGCAACTAGATGTAAATATAATTTGAAGAGTCGAGAATGTGAACTTATTAAAACATATAAAATCTAATTCGTTGAACCTAAACAATTTGGAGGTAATAAATAAACTTATTTACTAATAATATTGCTATACATAGTGATATTATTATTATTTATTTTATTTATTGGAGCCTTAATTTATTTGTATAAGAAATATCAAGTAGATCATGAAAAATATAATGAACATATGCCAGATGTAACATAAAATTTGAAAACAGACAATTAAAACAATTTTTAAATTCCATCGTCGAACTATTTAGTCCCTATCTCTAGAGATGACCAAACACCAATCTCTGAATAGCGAGAATAGATGAATCAATAACTTCGAAATAATAGACCAATAACATAAGAAAATGGTGATTTATCTCCTGGACCCTTTGAAATTGGTTGAATTTTTAAAAAATCATTATTTTCTAATTAAAGTATATATTAATTCTAATTATATATATATATATTATATGTCAACCACGTTAAAAGCGTTAGGAGTAGAAGTCTTAAGCTTTACTAAATCTCGATAAGAAGAAGCCGTCCACACTTAGTCTTCCTTAAGAATTACTCCATTTATAACAATTGAATCTGAAACGTTTGACTGGAGTACAATCATTTCAAAACCTGAACTTCTCTCAGTTAAAGCAAAAAAGAATGAGTAATATATAAATGCTGAAACCATCCCAGAAGACTTACTGTAAGGTGAAGTGTAATGGCCAGTATAGTATTTAAAATTATTCAAAATAGTATGCAGAAAACTCACTTTATATGTTTTCTTCATAAAGTCCATTCAGAATGAGTTTATTTCAAACATTAAGATCTTAAAAATTAATTAGCTTTATGAGATTAATAACCATTCTAAATGTTGCTGCTGTTTGTGCTTATGATTATTAGTCAAGAATAGAATAAGAAGATTTTCAAAGGAATAGAATTTGTATAACCATAGAGATTGTTTGCAATATAATGTTTGGATTGGAATGTTTGGCATATATTATTTTGTAGGGATTTGTGTTTGGATAAAATACATATTTAAAATCATGGTGGAATATTATAAATTTTGCTACTTTCATATCCACATGGGCTATTTTAGGAAATATTAATAGTACTAATTAATTAATACATATTTTAAGAGTCATTAGAATATTTAGAGTACTTAGATTAATTTAAGACTCTAAAACACTAAATAAATAATTAGGAGCATTTATAGGTAGTTTTTAAAGATTAGGACCTATTCTAATTCCATTATTATTTGTTGTTCTATATTACAGCATTATTGGATTGCATTTATTTATGGGAATAACAGAATACAGATGTAGAGAAACTCCGGAACCTGAAGAAGGAAAATGGATTGCTGTAGAGGATATAAAGTATTTGTGTGGAATTTGGGATTGTCCAGAAAATACATATTGTGGTTCATTAGCTGATCATGGATTACCAAGAGATTTAGAAGAAAATAAATTTGAATAATTTGGATTTGGATTCATAAGATTTGATGATTTCTTTTATTCATTATTTGTTGTATTCACTTTTCTTACTATTATTGGATGGTCAGGTACAACTTTTATGTTTTGGAGAGCAATGACAACTTATGTTACTGCATTTTATTTTGTTTCTTTAATTTTCATATTGTATTTCTATTTCATTATATCAAAGGGCTTATTTATTATCTAATTTACTTTTGGCATCTTTTTATGAATCTTTTATGGTGTTAAGTTCAATTAAATAAAATAAGAATTCAGATAATGAATAAGAAGCCTTAGAGAATGAAATTAAGAAAAAGAAACAATAATAAATGATGATGAGACTACAATAATTAAATGATTAGAAAAATTTAAAAAGAGTTAAAAAGAGAAAATATGAAGTTTCACTTTATTATTAGGATGAGGAAGAAGAAATTAATACTTTTGGTGAAAATTTTAAGAAATTTCAACATTTCTCTAATCTAATAGTTAAATCAAACTTATTTAATTATTTAAGTTGTTCTATGATATTTATTTCAGCAATTGTTATCATTTCTGATCATCATTAGATTTCAAATAAAACGTAATTATTTATAATTAATAATATATTAGTTATGAAAATTTATTAATAGTGGATTTCATTTGTATGATATATTTCATTGCAGAATTAATAATAACTATATGGGGTATAGGTATGGAACAATTTAAAGAAATAATTGATATTTTTGACACACTTGTCATACTATCTTAATTTATATTAATTGTTGTATTATTTTTCATGGATGAAAATATTATAATCAATTATAATCAGTACATCAATTTTGTTAAAGCTTTAAAAATGCTGAGATTGGTATATATTGAATTTAAATTATAATTAGATGAAATTCCTATATATTGCAAGAGTTTTTTATTCAATAAGTGTCTTAGCACGATGTTTAGTTCAAACTTTATTAAAGATTAAAGACTTAATATTCCTTTTTATATTTTTGATTCTAATTACTTCACTTTTTGGACAAGAACTGTTAGCTTATAAAGTAAGATTTGAAGAATTACCTAATGGAGAATTGGAAATTTCTCATTCAAATGAAGGAATTTCTGCTACTATTAATTATGAAGGATTTGGTAATGCTTTGATGGCTGCAACAAATGTATTTTATAATGAAGAATGGCATATTACAATGTTTATACATGCTCAAAAAATATCAGTTTCTATATTTTATCATATATGTTCTATATTAATGGGTTAAGTATTATTTGTCAGATTGTTTTTAGCAGTATTTTTAAATGAATTTTGTAAATAATTAAAAAAGATTGAATAAGAAATTAAACCAATTAATTTTATATTAAATAGTAAAAAAGTTTTAAATTATATAATTTAATTTATAAAAAGAAGAAGAAGATCAAAAATACATTCTTAAGCTCAATTACAATAATAGATAAATCCATAAACTAAAAAGTCAATAAATTAATAAAAATTATCTATGTTTCATAATTTAAATGGAATGAAAATATAAAAAATACCAGATAGTACTCATAATGAATTAATTGAATAAAAAGTTTAAACTCCCTCTAATATATTTTGTAATAATTTATTTGTTGATTATTAGCTAATAAAGAAAGTATGATCGATCCATTAAAAAAGGAATAAAAAATCACAGAAAAGATTGGTGAAAATTAAATTTCTTAAGAAGATGATGATATTTAAGATCATAATATTGAGGATCATTAACGAGAAGAAGAAGCAGATCAAGATTCAAATTATGATGATAATTTAAAATCACCAGATGATCCAAATCATCTAGTTTAACCTTAAAATTTAAACAAAAGTATTAGAAAATCTATAAGATAAAATAATACAGAAAAAACTCTTTTTATATTTGCTCCTGAATCAGATTTTAGATAATTAGTAACTACTTTAGTAACAAATTTCTATTTTAGAATTTTTAATTTTACTTTAATTCTTTTAACTTGCATAAGAATTGCATTATTAAGTCCATTAGAAGATCCTAATTCAGATCTTTCTTATATTTTATAAATTGGTTATATTTTTTTAACAGTATTTTACATATTAGTGATTTTATTGAATTGCATAGCTTTTGGTTTATACAAAACTGAATAATCTTTTTTTAGATAATCAGTCTATAACATTTTCTCATTTGCTATAACTATAGTTGATCTTATTACTTTAATCTTTGATATAACTCATCCATTAAGCAAGTTTATTACTTCTTTAAGAATTCTTTAATTTATTTAGATAGGAGCAGTATTTTCAAAGAATATTGCATATGCATAAGAATCTTTATTAAATGCGTTTGCTTAAATGATTTAATTAGCATTATTTTGTGTAATAATATTATCAATCTATGGAGTTTTTGCTCTTAAAATATTGAAAGGAACTATGTATCATTGTGATGCTTATGATATTAAGTTTAAAGAACATATATAAACAGAAACTGATTGTTTTGATTATGGTGGATCATGGATAAATTAAATATTGACATTTGACTCTATATTTTCAAGCATATTAACATTATTTTGTGTAGCTACATCTGAAAATTGGATACCACTCTAAATTTAAGCTTGGAATGCAGTTGGAATAAAAAAACAACCAATATCAAGTAATAATAGATCATTTGCAGTTTATTTTCAAATATTTTTCTTTTTAGGTTTTTTATGTTTATTAAATATGTTTATTGGATTGATAGTTAATGCATATTAGGAAGCAAAAATGAAAGCTTAAAATTTACATTTATTAGATGAAACCTAAAGAGAATGGTTTTAAATTAAAATGTAAATTTATACTTTAAAACCACTTGTTAAATCTAAAAAGCCTTAAAATGCTTTAAGAAAACTTTTATTTTTTATGGTTAAACAGAAATATTTTAAGATATTTTGGTTGATTATAATTTTTAGTAATACAATTATTTTGGCAATTCATTTTTAAAGAGCAGATGAAAATTATAGTAAAACATTAGATATTATAAATGATATTTTTGTTGCAATTTTTGTTTTTGAAATTTTATGTAGATTTTTTGCTAAAGAGAAACATTTATATTTTAAAGATATTTCAAATATTGTTGATATAATAGGTATTTGGTGGGCAATAGCAAATTTGTTTATAAAGAATAAAGATGATTATAATTTTTATTTTAAGAGAATATCTAATGCAATATCAGTAGCATATTAATTATAAAGAAATTATAGAATAATAAAACGTTTTAATAATTTGGAAAAATTATTTTCATCAATATTTTCAGTGATTCCAAATGCTTTATCGATGCTTTTTATAATGTTTATATTTTTATTTATTTACACAACATTAGGAATAGATATGTTTGCATTTATACGTACATAAACAAGTTTAAATGGATGGGATTAACATTTTCGTAAATTTTCAACAGCAATGTTTTCTTTAATAAAAGTAGCAAGTTCAGAAAGTTGGTGGACAATCATGATTGATACTTTGCATGAATAATCTCCAAATTTTGCTTGTAATTATATGTCTAATTATAATGATTACTTAATATATGGATTTAATGGTTGTGGAACTCCCTATGCTTATTTATACTTTATTTCATTCCACATAATATTTTCTCTAATGATTTTAAATCTTCTTATAGCATCTGTATTAGTAGCTTATGAGGAACATGTGAAAAGTGAAGAATCAGCAGTAAGCAAATATTAATTAAATGATGTATTATCATTATGGCGAAATTATGATCCTTAAGGAAATGGATTTATAAATTATAAAGACTTTTGGAAATTGTCATCAGAAATAGCAATTATATTTGGAGTAGCTTAGGATGATTTATTGGATGTTAATAATAAGAAAAATTTTCTCAAGGTATTAAATATTCCAATCTATGAATCTAAAGAATCGAATATGTTATGTTATAAATTTCATGATGTGATTTTATCATTAACAAAAATTTCAGTTACTCTTAAGTATGGAGTTACAAAGTAATTATTTAATTTATTATTAAATATAGTCTTGAACCAACAGATAAGATAATTTAATAAAAGCTATTAGCTTAATTAGATGATTTGTAACATAAAAATTAAATGAATTAATTTACTCCAACAAGTTTTAATAGTGGTGATATGGTTGCTATTATATACATTCAAAAGAAATTTCGACTTTGGAAAAAAAGAGTCAAAGTATTAAGAGAGGGAGGAGATGTTAAAGCTATTTATAATGAAATGTCAGATTTAAAGAATATGATTAAGAGATAATAAGAACTTGAAGAATAGTAAGAAAAGTAAAAATGAAATGATTAATAAGTTAATTAAGTTAATTAAGTTCATTTTTAATTGTTTTTATATAAAATTTAAATTGAATGGCTGAAGACATTGATTAGAAATTGCTTTAAAGGTTTGAGATAATTCAAAAAATTCGTAAGGTTTCTGGAGGAGTGATTTGGAAAGCAATAGATAGAAAAACCAATAGTGTATTTAAATATATTGAAATATTGTTAGTTGCTATAAAAAAGATTGATTATTCAGCTAATCCTTTACATCTTTTGAAATCAATGAGAGAAACAGTAATTCTGTAAGAGATTTCAAAACATCCAAATATAATGAGAGTGTTACAAGTGATTAATAAGGGAAATGATTAATACACTATTTATGACTTTGTAGAAATGGATTTGATTTCATTGATAAAAGTGAAAATATTGCAGCCTGTATTTATATAAATATATTAATAATAGAAGCACATTTAAATAATTTTATGCAATATTGTAACTGCTCTATACTTTATTCATTCTGGTGGATTAGTTCATTTAAGTTTGACTCCATCTAAAATATTAGTTGATTCAGAATGCTAAATAAAATTGATAGGTTTTGGATTTTCTTAATTATTACCAATTAAAGATCCTAAATATACATGTCTACATTATCTTCCCCCTGAAATCTTATTACAAGGTAAAGTAAATACTTCAGCAGATATCTGGTCATTAGGTTGTATTTTTGGAGAAATGCTATGTCATCATCCATTATTTGTTGGCAATTCAACTTTTAATTAGATTGAAAAGATAGTAGAACTTATTGGAAAACCTATTGATACTGATTTAAGTGAATTAGCACCTTATGTTTTATAAGGAATTCAACCAGATAGAAAAAAAGCATTTACTAGTATAAGTAATGATTCTATTGCTATTGATTTATTAAAAAGAATGTTAACTTTTGAACCTCGTGAAAGAATTACTTTACTTGATATTCTAAAACATCCTTATGTTAATGAAATTGCTAATAAATGTGAATTAAAAAAACCCATAGCTCCTTTTTAAATAGAAGAAAGTTCCTTTAAAGAGTTTTAAAATATCTTAAGAGAAAGAGGAAAAAAGATTGAATAACCTTCTAATAATAATTCTTTCAATTAATAATTAGATACTAGTAGAAAGAAATCATTTAAAGAATCCACTCCCATTTCAGCTCTTAAATAAAAGACTATGACAAAAATTAAAGTTAATTCTCCTATTTAAAGTCCTAAGATTTAGAAACTGTATCAAATTGATGAAAAATTTAGATGAACTTATTTTTATTCATTTCATATTAACTGCAATTTATATTGTACTTATATACTATATAATATCAATCTGTATGTTATGATCCCTTTGTAGCACCAACACCTGGCTTTCCATGTCTTGTTGGTTTATATGTCAATGAAAATTCACCCAAATATCTAATTTTTACATTTGCATTCACATATACCTTCCAATCATATCAAACTTTATTTCTACATTGCTGAATTATCTACCATTATAAACACCTACAATTGAACCAACCATCTCTGGTACTACTATTGTATTTCTTTAATGAGTCTTTACTGGTTTTGGTTTCTCTCCTGGTAATGTCTCTTTCTTTGATTTACGAATCTATACTTATTTATCATATTCACTACTTTCTTCATTAAATTTTAAAAGGCATGAACTTTTTCACCTTAATTAGAAATTCTTCTTCTTTATCTTGCTCTGAATTATTCAACCAATTTATCCATTGGCAATTTGACAAGCTCTTCTAATTATAATCCTCTGTAGGTAAACTTTTTCACACCCTTAAATTATTTATCTTATGTTTATTCTGCCATTATTTGAAAAATGAAAATTAAAGATTTTAATATAATCTAAAATAAATAATAATAAATAAAATACTTTCTTTAAAATAATCACTCCAATTCTCCTATTTATTATTACAATCTATTCTTTTTAATATTTCCATCTCTAACTATAACTATTCTTTCTTTTCTTAAATCATTATTATTATTATCATACTATTTAATAAATCAAAATAAAAAAAAATATTTATATAACATCAACACTATAATGTTTATTATGATACATTAAATTATAAGGAATTTATTTTAAATAAAGATCAATCTAAGATCTAAATCTAAAAAAAAATAAACCATATACAAAATTCTTTTTTTTTGACAAGAAAATGATCTAAAATTTTCAAAGAATTGTGCACATTTTTGATACAAAAGTTTCCTTTTTAACATGGGATGAGTATTAAGGAAAATCAAATGAAAAATTATAATAAGAATAAAATGGGAAATAATTGTTGCAAAAGTAGTATTCGTTATGCAGATATGCTTCATGAAATTCAAATTTTTAATTTTAATGACTCTAAATAAGAATTTCCACTTGAATAGCGTATGATAAGAGAACTTATGCTTGACACAAAAACCGTTTACCAATTATAAATATGCTTGAAAAAATTTTTACTTGAGAATGCATTATTAATAAAAGAATAGAAGATTTAAGTATAAGACAAAGGAATAATTTCAAGAATCTCAGCACCACCATTATTAGATTAAGTTTGGCAAATGGCAATATTATATTCATAAAATTACATTACAATTTGTAAAAAGCTTGTAGGATATATAATTGACAGAGAATACAATCAACAGAATTTGCATTACAAAATTCTGTAAAAGATGTTACCTGAATATGATGATAAAATGTATTCAATAGAATCAGAATTTATCATTTGGGTAAATTAATATGTATTAGAATAAGTAATAAGGGATATTCATGATTCTATAGTGAATGAAGAAACAATTACTTTTGAATTTATATTAAATCTTATGATGTAGATAAAATTGAATTTATGTAAGAAAGAAACATAAAAATTTTAAACAAAATAAATCTGCGATAAGAATATTGACTTATTATTCAAGAAAATACAACAATTTATACCTCGTGATTTAGAATTAATAATGATGCATAAATATTGCTTAAGTTAACAATTAGCAAAATAATATATTTATGAATATTGTCACTTTATGACAATGATGAAATATTCTCAAACTATTTTAGTTCCTAGTGAAGAAGTTGATTAAGTTTGGCATACTCATTAATGTATGACAAAACAATATCGTTAGTTTTGTAATACAATTTTTGAAAGATTTATTTATCATAATCCTGCTAATTTGGGAAATTAGAAGACAGTAGAAAATTTCTATTTACAAACACTTATGTTTTATAAAAAATTATTTAAATATGAACCAGACTCTTAGATTTGGCCATGTTAAGAGGAAAGATGGAATCCTTAAAATTTTTAAGGATCATGGCTTAATTTATATAGATTGTCAATGAGTATTATATAGTTGGTTTAAGAAAAGCTTGAACCAATATCAAAAAATATTTTATTAAAATATGAAACTTGGAAGGGAACCAATGTTTTTAAAGATCAAACATAAATTAAAATAGTAAAAGCAACATAGATGACACAGAATCCTTTATAATTTTAAAATTATGAAGTTGGTTGTTACAGTTTATCCTAATTATTGGAGGATAGATTTTCAGAAAATCAGAGAGGAAATGAGTTGGTTTTCGACGATGATGTCATCATAAACTCTATTTAGTGATATATGATCTATTGTTGATAATTAATTAATATTTCTAATGGAAAAAGCTTTTCTAACATTAGGTCTTGTTTTAGTAATAGGGACTCTTTACAATTTGAATTATTCTGTTTCTGTTGATTTAAAGCAGAAGTATAAGGAATATAAATTGAGTTACAATAAATAATACTCTGCTGCAGAAGATTAATATAGATTTTAGGTTTATATGTAAACACTAGAACAAATAGCAAAATAGAATGCTAAATTAGGTAGATAAGTGTATGGAGAAACTTAATTTGCTGATATAACAGATGAAGAATTTAGAGAACAATATTTGACATTAAAATATTCACCAGATGATTATGTAAATGAACCAAGAGAATCTTTTTCACATATAACAGCAGATCCTAAAGAAATTGATTGGAGAGATTTTGGAGCAGTAACTCCAGTTAAGAATTAATTAAAATGTGGATCATGTTGGACATTTAGTACAACAGGTGTATTGGAAGGATTTTTCAAAGTTACAACAGGAGAATTACCTTCATTATCTGAATAATAATTAATAGATTGTTCAACGACTGTAGATTTAAACTTTGGTTGTAATGGAGGTATGCCTTATAGAGCATTAAATTTCGTTAAGAGAAATGGTTTAACAACAGAGGAAGGTTATCCATATGTAAATAATGTTAATTATTGAAATAGGAAGGAGTTTAAGGATCGGAATGCTTAGTGAAAGGAGGAGTATATAAAGTTAAAGGATCAAAAGTATTAGAAATCTCAGAATGGGCATTGTATCAAGCATTGTAAGTCTAACCAGTGTCTATTGGTGTTGATGCAGGATAATGGAAAAATTATAAACCTGCTGATAGAGAAGTTTTTAATTTTGATGAATGTGGAGATAATCTTAATCATGCAGTTTTAGCAGTAGGATTTACTCAAACTGCTACAATAGTAAAGAATTCTTGGGCTAATACATGGGGTTCTTCAGGTTACATTTATCTTGAAAGAGGTAAAAATACTTGTGGACTTTGGAATACCATGGTTGTTCCAATTTGATTAATATTATATAATAATCATATAGGTTCTATTAAATTAGAGTTTTTATAATATAAATTAGTATATATATGAATCAAATAAATCCAGATTAAATCTTAACACCAGAAGAGATCAAAGCAGCAAAGGATGCCTTTGAAGCTTATGACAAAATGGGTTATGGTACATTAGAAGTAGAAGAGTTATAGAAAATACTTGAAGAATTTGGACATAAACCAAGTAAAGAGGAATTATAATAAATGATTAATTAAGTTGATGTGAAGAATAAAGGATTCATAGGTAAATTAATAAAGTAGAATTAAGATTTTGAAGACTTCAAAAGAGCTATAGCTATTTATAAGATCATAGAAGAAGATAATGAAGAAGATGATACATGTAAGTTAAGAATTACATTTAAATAGTGGATGCATTTGTAGCTATGGGTGGAAATGCTGATAAGTCTGGGACTGTAGATGCAACAAAATTAATATAAGTAAACATAATAATTATATAGATTATTAAATCTGATTTTAAGATGACAATTGATATTGAAGTAAAGATGCATAAATATCTACTTAGAGATTGATTAATGAAATGGATCGTGACAAATCAGGTTAGATTTCTTATTAAGAATTTAAAAATTTACTATCTGATTGATAAAGTGAAGAAATATGTTATATATTTATTATTACAGAATTGACATATATATATTATTTAGATAATTATTTATTTAGAAATTATAATTTTTGTTTGTTAATTTAACGATGTCAAAGTGGTTAGATATGAATTTAACTTGTACATAAATTAGTTTCAAAACACAATAACCTGTTTCATGTATTTTAAAATACATTAATCCAAGATAGTCCAATGAATTGTGTCTTTGAACTTGATAGTCACAAATTGTATTTGGGAAATATCAATGCAGCTAATGATGCTTAGTATCTTAGAAAACACGATGTAGGTGCTGTATTATCTGTAATAGATACTAGTGATATCAAATTAGAAAAGTCTGTAATTCATTTAGTATTTATATCCATTATTATTTTTAGTGGATAGCAGCTGAAGATTGTGAAAGAGTACAACTTATAAGATATTTTGATTAAGCTTCTAATTTTATTTAGGATAATCTTAAACATACTAATGTTTTAGTTCATTGTTATGCTGGTATATCTAGATCAAGTTCATTAATTATTGCTTACCTACTCAAATGTTAAGGTTATTCATTAAAAGAAGCTTTAAGCAAATTAAAATGTTAAAGACCTTAAGTTGATCCTAATGATGGTTTCTTAGAATAATTAAAAGAATATGAAGTTAAGCTAAAATCAACCAAAACTCATTAAAATTCAAGTCTCAATAAAAGTGCCAGCAAATTTTTAAGTTTGAGTTCAAGTAGTGAAAAATAAACGTCAGTTCCAAAAACTCGTTAGAGCATTTCAAACTTCAATATTTATAGTAATCTTAATTCTCAAGTTACTAAAACGAATATTCGAAATCTTTAATTAACAACTATTACAATTCCTAAAACAAAATCAAGTTTCTTAGAAAAAAGTTGTAGTCCTTCTAATATAAGTACATAAAATTCCTCAGGGAAGACCTTCTTTTCTAATTCTAAACATGAAGATCCTTGGAAATAATACTAGTAAATAAAAAATTAGGAAACAGTTTGGAATAAATAAATTTTGGGAATGAAAAATATTTACAGTAATCATAGTCGATAGCATTCTTTGAACCAATGAATTTGTAAATTGATAATTTCATAAATATGAGTTTACTTAATATAAATTAAAAAGTTAATTTTATTTTATGCTTAACATTTGTTTAAGTGGATTTGACTCCAAAGAGAAGACAACTCTTTCCAAATTTATAGAAGAACTTTCAGATATAGGGTTTAAATAATCTCAAGGGATGACATTCTAAGTTAATGTCTTAGTTTGTAATTCAGCTTTCTAATCAGACAAATATAAAGTATTATGAATGCCATAAAAGGTAGCAAAAAGGCTAGACATTGATGTTGTAAATAAAGAGTGGATGTATAATTGTTATAATTAACACTAAAAACTTGATACAAAAAAATATTTACTTAAACCATTTAGAAATATCAAATTGGCGCTTTTAGGTTTTATGAAGAGTGAACTTGATAAATTAAAAGAATTCATAATAAAGAATGAAGGTATTGTAGAATATGAAATATAATAATCTGATATTGTTGTATTTAAAAAAGCCTCTTAATTTGAGTTTGAATTAAAAAATTGTACAAAATATTTAGTTGATTCAGATTGGATTATGCAATGTTATGAAAGATCAGAATTTGTACCAACCTAATATTTTTAATACAATTAACCGAAAGTTAATACAAGAGAATTATTTGAAAACTTTTCAGTAAGTGGTGTGTTAGAAGCATTAAATAAAGTATAACTTTCTGAATATTGTTATTTAACTAATTGTGTTATCTATATAGCTGTTAAAGATGATAATCTTAAAAGAATAATTTCGTAATTGATTTCTGCTGGAGATGGATTCTATGTAAACACTCTTCTCCCAATAGTTACACATGTAATCTACTTATAAGGATGTAGTGAAGAAATTAATTAATAGATTTATTAAGTAATTCATCCTATGTGGCTTTGTGAATGTTTTAGATTAAGAAGAAGATTAAGAGAAGATGAATATTAAGTCAGAATTAAATCTTCTTTTGAATAGATAAGTGTTAATAGTTTACCAGCGAGTCAAGAAGAAATTTAAAGAGATTAATTTTTGTTTGGTAAAATCCCTGACTCTAGAGCATTTGGAGAAGAAAACAATAATACTTCCAAATTTGGACTTAAATCTTAATCATTTAGTAATAATAATAGTAATATGTTGGCATTCAATAGATTCTCTACTAATACTGTCAAAAAAACTAAATTATTTGAATAATGTTAAGTATTTGTTTTCGATCATTCATCTCTTGATAAGACTGTAATCACAGCCTTAAATGATAATGGCGCATTAGTTGAAAGATTATCTTATCCTATGAAAATCAAAGTTTCAAATCTAAAAATAAGTAAGTCAAAGGCTGTTTTAATTTTTTTATTACCTGATCATGAACAATGCAAAGAAACTATTTAGATTATAGAAAAAGATTGTAAAATATAATCTATCAAGTATTATAGTTATAGATGGGTTAATTATTGTTTAGAAAAAAATCTTCTGGAATTATAAGTTAATAATAAAAAATTGTACCATTTACAACCTACTAATTAATAAACACCAACTCAATTCCTTAAAAATAAATTGATTTATGTAACAACAAAAGACATCAATTAAAAAGTTGTTTTTAAGGAATTAGCAAAAATAGTTACAGGAAAATTACCTGATTATAAATTATCAGAATTAGATTATTATGTCTCTGATAAAAAAGGAAAAAAGTTTCAATAAATATTAGAAATTAATAAAGGTGGTAGATTAATGAATTAAATAGAAATCAGGGACATTGATTGGTTGCTTTAATAATATATTAAGTAATAAAATCAATGAAAAATATTTGTATATGTTTTTATCGTTTTCTATTAATTTTTATAAAAACAAAGATTTTTTCTTGTTTTTTTTTCAAAATAACTTTAATATTTAATTTATATATTTTCTATAATAAATGAGAAAATTTATTAAATAAAAATATTAAATTAGATTTTTATTCGAATAACATATCATCATACAATGATATTGATATTTATTTTTTATGAAATAAATCATAAGATTAAACTACCAAATATTAATGTTAATATTCGTAATTTTTAGAATTGGCTGCATTTTTTTAACAAAATTACTAATAAAATATATAATTCTAATTCTCAATTTAAACATGATTTAAAAGATATTAAATCTCCATTCTTTCTACAAGATATTGAAGTAAGATTATTTAATCATCAATTTTCACCTTTTTATTTAATTAACATCATAATTATCATTAAATTTTAGTCACTATAATTTGTTTATTTTTAATATAGGCTATCTAACAAGTTAGAATATACTTTTTCTCTAAAAATTTAAAATAAAAAAGAATGAGGATTATGTTGAATAACAACACAGTACAATTTCTGTCTTTATTACGATTATGAATATAATTTAAAACATAATGTATCAAATTATAGAATTTAAAATGATTAAAATACTCTAAGGATGTAAAGGAGTTAAATTATTAAGTTAACAAAAAATATTTACAAGGTTTAATAATCAATGTTGTCTAATTTTGATTTATCATAATCAGTCATGATGTTGGAATTTATGATCAAGAAAATATTTCCATTGAAGCAACTCATCCGTAATTTCTTAAATGCTTCTTTTCTTTTATTTAATTCTATTTTTTGGCATTTCAATGTATTATATTTGTTTTAATCGAATGGATTATGGTAATTAATGTGGACTATTCTCTTCTTGAGCTGGGCTTTGATCTCCATTTAAAATCAATTAATTTAATGCATGAGATGGAATTGCTTGCATTTTAAAATAATATTACAATAGTAAAGGAATTAATATTAATAACTGATGAAAGGTTACCCATTTTGAATAAAGAATTTTGGGATATAATGAAAATTATAAAAATAAATAACAAGAATAAAGTTCTTAAAATTATTTAAAAATATAATAAAAATTCAAATAAATTCCTTTTAGAAAAATTAATGTAGTAAAATTTTTTGACAATCAATTCGTTAATAGTGATCAATACAAAACATTTTATTAAGTAAATCAAGAAGATCTTAATCTTTGATTAATTAATTTAATTATTATTATGGCTTAGGTTTAGGAAGAGAATTAAGTTATGTTTTAATTTTGGATCGCTCTTTCATCCATCTTGGAATAGGTCCAAAGATAGATTGGATGATAGACAAATGTAGTAAATCATTGTTGCCTACTTAAATAAATACAGTTCCTATATGGTTTTTTGTTTTGAGTATTTACCCGTATATAATTCAACAATTAGACATGCAAGACTCCAAATGTCACTTGAGGTATCCCAGGCATCACATCTCAAGATTACTTCAGGTGCTCTATATTGTCTAGTATTAATGACAGTGCTATGATATTCATTGGCTTATGTGGCACCTCCCATGTCAATAAGTTTCACAAGATGTCTTAGTCATTTACTTGGGTATACTTTTTTTAATGAGAAAAAACTATGTTTTCTGGTTTTAGATCGGTGTGTGTAATGCCAAGGGAATGCATAAACAGTAATGAATTAGTTATCTATTGAAAAATTGATTGGATTTCTTTAATTTTAAGAGAATTCTATTGGAGATAATCATGGAGATTAAGGCCAAGCTGTATTTAATTTTTTAATATGCTACCCTCTCAAGTAATATACAATGATAGTCCTACCAAGCGAAGTAATCATAGAATTTAACGATGCCAGCCTCACCAAATGGATCAAACTGCTAGATTTATTTAAGAACTTCCACTTCTGTATGATCAGTTTGGCTCAAGATCTGAATATTAATCTAATAACTTTAACAGCATATGCCATTCCTAAATCATCTGTTACTTCTAACACCATTCCAAATGTCCCTTAACTCAAATACTTGGTGATCATATATTTGTCGATCTTTTCTCCAATTTAATATATGAAATGACATCCTGATGAACTTCCAGAATTACTTCTGCTGCTTTAATCACTACTACTATCAGAAGAAGAACTACTACTACTGCTACTTTCAGTAGTAGAATTTGCTATTAATCTACTATATTTTAGCTTTTATCACTTGATTTAAGAAGTATTTCTACTACGACTACGATATCTAAATTGATTTGTTAATGCTTCAAGTGTTTACATAATCTAATTTTAATATTTTTATTAATGTTTTTATTTAATCATACAGGTGGCTTTATACCTGAAGCACTCTATCTAACAGTTGAACCCGATGTTTTCACAACTGATTTGGTGACTGTACTGGAAGATGTTACAATCTATATAAAAATTGAATTGGATACCTTCTATTTTTTTAATGCTTCTAATTCTATTTCAGCATTCATTAATTTCTCTTGAGTTTCACTGTAATCATGATTAATTTCTTAGAACTTTCTTTTCCATACTTCAGCTTCATTATTAACTTCAGTAATTCTTTGAGTCACAGTCTCACTTTAAGTCTGCTGGATTAATAATCTCAATCTTTCATTTTCATCTTCTAATTCATGTACCTAAAGTGTAAAATTTAGTAAATACTCTAGTGTTATCAAATTCCTTTACAACTTCAACAGTCTTTTTCTTTTCTAATTCAGCAATTAATTATTATAAATATAGGACTTCATCTCTCCAAGGTGCTTCTATTTCTTCTTTGGATACTACTCCTAATCTTACAACAGCCTATTATTAGGGAGGACAGCAAGATTAAGTATTAGATCCACACTAGATATTTTAAGCACAACCTCCTAGTTGAATTGATTATCCAGGATTGAATGATGTTTGCATTTAATAATGAGTTGATAACACTTTGCTTTGGTATGAATTTTGTTTGCCTTTTTTATGCCAAAATTAATATCCTTATGGTCTCTCTGATCTTGAGTACATTGTCGTCTAAATTTATTTTAAAAAGCCTACATATTAAGTTTAAGGAAGTGTAACTTATTTTCTTTCTTAAACTTCAGATTCTTAACGAAATGTTGTGAAATTACTCATATCTTTAATATATAATTCTTTAATTAATTATGGATAAAGTAGAATCAGATTGTGTACTGTGTGTTTAAGAAACAGAAATCATCGCAATAGGTCATTGTAATCATAAAACATTCTGTTATCAATGTATGATCAAGATGAGGGTGATAAGTAAAATAAAAATGTGTCCAATTTGCAAATAATAACTTGACAAGATAATCCTCACTGACAATCTAAATGCTTAATTTACAGACTTTCAATTAAATAAACTTATACCAATCTAATATACAGTATGATATTAATTAATATCACTCCTTTTAGAAAGAAGCAAAAGATGTGTTTTATACTAATTCTGAAGAAATTAAAATCAAAGTAGAAAGTCTCAATAATCTAAAATGTCCATTTTTAGAATGTCAAACAGAGTAGTAATTCAGTAATTATAATTAATTGAGAATTCATCTTAAAGAATAGCATCAACGATATTTTTGGTATCACTTAATTGATATATTTTAGTGATGTTTGTATTGAGTAAAAAACTTGTTTTCTTGTGGAGTAGTAAGTATATACTGAGTATCAATATCGTCATCATTTATAACATGGAGATTATGATGAGGATGGTAATCTGATATTCAAGCATCCTTATTGTAAATATTGCAAGAAAAACTTCTATGATGAAGATAAATTCAAATAACATCTAAATATTGCCCATATTAATTGTAGTATGTGTGAAGATAGAAAATTTGTATTTTATAAGGATCATGGAAGTTATGAAAAACATTTAAAACTGTCTCATTATTTATGTGAAGAACCTGAATGTAAATAAATGCTTGTTGTTTTCAAATCTTCTGGTGAATTAGATTTGCATAAAACACAAAATCATTGTAATGATCCAAGAATCAAAAAACTTAATTAATATAATATTCAATAATTTGCTGGATTTTATGATGATCAAAAATAAAAAAAATAAATTAATGATAAGGAAGGAGAAGATTTTAGTGATCAATTCCCTTCACTTAAATAAACTAATTTAAGAGCTGTTGTTCATCTTGATGAACACAATGATGAAAATATTGATTTTAGAGACTTTTTATATGTTGAATATAATGATGAAATTGATAAATAATCTGATCATAGTGAGAAATTACATGAATAATAAAATATTCATTTAGAAGATATACGTCTTATTAAACCAATATCTATGCCTAGCATAGGATTTGATTATTTTATAAGAAAATGTTCATAATTCTTTAAAACCTAAAAAGGTAAGGAAGATTAAATTAGAAAAATGATTATGATGTTTGAATAAGACAGATATAGTGCTGAACATTTTGTTAGTGATTTTATTAGAATGTTTGAATTGAAAACAGGATTAAGATTGATAACATTTTATATGGCTATGAGAGATGTTAAAGAGAATAGAAATATTTGGAAGATTTTAGATGATGCTTACTTTAAAGAATTATAAAAATTACCAAAAAGAAATAATTCAATAATAATGAATTGCAAAACTTATTCAGAATTATTTTTAAGATTGTTGGATGAATTGAATAAAAATTTAGCTTAGAGAATTGAGAAAGGAGAACTAAAGAATTATGTTGATACAATCATGGCAAAAGAAAGGATATTTTAATTTATTGAAGTACTAAGACATGTAAGAACATCAGAGATGGGTAAATTTAAATTTGCATTAAATTTTGGTTTGAGTTCTTAAATATTAGAACATATCAAATAAAATGTTTTACTGAATGATTAATCAATCATTTAATGTATAAAATATAATATAATTATTAGAAAATATATCAAAGATTAGCAATCATGATTTAATTCCTTTTTATTTATATGTAAATTTAAGTTCAAAGATTTTGAAAGGAGAATAAATTCATAAAGAGAAAAAGGATGTTAATGAATGTGTTTATTTGGAATTCTTTTAGAAAAATCCAAAACTATTCAATCAGATAACAAAACCTGAGACAGTTGAATAAAATAAATAATAATTATTGTAAAAGTAACCAAAAAACTAATAAGGAAATGGATTAGATATGAATGCATTTGATTTTCCATCTTTACGTAATTTAAATTTAAATAAGAATAGCTAAAGCACCAAAAAAAGAATAGATGTAAATAGATCAATTTTAAGTGAAGAATGTAGAGCCTTAAAAATAATAAGTGTAGTAATAGTAGTAGAAGAAATAAAAATAGAATAATTAAGGAAAGAAGGGTAAATGGCAAGAAAGTGGACCAGCAATATTTTAGAATTAAGTTGTAGAAGAAGAATCATTTCCTAGTTTAGTACCTTAATCAAGTATTAATAAAAAATAATTAATAGATGAAAGTAAAGTAAAGTAAGTAAATCATACTACAGGTATATTTGTGGAGGATGAGAGTTTTGTTCCACTTACTACTTATAAGCCAGTTAGAAATATAGAAGGTACAGAATGGGATAGTAATCCAATAGTACCAGTAATTAAATAATTTTAATATTAATATAGATAAAGAATTCAAAAATGAAGGAAGTTGGAAAGATATAAAAGAAGAATAAGATAATAGTTTAAATATCTGGTGGATTTTGTTGATTTGAAATTTTTTGTTGGTTGATAATTTATTATGATTATGATGGTGATAATTATTATGATTATGAATAAACTCATTTAGCTAGATTAGTTCTTAAAGTTTCAGCTACTTTTTAAATGAATTCTAGAGTATTCAAATATTAATCTCTTGGTACACTAAAAAGATAAACGATTATTAATACTTCATAGTATTATGAACACAAATAGCTAAATCTTTAGTCATAAATCCTTTTTCTACAGATTCAATAATACTAGCTTCAAGAGTATTACAGAATCTTTCTAGTTCTTTATTATTATCTAATTTAGCTCTATGTAATAATCCTCTAGTCCAAGCATATATACTGGCAATAGAATTAGTAGATGTTTCTTTTCCTTATTAATGTAATCTATAATGTCTAGTAACAGTTCCATGAGCTGCTTCAGCTTCAACACATCCATCTGGACTAACTAATACACTAGTCATTAATCCAAGAGATCCAAATCCTTATGCAAGAGTATCAGATTATACATCTCCATCATAATTCTTACAAGCCCATACAAATCCTCCTTCACTTTTTATCATATATGCAACCATATCATCAATCAATCTATGTTCATACCATATTTTTTTAGCTTCAAAATCAGCTTTATATTTTGTATCATATAAATGTTAAAAGATATCCTTGAATCTTCCATCATATACTTTTAATATAGTATTTTTTGTTGATAAATATAATGGATATCCTAATTCAATTGCATGTTAAAAACAAGCATGAGCAAATGCTGTAATTGAATCATCTGTATTATACATAGCCATTGCTACACCTCCTGTACCTTAGAAATCAAATACTTCTACTCTCTAAGGTTCACTTCCATCTTTTGGTGTAAATAATACTTCAAACTTTCCTTCCTTCTAAAAACGAAGATCTGTTGCTTTATATTAATCTCCAAAAGCATGACGACCTATCACTATTGGCTTTGTCCATCCTGGAACAAGTCTAGGAATATTCTTAATCAATATTGGTTCTCTAAACACTGTTCCATTTAATATATTTCTAATTGTTCCATTTGGTGATTTCCACATATATTTTAAATTAAATTCCTTCACTCTTGCTTCATCAGGAGTACTAATATTATTATTATATTCTTATACATTGTAGCACACTTTATTCCTACTTTACATTATTAAATTGCCTTTGCACATTCAATTGTTACCTTATCATCAGTCTTATCTCTATTCTCCATACCTAAATCAAAATATTATATTGGAATATCCAAAAATGGTGTAATCAAATATTCTTTAATCCAAGCCCAAATAACCTATTATTATTTTTCCTTTTTACTCTTGTCATTTCATCTCCATCCATCTCTACTACTGGATTTTCAACCTTTATTTTTGTTTCCATTACTAATAATTTTAATATTATCCTCCAAAATATGATGAAACTTTATCAATGACGATTTTAAAATTGTTTTATAAGATATTTTTTCATATTAATTTTTTATTTAATAATTTCTATTTATCTTTAAATCCTATTCCAATTCAAACCTAAATATTCCAAAAATATTCTCTCTTATCACCTTAAATTATAATAATAATATTCTATTCAACATTTTTATCTTATTCAATATTACAACTATTAACTAACAAAAAATCATCTTAAAAATATTTAAGTTTATTAAATCATCTTTATGAAAAATATTAGTTATTCTTTTTCATCTATGTCTTGTAAGCAACATTATTATGATTCAAAAGATAAATCTTTAAGAATCTATAATATAATCAAATAATTAATAAAGGCTTTAAGAAAATTGTATTTCTGAAATCAAATATGAATTTAATATTATTAACTTTTACAATATTCTTTTTTGTATATCTTTGCGTTTTCTCTTAAGGACTTATTATTTCATAATTTTAACGAATTATAAATTTAAATTAATGTTAAATTCAAAATTTACTGTTAAAAGAGAACCCTTAAAAGAGAGGTTTCTTTAAATTACAAACAAATTAAATAATCTTGATATCAAATAAGGTACAAGCAAGGCTCATCGAATTGATAAATTAAATGAGAGAAGTTATAAAATTGATGAAAGAATTAGAGCCATCAAAGAAAATTATAATAAATAAGTCTTATAGTTAAAAGAACAGGTTTAAGAAATTTCTGATAAAATTGATTAAGAAAGATAAGAATTTAAATCACAACATAATTCATATTCGTAAAAACTATCTGAATTGGAAAAGTCATCTTAGAAACAATTATATACTGAATAGAGTGAAAGAGCTGATGGAATTAATTAATTGGCAGCCTATCTAAATGAAAAGGTATAAAAGATTAATAATCATTAGATAACTTTCATTAAATCAGATTTAACTATCGAATCAAAACTAAGAGAGGAATAAGTTGATGAACTTTAAAGAGGATTAGAAAATCAATTACCTAAAATTAATTAGTAAATTAAAAGTGAAACGGAAGATAGAGAATTATTTGACAAATAAATTTTGAAAAAAAGTAGTATCGAAATGAATAAATTGGCTAATTAATTAAATGATGTTTCAAGGTAAACGCTAGAATAAGAAAATGAAATTATTGGAATGCTCTAAGATTTAATTATTAGAACTAAAGGAGATTTAAAATAATTGTCTGAAGAAAGATAAGAAAAGGAAGAAGAAATAATTAATTTAATTGAAAAAACTTGCGATAAAATGGTTCAAGCTTCATTGATTTGATTATTAAATTTAGTTTAAGAATTTCAATAAATATATATGTCAATGATTTAAAATCATTTAAATTTAAGTTGATTAAAATTATTTTTCCATTATATTATAACCTAAACCTAAATCAGTAAATATTATGTTTGTTATTAATATAAAATTATGCTATTTTTAGACATCTGAAATTTCATATGCTTGTAAATATCAAATCAAAGTTATGAACTAAAATTCAACTCTAATTTACTCTTTAATTTAACTAGATGATCCTAAACAAAGGTTTTTTAAATTCAAATTAAAAACGAAATATTGATTTTGATGAAATTATGATCACTTTTATTTTTTTTAGTTTGTTTACTTAAATAATTAGATTATTTTTACCAAAATATCTGATATTATTAAGAATTAAATTTTGATACTTAAATCAGGTAAAAGCTTTTTTCAAAACATTAATTTAGTATTAATCCATAATAATTTGATTTTTTTCAATAATCTGGCTCATCCTTTCAGATTTATTTTTTGCAAATCTTCAAAATTTAATACAGTTTTTAACCCCCAAAGATCAAATTTTGTTTATTTTTTCTAAATAAAGTGTTCATTTTTTATCAAAATTAAGATTTAGAATGCTTCAAAAAATAATTGATAAAGTAGATCCTGTTTTTGAAATTCATTTCTCTATCATAATTCAATTAAATTACACGATTCTAAGTTATGTAAATATCATACACTTAGTCATGAATAACAATATTTCATCTGGTTTAATTATTTGATTTTTTTCAAAATTTTTCATATAAATCATTAAATTTAAAGTCTTCAAATTCACAAAAAGAAATATTCATTTAATATTAAAACAATCATGATGCGGTTACCACACTTTTTTATAAATTCATGTAATAAAATCTAAATATATAAAACGATACAACAGTTAGGGTTACAAATAAATTGTTACTATATTGATGAATATTAAATATTACAACTTAATTATGAGTTGCTTATTGAAAATTATGCCAAAAAATATATATAGTTCAGTCTTAAATAATTTATTCATTCTAATTCATAATGAGCTGAGTAAATATTCATCATTATGATAAATTATAAAAATTTTTATTTTTATTATTACAATTATAATTTAAATAATTATGGGTTTTGAGGATGATGAGAAAAATCTATTGAAGAAAGGAGTTTAATTATTTTATAAATTTGTAAGTTATCAAATAAACCATTTGGTTATTGAATTTTTCAATAAACTATAAAATGATTGCATTTTTATTCCTTAAATTTTAATTACAAGATGTTTAACCATTTAATTATAAAAATTATATATTTTTTAGATTGATAAAGTCAATTAAAATAAATTGTATTGAAAAAATATAGTATGTAATAATAATTACAAATGATTATCACTGAAATTAATAGCATAATTTATTAATATGATCTAGCTTAATAATTGTTATGTATAAATGTGCGCATTTTTAGATTTTTTTATTTAATAAAAATATTGTAATGATATCTGAATTTGATACCAACTATTATCCACTCCAATTATACGATTTACAAATGCCAATGACTTCTCAATAGTAACTTGAAAATTTCAATTCAAATGAGGTTTCAGCGAGAAAGTTGAGGGTGAGCTCTTAGTGTTTAATTTAAAAAAAGTATAAGAAATTGTTAAAAACTTCTAGAAAAATTAGACATAAGTAAAAAAGGCCTTCATTATTAAAAATTGATGAAACTGCAAGAGATGTTAAAATTTACAGTTTGGGTCCTAGTTAGACCAATTTAGAAAATGTAAATGAAGACCAAAAATAAATTAACGACTGAAAACCATTTCTAAAAAAGTTATTAATGATCTTGATTAATTTAAATATTATGATATACTATATAGATTGGGATCATAAATATAAGATTTAATAATAAATTATTAGGAAATGAACCTAATATATAAATATTATTATAACATAAAAATGAATTAATAGAACATTATTGAATTCTATCCAAGGATAGTGGAACAGTTGAAACCAATACTTTTAAATTTATACAGAAATGAAACTTTACAAAATTATCATAGCATAATTCAATAAATAAAAACAAAATTTGTTCTCCCAGAATAAATACCATTGTTTGTTTTTCCAAATGCCGAAAAACTATCAGAATTCTTTTTCTAAAATTATTAACCAATAATTTTGGATATAACATCTCTGTATTAGAAACCGAATGTTAAAATAAAATTATATAAGAATGCTATATATTTTGGAGAGCTCTATTAAGACATGAGATAAGGACAAGGAGTTCTTATAAAAGAGAACAATTAAATATATGAAGGGTATTTTGCACTTGATAAAAAAGATGGGATAGGTTTTGAAATATTAAAAGGGAATACATTTTATCATGGACATTACGTTTAAGGATTTCCTCATGGAGAAGGTGTTTATAAGTCTAAATCCCATTCATATATAGGTTAATGGTAACATGGAAAGAAAGTATAATAATTAAACTATTATAAGTGTGGAATTGGATGGAGTGTTGGAAATAACAATGATTATTTTTTAGGAAGTTGGGAGAATGGAAAATTTTATGGATTGGGTTTACATATTTTTGATTCGTTGTATGAATTATTTCAAGCTAAATAGATATTTTGGTGAATTAATTAATGATCTAAAATATGGTTATGGGGAAGAATATTTTCCGGAAGGTGACATTTATAAAGGATAATATAAGAATGGAGTACCAAATGGAAAGGGAAAATATATTTGGAAAAATGGAAATTCTTATTAAGGAGAGTTTTAAAATGGTTTAAGATGGGGAGAAGGATTTTGGGAATAAAAAACTGAAAAGGGAATATAGTTCTATAAAGGTTAATATGTGAATGATAAGAAAAATGGACATGGTCATTTTCATTATTCAAATGGTACAGAGTATATTGGAGAATTCAATGAAGATTAAAGACATGGATTTGGTTAAATTATTTGGCCAGAAAAAGCTATGTATAAAGGTAATTGGAAATATGGATTAATGGATGGAGAAGGGATTTATACTAATGAAAATAATAAATTATAAGGTATTTGGAAAAACAATTAATTTATTTCCTAAGAAAAAGTTAGACTTTCTTTAAATTAATTTCCACTAGTAAACTAATTGAAAGATATTGTTGAAGATGAAGAAATTTTATCTTAAATTGCAGAAGAACCAGATAATGAAAAAATAGGTGACATTTTTAAGAAGATTACTTTATAAAGTAAAACAACATTAAGTATATCTGATATTTCAAAATTACCTTAGCTTACATCACTTTAGAAATAATTAGATTTGTCTTTATGTTGCTAAGCTAATTCATTCACAAATTAAAGAACTTCATCAATAGGCATTTAAACTGAAGTTAATTCAACAAAAAAAAAATTAATTACTGAATTGCCCTCTATTACAAAGAGAAAACATATTTTATCAAGTTATAGAATTGATAGTAAAAAAATCATTTCCAAAAATAATTTGAGAGAATCTTTTACAAATACTAATTCTCCTAATACTAGAGAAAATGAATTTTAAAATTATAGTGTTCATTAATCTTAAGAAAAAAAACCAAGTAAAGTTAAATAAAGATTAAATTTGCTTTCAAAATTTGAAGAAAAAGTTTTAAAAATAAGACTTGAAAAATAAAAATTAAGTCCTCATAAATTTGAGAATTTATGGAGTAAAAAAGTATATAAAATTTTTTAATATATTAGGTTGTAAATTAAGCGAGATCAATAATATATCCTCCTGTTTGGATTCCCCCTTCTTTCCATCCTTAATTGTGTAGAAAGTTTTGAGAATAAAAAATTTTGATTATTTTTGTAAATAATTTTCCTAAAATAATTTAAAACAATAATAATTAATTCAATTAATTTGGATCATTAATGTTGAGTTGACGATGATCTAAATTATTAATCTAAAAATATATTCTAAAATATACTGTTACTATGCAAAAGTGGATTGTTGTATTATTGCATTTAAATATTTTCACTATTTCCATTATAAATTTAATTGGAAACAGGATCTTTGAGTAACAAACTTTCATTATGATGATTTTTAGGCCATAATATACCATCACCTACTGGTCGTCCCCCTTCCATTTAAATAGGTAGGAACCATGACAATTTACTCATTCCAAATACTTGTACCCAATTATAATATGGCTTTAAATCATATTGATTAAAATCATCTGTTTATTATCCTGTCTCTTCATTTCTTTTCCTCTCTAAATTTTCTATTGTTGTTCTATTATTTAATACCAATTCTAAATGGAATTTAAAAAACATTGTTATTAAACATGATGCTAAGCTACTAATTCCAAATGCACATAGTACTAGTACTCCATCAATAAAATGCAAATCCCCTTCTGAATCGAGGTAAAGCATAATATTTTAAAATTCTACATATAAACCATATCCTAATCCAATTACAGCACAATAAGAATCAAGAATAACATAAAATAACATTTGCATAAAAAACTTTCTATTTTAGAATCCAACACAATTATTTATCCAAGGACAATGATGATCCATATTTAACACACATCGATTACATGCTGAACAATGCTAATTATTATTTATCAATTAAAAGATACATGGCATCTTTCAGGTTTGAAAATATGACAAATTAAACAAAATTTTCTTTTTTTTTATTCAGGGTCATTCAAAAAAAATCCCCAATTTTATGGAACTCTTCCAGGATCTGTAAACATTGTTTTAAATAAACTCCAACCCAATAAACTTGTTAATATTGTAAAAAGCAGCAAATAAGGGATTCTATAACTCGAACCTATTTGAAAAATTAAAATGTATTTTACTTCCAATTAAATCAATCCAAACTACTTTGACATTAATTATGTACACAAACACTATTGAAAAACAAATGAAGTAAATGAAAAATTTATTAAGGTACTTCTTAATCATTCTTTGATATATATAATAATATGAATTCAAATTATATAAATTACATGTAAGAATTGCATATAATTATTTTCAAACTTCCAATTGTTGGTAAATTGAATAGATCATGTAAATGATTTCTAAAAATTATTTTAATATTTATATTTTGTCTCATTTTCTTCTTTACTCAATAGATATAATATTAAAAATTCATAAAATGAATTATAAAGTGGAATCAGCTGATGAATACTTAAGAAGAAATAGAATAATGGAATTATTTGAAGATCTTTGTACTAAGGCTAGCTACATTTAACCTGAGAATTTGGAAGAGTTTTTTGTTGATGACTTGAAGATTAAATAAAAATAAGGGTATCAATATAAATATAACGATTGGATAGATTCATCACTCCAATCTTTACAAAAGCTGAAATTTAAAATATTTTTGAATTATTTGATTTGAAACGTGATGGATATATTACATAAGAGAATTGTAGAAAGGCTTTATTGACAATTGCATCATCTCAAAAATAATAGGAAATTATTGAAGCAACAAAAGTAATTCATAGTGTTAATTATAATAGGTAATTGATGAAAAAGTGGACATCAATAGATTTTAAAGATTGGTTGAATAATTTTTAGGATGAATACTCTAACACATTATTTTATTATGATAATTTAAATCTATATAAAGGAAATTATATAATAATAATATAAAATTCTAGTTTTCCTACTAAAGACTTGTTTAACTTTTGAAATCATGATATCTTGTTTTGAAACTCTTCGTAATAAAATAATTATTAAAAAAAATAAGAATAATTTATTAACATGAAAATTGAATTTTGTATTGTCATATATATAGCAAATATAATCCTGATAAAAAATATCCTAATAAATTCTAAATAAATGGCGAAGCCCATCACAATGGCCTTATTGCAAAACAAAATCGGTTCTTCACCTTATAATGAAGTAAAAAAGTTAAATCTTTGGGGAATAGATTGTGAGGATGTATCTCCACTTTCTATATTTCCAAACCTTTAAATTCTATAGTTATCAAGAAATTAGATTGGAACCTTGAAACATATAAGCAAATTAAAATAATTGAAAGAACTCTATCTAGGACAAAATAAAATAAAAGATATAAAAGAACTAGAGTATTTAAAGGAGTTATATAATCTACGAGTATTAAATTTGATAGGTTAGATATGCATAACTATTTAGAAAATCCTGTGGTTGAGCATCCTGAATATAAGAAAGTAGCTTTAAAGCATTGTTTAGCTTTGCAAATATTGGATGATTCTAAAATTATGGAATAAGATAGAGAATTTTTACAAGAATAGGAATTATCGATTTAAGAATAATCATAAAATTTAGATGATAATTCAGATTAGGTGGTAGAGTATGAAAATGAAAAATAGATTAAAAATAAAAATGAGAAAGAAAAAAGTAAAAAAAAAAAATTAAAAATATAACATAAATTTTGTTAATCATCTGATTAATCCACAAATGGTTCAAAAAATAAATTTGATACTTATTCATAAAAATTGTCAAATACTGTCAATGATGTTAAAATCTATCCAATAACTTCTGAAACTACATAATAATTTTAAAAGAAAAAATAAAAGTTTCCTTTAAATGATAAAGGCGAATAAAATAAAAAAAAAAAATCACATCCTCAACCTACTTTTATTCAATTAGATTCAGATTATTCATTATGTTAAAGTATCAAATCTCATAGGAGTACTTTGAAAAAACTAAAAAAGTTATCTGATAAGTCTGATTAAAATAGTTAGTTGATATAATCAAAATTAGAAATAAATTTAGATAAATAGGAAGAACATAAGAATTCAGAAGAATCTTGGAGGTAAATGAACATAAATTAAATTGAAGATATTGAAGAAATAAAAGTATAGAAAAGAAATGAATAACTTAACGAGTATTTAGTTTCTGTAATATAAAACTTAATTTAATTTATTGATAAACGAGCTTTATAATGCTTATATAAGATTTTATGTGAGTAAGTGAAATGAATTGATTCTATAATTTATAGTATTGATAAATAATAAATTCATAAAATAAAAATACTTTATTTGATTTGAACTAGTAAAAATAATAGCAACCAATTCATGTTTATTTTATTTTCTTTCTAAATTTTATGTTAAAAAATAAATTAAATAATTAAATACAATGTAATATTCTAATGCAAATAAGAACAAATTTTAGTAAATACAAAAACAAGAGTTAAATTTTCAATTGCTTGATGAAAATAGAGTGTTCATGACAGGAACATTTACAGCTTTTACTGAGGATGTAAAATCGTTTATAAAAGTAATGTACTTCATTAAGATTTTAGTAAAATAATGGGTATTTTTAAAATTTGGATGGAGAGAAGGGTTGGATAATACCGATAGGTAATTACTAGAATTTGATAACAAGCGTAAAATGAATTAATATTATTAGTTAAGATAATAGTAGACAGAAGTTGTGATAAAATAGTTGCCACAATTATTGTAAAAATTATAAAATCTGAATATGAAGGAAATAAAGTATTTTGATAATGGTTAATTGATAACATTAAAATATGATAATTAAATATGTTATGAAAAAATAGATAAAACACTCCATGAAACATTGTATTAATACTAAAGAGATTGTGTAAAATAAGGTTTAAAATTTAATGGAAGGATATTGATAGCAGATGATATGGGTGTTGGTAAGACAGTATAATCTTTGGCTTTGGCAAGTATGTATAGATAAAATTGGCCATTATTAATAATGTGTCCATCACCTTTAAGATTGAATTGGTAGGATGAAATAATTCATTGGTTGAAAATACATAAGACAGAGATATAAATAATTAATTGTGGTAAAGAAGGGATAAGAATGAATGCAAAAATAGTAATAGTATCATATGATATTTGTGCTAAAATTAAAGAAGTAAATAATATAAATAAAAATTTAGAATTTAATGAATAGAAAGTTTTCAATATGTATAGCAGATGAATGTCATTATTTAAAGAGTTCTTAAGCTATTCGAAGTTAAGCATGTGTTCCAATTCTTAGATAATGTATGTAAACAATATTATTGACTGGTACACCTGCATTAGCAAAGCCGAAAGATTTATTTAATCTATTGAATATTATTAGACCAGATATATTTGGTAATTTTAAAGAATTTGGATATAGATATTGTGATCCAAAATTAAGTAGGTTTACTAAAGGAATAGATTTTGATGGTGCATCAAATTTAAAAGAACTACATTTTTTATTAACAAATTATATTATGATAAGAAGATTAAAAAAGGATGTATTAAGTTAATTACCTGAAAAAAGAAGAGTAAAAGTCAGAATTGCAGGAGATTCAAGTTAAGTTAAATAAATAGGAGCACTCTTACACTAATTAGGAAATATGGATATTTAATAACTTATAAATAAAGACTCAATATTTTAGGATTAATCAAAAGATTAGAGTGATTAAATGTTTACAGTAAATACAATTTTATAGAAATGTTATATGTTAACAGGTTAAGCAAAGATAAAAGCAATAAAAGATTATATTAATACTCTATTTGAGAATGATATAAAGTTTCTGTTTTTTGCTCATCATAAAGATGTTTTAGATGCTGTTTAAGAATATTGTGTTTAGAATGAAATATAATATATGAGGATAGATGGTAGTGTAGGAATAGAATAGAGACATTAGAATGTATAAATGTTTTAAAATAATGATGAAATAAGAATAGCTATATTGAGTATTACATCTGCAAATTATGGAATTACTTTAACAGCTGCTTCTACAATAGTATTTGGTGAAATGCATTGGACTCCTGCAATTATGATGTAAGCAGAAGACAGAGCACATAGAATTGGTTAAGCTTAATGTGTTGATTGTCATTATCTTATTGGAGATGGAACATTAGATGATCATATTTTTAATAAAATTGAAAATAAAATCAATACAGTCTCGAATTTTATAGATGGATAAAAATAAAATTTAGGAGCATTAGAATTTTCAGCTGAAGAAGCTCTAATAAAAGGAGCATCTAAACCATCCTTATTTACAGATAAATCTGAATCTATTTTATAAGAAGTCAATGTGTAATCTTCTTCTCTCTAGACTTTAACAGAAGATGATATGGAAGAGATTTATCAATTATTAGAATCTAGAACCAAAGAAAAATAAGATTAACCAACTGAATCAGAATAACTAAGTCTATAATAAGAAACAAATAAAAATGGATAAGTTGATCTTTCAAGTTAAATAAAAAATTAATGTTAATCACTTAAACAATAATTAATGGATAAATATTTAAGTAGTAATAAAGTTAAAAAAGAAGTCATTGAAGATAACAAAGAATTCAACTAAATTTAAAAAGTTATTGAAAAAAATTAATAATTATCTTATGGAAAACCACCTTTAAAATTAAGTTATGAATATTTATAAAGTCGATTAAATGGAGATAGTAAATCAACTGAATCAGGATAAAAGAAATAACTTATTAAACTTAATAATTAATAACCTATACCATAAATTAAAATTGATCCTTTAGATTAAAATGCTAATTGATTTATAAATTTATTTATTATTTTTATTTTATAATTTAATTGGTTACAAAATCAACATTAAGCTTTATCATCCTTAAATTAACAATATAAGAGAATTTATAGCTGCAAAACCTCCAATTATGATTCCTACTATCATTAAACAACAATATGTAGTCCTTTATCTTACTGGTTAACTTTCATAGAAATTTTTTCTATAAATCATTAATGGAAAACAGAATTAAAGAGCACTTCCAGAGAATCCTCCAACAAAAGACAAAAACACAGCAAATTAGGGAATAAACATAGCAATAAAACTTAAAAGAAGTACTTAAACCATTCTTATTATTATTCTTTTACAGTTCGCTTAATCTTAACTTTTATTAATCTAAAAATTAATATTTAATTATTACAAAAGATTTAACTCTTTCATTTTCTTCCAATATCTAAAATGCAGGCAATAATTATACTGGAAATGAGAGTAATAATCCAATTGCATAACTTATTTATACAATTGCCATAAAGTGATTACCTGATAAATTAAATAATACAATTTAATTGATATTTCTTCCATATCCATATCCACAAACTAAAGAGAATATAATAAACAAAAACACAACCCCTATTGTAGTTATTTATAATAATCTTTAAAACTTTTCTTTCTTTTACATTGATGATTGGATATTCAAAAGAACTCCAACTGCTTCAAATGAATAAATAGAGACTCCAATCATAGTAGATAATCCTGAAAAGTCAATCATTTTGTATTTCTCAGGATAATTTTCATCTATTATTGTTTGTATGGCTGAAATCATAATCATAGCCAAAGGGAAAACTATTAATAAATTTGCTATAGCACTAATTTTTGTAAATACAGCCATATTTTATATAAGTGTCATAGGCAGTAAAATTAACAGGGCAATTAATAAGTAATATAATTAATGCTAAAAGGTTGATTAAGCATTTCCATAAAAGGCGATTTCAAAAAACTCCATAAAAAAAATAACATAACTTATACAACATCCCCATTACATACTACCTACAATTAATTTACTTAAAGATCTATATGTTGCACCTAATGTAATTTCTATGAATTTTGAATAATCCAAGAGTTAATTCGGTTATCTATATTTATCAGCCATCATAATGAAGTTAACTTACTAATAATTTATTAGTAAACTTAGAAGCACAAATACTATAGTTGATAGAATATATCCTCCTTATGCAAAACTATAAGGTAATGCTAGTATGCCTGAACCAACAAAGGTTTTAAAAAGAGTTAAAACTGCCCCTTTATAAGACGATTATTTTTTCGGTACCACCTTTTATTTTTGCATTTGATCAATAGTTATTGGTTTATATTCTAAATTGATTTCAATTTATGGAGCAGGCCCCAATTATTTCTCATCAAGTATATTATTGGATCCAAATTCATTTGATCCTACATTTTAAGATTATACTGCATCATATTACTTTTCATCAAACATATTAATTATTTATATAATTATTTTTTAAGATAAGGTTTAACTAAATTAATTTGATTTTATAATGATGTGTTCCCTCTTAAAGATATATATAATTATTCTATTAAATAAACCATAAATTAAATTTAATAACAATCAATTTTAACTGTTAAGATAATGTAGATACTATTCATATCTTAACGGAGATTATCTCTCATTTATAGCTTATTTTTCAATTTTTCCATCTTTAATATAAATAATTCTATGAGCATAACATTCAAGATCAGGATTATGAGTTACCATAATCATAGTGCAAGGTGTTTTATTTGATTCTTCATATCCAAAATTATTAAGTTTCAATAATATATCCATTACTTCTACTGTTGATTTAGAATCTAAATCTCCTGTAGGTTCATCTAATAATAAAATCTAAGGTGAATTAGCCAAAGATCTAGCTATTGCCACTCTTTATTATTCACCACCAGATAATTCTGATGGTAAATGATCCATTCTATCCTATAACCCTACGCTTTTTAATAATTCTCTAACTCTCTTTTTTATTTCTTTGTCTGTCTTTTATTTATATATCATTATTTTACTAATTTTGCCAATATTCTCATTGGTAATTCTACATTTTCATAAGCTGTCATTGTAGCTATTAAATTAAATGTTTAAAAAACAAATCCAATTGTTGTCAATCTTAGTTCGCTTAAATAAGAATCTTTTGATAATTTATTGACTTCTTAACCCAATAATCCTATCATATTAATTATTAATAAACTTATTGTTCCACTAGTTGGAGTGTCTATTGTTCCTATTTAATTTAAGAATGTTGTTTTTCCACCACCAGATGGTCCTCTTATTATTACAAATTCTCCCCTTTTTATTGGATAAAACTCATCGTTTTATTTTAAATTAATCTCTTTAAGAGCATAAACCTTTTCATCTCTTCCAATTAAATTAAACTCTTTAATATAAAAGAGTAGGATACCTTTTGATACATCTTCACATTCTATTACATTCTCATCTTAAGGCCCAAATTCTTTTGGAGGTAAATTGTAAATATCTTTTAATTATCCCATTTATCTTTTATTTTCTGGAGATGCAGTGAACATGTTCATTTTATAAATATACTATTCCAAATATTTATTTTAATTAATAATTTTCTGTTCATTTCAATTTATCTATATTATTTTATGACAAGATGAAACCACTTTTTCCATTTAGTTATACATAAAATTAATTCATTAAGAATAGAATTTATTTAATAAAATTATTTATTTTGTATTTAAACAAATTGAAACCAATGGATTTGATAAAAATCAATTCCTATCTTCAAATTGGCTTAATAATTAACTAAAGTCTAATATTTAAGGCTTTATTTAATGTAACTAATTGCTACAATTATGTATGCACTTGCATTGATCTGTGCATCTTTGGTTCCTTTTTAGACATTCACAATATTTCTTAGAACAACTATATATATAGCAAATTATTAAATACTTTTGTTTCTGACATTTACATCCTTAATATTCTATTGTTGGACTTACTTATTAGAATTTTCCACTTGATTATTTTACTTGTTTATTGCAACATCCAGTACATTCGCATTTGAATGAACATTCTTATCCATATTAAAAGCATTCGCAATAATACTTTATGCATTTTGTTTTTTTACATCTACATGTTACTGATTCATTCCTGACATTCTAATATTATTATTAACTAATGAATTAACATTTTATTTTTACTCTTCTTGACTAGATACTTTCTCTAGTTTATTTATTATTACATTATCTCTTCTTATTTCTATTGAATTTATCAAATCTAAAGTGTATGAAGAATTAACTAAAATATTAATTTTTTAATATACCTTTGTATTCTTTATTAGTTGTTCTTTTTTATCGAAAAAGAGATTGATCTTTCTTAATAACTAGTTACTCATCATCAAATTTGATTCGTCTTATTATTTTGTTTACTTTTTCTTCTAATTTTTATTCATTCTTTTATGTTTATATTGACTTATTTTGGAATACTTAAGGAGAATCTTTTAATCCAAATACTTCTATCGTGGAAATATTTTCCAGTTATTATTACTAAACTTTTTTTGGAGTTTTAACTAAATGAATTTTAATATTTTTTACATTCAAATTCATTTTGTTGCTTTTACTTGAAAAAACCACTCATGGATATAATCTTCAATTATCAAAATTAATACATTCTTATTCATCCAAAATTAATATATACTCCTATCATTATTGTATTACATAAACCAACTTAAACCTTCCCACCAATTTACCGCCAAAATATCAGAATTTATCAGTATAAATAAATTAGTACTAGAAATAATTTTTTAAGTTTAGGCTGAATATTTTAAGGCTATTTTAAATTTAATATATTATTTTTCTTTAATTCTTATTAAGTAGCTTAATTAATTACCCTGAGCTTAATTTACAATTCAAACAAAAAATTAAAATGATTATTATTTTTTTACAGTGTTAAATGTTCCATTTGAAGATGCTTTTTAGCATTCTTCGATTGTTCTATCTTCATCCCTTATGGTTATTCCAAATTTTTACAATTAAATTTTATTTATTATGTAAAATTTAATCAGAAAAAATAATCTCAATAAAATGAGTTTTGTTTTGTTGTTTAGGGATTAATTTAATGTTGTAATAAAATATTTTTAATAAACATCAAAGATTTCAATATGAAACTTAGATATCAAGAAGGAACTCAACCAGTATTAATATGATATGTTAATTTTTCTTAACTTGTATTTATAGAGGGTTTTCTTATTTTATTTTAATGTATTCTATTCAGTTTAAAAGTTAAAGAGATCCTTCTTAAAAAGTGTAAAAAGTTAAACATTTTAAAAGGTTGGAAAAGATTGAAATAATTTAAAAAGGAACTCAGTACTACACAATAATTGTAACTATTATATAAAGAATTATTATTAATTTAGATGGTAGGTTATTAAGATTTAAAATAAAAGCTATTTAACAAGAAGCAAACAATTTTAAAGAATCTTAATTAATTAAAATAAAGATTAGATGTAATCAATCTAAAATGATAATGTAGAATCTATTAATAAATAAATTGTATTACATCTGTAAAAAAATAGGGAGAGTAAGTCTGAAGTGAAAGTAGCATTACTTCTTTATAAGTCTTTGAAATATATTTGGAAATATTTTCAAATTCTATTGTTTATGAAATTTGGATTAAATTGATTTATTATATAAAATATAAAATAAGATGGGACTTTGGGCATGGACATTAAACTAAATGCTAACTCCAAAATTTTGGACATTAGTTCGAAGGGAAGGTAGTTATAAGATAGTAAACTTTAGGATTTTGGTAGACATATATAAGAATGCACCGAGCTTAATCTAGATCAAGTCATTATGCAGGAGGTTAAAATGGGCCTATTTAATGTGTTGGTTAAGATTAATTTGGGAATAAATATTATGAAGACTTTGATGTCACACGTATGGTTTTTAAAAGAGCAATTTTTAGATAGAAATTAGAGAAGATGGGTTGAATATAATGATTATTTTAATCCATGGCATACTCTTGGAGATAGAGTTCCTCCAGTATGGCATGGTTGGATGGCACATGTATATGATGAGACTCCATCAAGAACTGGACATTCATATTTTGTTTAGCCATTTTATTAATAACCTGGAACAGATAATCAATCACATACACCACATCATTATTTTCCATAAGGAGCTATGCAAAATTTAAACAGATTAGAATTTATGTAAAGAATATTATGAGAATAATTTAGAAAATATCATAGAAATAGAAGAGCTGCCCCATTTGAACCAGGACAATCTTAAGGATTTGAAGGAAAAAAACTAATAGTTGAAAGATAAAGCTATTCAGAAGATGTTATGGCTAGTAGAGAATGATTTAATATAAAATATTATATTAAAAAAAAGAAGAATAATTGTGAGTTCTTGTGTAATGAATAATTAAATAATTTATTTATGGATAAGCATAATTTATAAGATAATGTAGAGTATGAAACTTCAGAAGAGATAACAATTTATCCAACATTTGAATCAATGTAATTAAGAGAAGAACTTTTGAGAGGTATAAAATATAAGTAAACATAGGAATTTATGCATTTGGTTTTAATAAACCTTCAGCAGTTTAATAAAGAGCAATAGTACCGATTATCTAAGGAAGAGATGTTATTGTATAGAGTCAGAGTGGTACAGGAAAAACTGCAGTGTTTAGTTTATCAGCATTATCTGCCGTAGATTTATCTATTAGGTAGAAGATTTTTTGATATTCTTTCTAGAGAACCTTAAGTTTTAATTTTATCAAATACAAGGGAATTGGCAGAACAAAGTGCTAAAGTAGGAATGGCTTTAGGTGATTTCCTTAATGTTTCAAGTAAAAATATGTCTTAAATATAATAGTTCATGCTTGCATTGGAGGCCATTCAATATAGGATGATATTAGCAAACTATAACATGGAGTTTAAATAGTTTCAGGTACTCCTGGTAGAGTGTTTGATATGATACAAAGAAAAGAGTTACGTGTACGTCATTTAAAAATGTTAATTCTCGATGAAGCCGATGAAATGTTAACAAAAGGATTCAAAACATAAGTTTATGATATCTATAGATATTTACCACCTACAACTTAAAATGTTGTGGTTTCAGCTACTTTACCTTAAGAAATATTGGATATGACTGATAAATTCATGAATAATCCTCTTAAAATTTTAGTCAAAAGAGATGAATTGACATTAGAAGGAATTAAACAATTTTTTATTTAAGTTGATAAAGAGGAATGGAAATTCGATACTTTATGTGATTTATATGATACTCTAACAATCACCTAAGCTGTTATCTTTTGTTCAACTAAATAAAAGTGTGAATGGTTGGCAAATAAAATGAGAGAAAATGAATTCACTGTAGTCTAAATGCATGGAAATATGAGTTAAAAAGAAAGAGATAAAATCATGGCTGAGTTCAGATAAGGAAATAAAAGAGTATTGATTGCTACTGATGTTTGGGGAAGAGGTATTTTGCATTTTTATTAACATAGGTCTTGATGTTTAATAAGTTTCTTTGGTTATCAATTATGATTTACCTTCCTCCAGAGAATTGTACATTCACAGAATAGGAAGATCAGGTAGATTTGGAAGAAAAGGTGTTGCAATTAATTTTGTTAAGTAAGAAGATGTCAGAATCCTAAGAGATATTGAATAATATTATTCAACCTAAATCGATGAGATGCCTATGAATGTTACAGATTTATTATGAAAATCTATTTTTAATTCAATATCATTATTATCAATTAACTAGACTTATTACTCTTAACATAATTCTAATATCAAAATTATTAAACCATTAATAATTAGATTATAATAACAATTCCATATTTAAGGGAAATATGTTTTAATCACTGCTAAATTTAAAGTATTTATTCATACAATTTGTAATAGATATTCCTGGTAACAAAGTAGTAAAGAGGATATAAATAACAAAGAATTAGTAGATGCAGTAATAAGCATTCTAGGATTCAGTATAAAAAATCTTCCATCAGAGGTATTTTTATTGTTTGATCAATTAGAAAAAAAAAGAACTTATTCAATAAATGTATAGTAGAACAATTTGGTTTACTTATCGAAAGAATTTTCCTTAAATATTAAGTATTATATTACATTTATTTTTAGATAGTTAGTAAACATCTGATGCTGGTTGGGGTTGTATGCTAAGGTCAGGTTAAATGATTTGGGCTTAGATATTAAGAGTTCATATTAGGTAAAAGAAATAGCATAGCAAAGATTATTAATATAAATTACTGTGTGCTTTTGCTGATGATGATGATGATGAACATAAAAAATTGTTAACAAATGATTTAAAAGTTTGTTTAAGTCCTTATTCAATACAAAAGATAGAAACTATTTCGCAAATAAAATTTTCTACAAAACCCTGTTAATGGTATAGACCAGATTAGGTTTTGAATGCATTTTTATAATTACATTAATTAAAACCATTAGAAGGAAGTGAAGATTTATAAATTTCTATTTCAGATAATTTATTGTATGATAGATTGTATTGTGAAATGTATGGTCTTTAAATGGATTGTGAACATATCATAAATGAAATAAAAATGGATAAGACTAAAGAAATATCTAAAATATGCAATATTTGCTAAAAATAACAACCAAAATCATTGGCAATATTTTTATTAACAAGAATTGGATTGGAAGAAATAAATAAGGATTATTTACCATTTTTAAATGATTTAATAGATTTACCATATTTTTAAGGGATTATAGGTGGAAAAGATGATAAAGCATATTACATACTTGGAAGAGTGAATAAGAAATTAATATATTTGGATCCTCATTATATTTAAGAACATATAAACAGAGGAAATATTTTGATGCTGAAAGAGACCTTCTTTTGTAAAGATGTAAAATACATAAATGAAGAATCAATGAGTCCATCAATAGCATTAGGATTCTATTGCTAAAATTAAATGGAATTAGATAAATTCTTTACTACTGTAGAAGAAATTAAAAAGAATTATAATAATGATAAAATTTTTGGTTATATTAATAGAATTACTCCAAATTCAATTATTGTTGGAATAGACGAAAATGATTTTCTCGTAATTTAAGATGAAGATTTATGATTGAGGTATTTGTAACCAAAATTATTGTAAATATAGATTCTAATTTATTTTAATTACATTTTAAAGTTATATCATATTATAAAATTGTTATTCTGGTTGTATCCTAAGAATTATTGATGAAATGAACAATTTAGGAAAATTACATTTCTAAAATGATTATCTCAAACTATTTATAGGAATTGTTATTTGTGATTAAATAATAATTGTATCAAAAATGTTTAAAGTGATATATATAAGAAATGCAGATCCAGTATTCTTCACAGAATTGGATGACAGATTACAAAATTGCCTAAGAAAATTGGGAGTTGAAGTAACTTAAGTCGAATTAGAAGATCTATATTTTGAATGGGAAGGAGGAGTAATCTGAAATCCTAAATATTTATAGAAAATTTCATTCTTTAACAAAGGAGAATTAATAGAGTTTGATGGCATAATGAATTGGGGTTACATGAGTCCTAAACATATGTAGGACTTTAATTACTTAATTGAAGCAGCAGAGTCTGCTGGTAAAGTTACTTTACATTCTACAAATGCTGAAAAGATTTTGTAAAGTAAGTTACTCTAAGGACTCAGATTTGCTAAACATGGAGTACCAATTCCAAAGAGTATGGCTGCTTTCACAGTAAATTCAATAAAACAGACTGTCAGATCTAATTTTGCTTAATAAGAAAGAGGAGTTGTAAAAGCATTAGATGGATATGGTGGAGATGGAGTCTAATTAGCTAGAGGACAAGATGAAATAATTAGTATGGCATCAAAAGAAGTTTGGAAGAATCATTAATCAGTTATTTAAAAGTTTATTCCTGATTCTATTGGAAAATCAGTTAGGGCACTTTGTATGAATGGTTAATTAATATTGGCTTGTGAATTTAGTGATACTGGATCTGTAAAATTATTATATATATTTTAGGATTTTAGGTCCAATAATGGTTACCATGAATCTTTGAAATTAGTCAATAAAATGGATTAATTCAAAAAATATGAGGAAATTGCTTTAAAGGCTGTTAATGCTATTGAACCCTATCTAACTGTTGGAGGAGTTGATATTTTAGATTCAGAAGTTTATGGGTTATAAGTATTAGAAGTAAATGGATGGTCAGATCTTTGGGATTCAGAGAGAATAACTGGAATTGATACATTTTAAAAAGTAGCAGAAAGTTATTTTGCAAGATTGAAAAGACATTATCATAAAGAATGATTCTTTTATTAATCAAAGTTCAATTAAGTTATTTTATAACAAATATTTATATTTATTATATATATTTTACTCATTTTTTCTTTAAATTTATCTAAGTTATTTCATGGTGTTTTCTTTCAAAATGCCCGTGCTTTTATTATTTAACATTAACAAAATTGTTAACTAAGTCTTTATTTTCAGACAAATATTTTTATTCATTTTTTCACAATTGAAACAATATTTGAGTATTTTGATTTAATTAAAATGATAAATAAATATCAAACTCTCAGGCTCATTGTAAATTTTTTTGAATTTGAAATTCTTATATTCTAATCTTATATAACATATCACATAGCCATTTATTACTATCTAGTCAAATTATATCAAATTTTCAAATTCAAATGATCATAATTGATTTAATGCATTGCTCTTGACTTTATTGTAATAATTATTTGATATTTTATAAAAACATAACAGATTTTATTATCAAAAACATTATAATGATCATCTAAATTTAAACAAGTAGTCAAAGAACTTAAAATCCCCTAAGAAGGTCAACAGAACTCCAAAATAACTGGCTTTTCGAAATTCCTTAACAGTGATTGCACCATTTTCACAACGAAGAGCTATAACTTTAAACATAAAAGATTACATAAATACTCATAAGGATTCTTTTTTCTTGGAGGATTTAACTTTCAATTACTATTTTGGCTTTTTATTTAAAGACCATTATCACTTTGATGATTATATTGATGGATCTTTGCCATCTAAAAGACCTTAACTATTGGAATTTAAAAATTAACTGATTTAATTATAATATTATGAATACAACAACTTCGTTTGATTATAAATAGTTTATTTATATTCTCTAAATAAATTTGTCTCTTTAAATTTAATTAAAAGAATTTTAGATTAAATGATAAGATTCAGTATTAAAGAGACTCTATTTTAAAAACATAATCAAGCTATTCTAATATTTCTATCAATTTCGAAAAATGCTTCTCCTTTACAGCAGATAATAATATTATATTCGCATATGAAACTTTCTAATATATTTCCTAATAAAATAATTATTAGTTAGATGACAATAATTGTCTCTTTTAAGATTCATTTTTTTATTAAATAAAAGAGTTTAAATTTAGTATTTAAAAAGAAGTAAATTTTCCATGAGGTCTTTTTTATTTAAGTTTTCATTATTCCCCTCTTTAATTGGAATCCCTATTTCGTATGATTTAGGTTATTAAAAAGCATTGCTTTAATCTATAGAACTTAACTAATTTTATTTTAAATTTGATTATATTATTTTAGATTAGTAAAATTTATACTACTTTAGAAAAAAAAAATTTATCTAAATTAATAGTTTTAAATTATTTTAAATAATTAATGTAAGTTCCTTGTCCAAAACATGAAGGCTCATATCTAATATTTATTCTACTGAAGGAAAATTAAATTGAATTCATTTGTGATCAATGTCAAACAAATATTTAAGACAAGAATAAATTTTTTGACTTTTAAAAACTAATAAATATTAACAAAGTAATAGAAATCCTTAATTATTTTAGGCAATAAAATAACCAGAATATTTGGTTTCAAAAATTATTAATTCTGAAAAATTAAGAGAGCTCTTTTAAGAATTATAATAATTTGATGAGAACAATTTAAATTAATAATTAAAGGATATAGAAAACATCATCGAAAATTTTTAAATCTAACTCTCAAATGTACTCAAAGAATTATAAGTTTATACAAAGAAATATATGGAACTTAGATAATAAATAAAATAAAGATTAGCATAGGTAATAAGTATTTTGTTATTAGATAATCGAATTTGAAAAATTTAAATAATATCTTACTAGCTTAAATGAATAAGAGAAAAAAATTCAGCCTTAAGACATTAGTGAAAGTGAAAAAAATATCTAGATTTATTTTGAGAATCTTTCTAAAAAAAATTATCTCAATATCAATAATGAAATTTATAATTTTCTAGAATGTAAGAATTAGTCGATAAATCAAACAAAACTGGATTATCCATAATTGAAAAATTTATAGTAATAATACTAATAATTATAAATATTACATTCTTAATTTAATAGCAAAATAACTCCCAAATTTCCTGGAATAATTTAAAATACTTAATTAATTACAAAAGAATTTCAAGCAAAACTTATTGATACAATTGTTTAGAACACAAAAAGATCAATAAATAAGATTAGTTTAATTTATTAAGGATAAAAAAGTGATTTAAATGCTGAATCATTTTGGAATTAAGTGGATGGGAAAAACAACTTATTGATGGTTTTCTAATCATAAAATGAGGTTGTATTTGGAGGATATACTCCATGTTATTGGATTAAAAGTAAAAAAGGAGAATATATTAATGATGAAACATTAACATCATTTTTATTTTCACAGACGAACAATAAAATCTATCCTATCAAATAGGAAGGTAAATCATATGCAATATATTGTAATAATCAATAAGGACCTGTTTTTGGAGGATAATCATTATTGAGAGGATCTATATTCAGTTATTTTTCAAATACCAGTGACATGATGATTTCATCTGACTTTTAAAATGGTAGCTCAACAATAGGAATTGCTTATAAAAATGATTGCTCTCAAAGTAAAACTGATTCTGAAACTCTTTTGTTTGGGTAATAAACACCAAGAATCATCATGTATGAAATATTCTAAGTGACATTTATTTGAATTATAATTCCCTAATCTAATTATTTTTTTATTTTTTTATTGAACAGAATAAAAAAACTAAGTTAATATATAATTAGTTATTACTTCTAGAAATTTAGTTGTATGATAAATTAAATTTCCAAAGTTCTTTAGAAAGGTTCTAATTATTTAAGAATACAAAAAAAATTATTTATTAAAACTCTAATCACGAATTTAATCCAAAAAATATTTAATATAATTTTCTACTGAAAAACATTTAAGTGATATATAAGTTTGGAAATTAACCTATTTTTGATTTATAAATAAAATAATGAGAATAATAAATGAAGGATGCATTACTTTAAATACTATAATGAGTAATAATATATTATACTCAAAAATTTATAACCATTGCAGAGTCAACATAGTTTTATTATTAAATCTTATAATTTAAAAATATTCAAGTATATTAAAAATTAAAAAGACATTAACTTTTTTTTTGAAAATTTGTTAATAAAAAATAGAAATTCTTAAAAATATTAAAATAGAAATTTAAAATTTAATTCATAAATACATTAATAAATAAAATATTTATCAATTTGTTTCTAGTTGAAAGAACTAATTTAATCCAAAATTCTCGCTAATTCTCGCTTATCTTCCAGAATTGAATAAGGAGATACTACCTTAAGTTAATAAATTTCTTAATAAAATAATTTTAATTACTTCCTATTAGTCATTTAAGCTTTAGATGTTGAAAATAAATGAATTTTTAATTTAAGATAATTGGCTTTAACTTTTTGCTCTCTTTTCTTTAATTTAGAAATGAATTCGCTTAAACTTTTGAGGCAAAATTTTAATCTTAATTTCTCGAATAAGGTTTTAACATTTATATAAAATGCTAATTTATTTTTCTTATAGTATATTTAGATTATTTTTTATATAAAAGGGTGGCAAAGTTATACGCATAAAAATATTATGATTGTTTATAAAATAGTAGACAAAACTTGATTATTTTCTTAGTCGCTTGTATTTTTAACAGCAGCCAGAAATATAGACATAGAACAAATTTATCCTGTGTATAAGTCTAAATGATTCATGTGAGATGTTAAATATGGTTTAAATTTTACTGTTAGACCTTAGTAAAATAACAAGGTAATTCCAAGCAACGATGCTTTAATTGAAATATTAGTTTCAAAAGATGTTGATATTAGTATCATTATAACTTTTTGAACTAATTTTATTAACTCCCAAAAATAGCTATGTTCATTATATTCATTGTAAATATAACAAAGATGGCTTCTTAATTTTAGTGAATCTAATTATTTCCTTTTAAAATGTAATAAGACAAAAAGGTTTAAAGGAATACAACATCCAAAACAAATTAGAATTGGAATTACAAAGTAAAACATCCATTTTATATGACTTTCACTTCCATAAAGTAAAGAAACATCTCCTTGTATATAATTGACATTAGATATCCATCTATTTGATATTGTAGAACATAACCTAAAAATATATCTTAATTACATTTTAATCAATCCAGGAAAGTTAAATATGTATAAAATTAATAAAGTATTAGAAATTATGCTAGACCTGAATTTTTAACCAATTTTAATCGAATAAAATATATACCCTGTAATAATTAATATGAATTATTAAAGAATGAAAACCAACATAGTAAATATTTTGCAATAAATTAATTCGATTGTTTATATATTCGATAAATAACAATCCAAATTATTAACCATGAAGTATGATGTATTGCTTACTTAATCTATGAAGACAAATTAAAAGGAAAATTAAATGTTAAAAGTAAAAATGAGTGAAAACATCCATAAATAATTGAGCAACATTTTAATCAGAATACTTTAATGATCTTATTTTTATTTATAAATATACCTTAATTTAATTTGAATAAAATTTTATTGAATCTTTCCTTAAGTTTAAGTTATGTAAACATTTAAAAAGATTTTTAGGTGCTATTCAAAGTTAACGTAATGGAGCAAATAGCCCTATGATTTAAGAATATATAATACCACATCAAAATTAAAATAAAAGAAACATAATTTTCTAATTATTCCTGACAAATTAAACATTCTTAATTTTATAAAGTTTTATAATATTTTCCTTCTCCCATTATATTCTAAATATCACATTCTTCACATAATGCACCCAAATGCCCAATGCTACATAATTTATTTCCATAACTCCATCCCCCCTTACAAAAAATTTTATTTTTAAAACAGTAACTTGTATGGTCAGAAAGATAATGTGGTCTCCAAAAACCTTATTACAAATTTATTTTGTTCTCTGTTATTTCTAAGAATTTATTTTTATCAAATATGGAGCATTTATTAGTATCATACGTTACTGAATAAAATCCTTAATTTGCAATACATTTTTGACAACCTTTATTCATATAAAATTCACCAAGCTAACATTTAAAACTCCTAACGTTTATTAGATAGTTTAATGTTTTATTAAATTAATCTATTTTACAAGCAGCTTCTATTTATAGATATTTTTTATCCTAATCATATGGATCAAAAATTATAGAAAGTGAACTCATATCGAAATAGTTTTTTTATTAATTAAAATCTACTATAACTCTCTGATTATTTTCCTAAATTGAGTTATCGTTTTTTTATTTATTTTAAATAATATCAAATTATATGAGACAGGTTGAATTAAATAAGTTTTAAACTTATTCATTTCTACTATTTTTTAAATACAACCCAATTTCTTGTATATAATATAAAGTTTTAGAAATTTGAGGCATAGTTATTTCATAATTCATTATTGATTAACCACTAGGAAGCATGAGATAATTTGTATAGTATTATTTTTCTTGCTCAATTACTAAATAAGGAGCCAGTTTCAAAATATTCTTTTATTAATTATTATGGTATAAAATTTGAGATTGCATCTCTCTTTAATTTATGCATAAAGATAAATAAGTTGGGCTTTCTATAAGATTATTTGCAAAATTTTGAGCTTTATTAAAAAGCAAGATAGTTTTAACAAAATTGGTTTCATTTAAAATATATTCTCCATTAAGATAAATACCTCCAGCTTCTTTAGCTTTATTATTTAATATTATAGATTCATTAAATAGAAAGCTATTGTTATTTAAAGTAAGGTATAATCCTCCACCTTAGGTGCTGGCTATATTTTTCAATAATTTGCATTATTTAATCATCATGAATGAATTATAAGCTGTTATACCTACTCCTATACTACCTTAATTGTCATAAAAATTTGAATTTAAAATTTTTATCTTGGTATTTATTTGTTCTTTTTACTAAAATAGCAAACATCCATAGGACAAAATTTAATTTTATATACATGAAAAATCTTCTATATGAAAAAAATTAATGTTAATTACTCCAAAATTGATTAAACCATCACTACAAAATGAACAATCATTCTACTATATTCTTATTTTTTAAAATATAATTTAATTTTCAATTTAAATACTTTTAATCGAAATTATTGACAAAGATTCTTGCTATAATTTTAAAAATCGATTCTAAAGTGTTGAAATATTAAGCAATTTTTAATTATTTCTTGAAACTGTCTTAAATAATTTGCAATCTTTGATTTAATAATTATTATATTGTAAATTTTGAATAACATCGCTGGCATTAAATTTTGAAATTCTTAAAAGGTATACTTATCGGAATGATATTAAGTTTTTAATATTTAAGTCTTAATCCACTACAATAACATTACATGGATAAAATAATTGAATATCTTAAATGTAAGCATTTAATAGGAGTAATTTGACAACATTATTGAATCTCATAATTGGAGAAATAAATAATCCTTCTACAACTAGTTCTTTGATAATTATTTCGCAATTTTAAATGTAAATTACAGCATTATTTTTTCCACTTATTTCTGCCATCTCAGTTTCGCTTAAAGTTACTAAACTAGAAAAATACTATTTCCATTTCTCTTCACTCTATTAGATCAATAATTTTTAAAGAATTAAAATGTTATTGTTTATATTTTATGGAGAAAATCTCACAGACATAAACTGATTCATAAGAGAAATGCAATTTAAAATTTCAACATTAAAAAATGAGATTTAATTTTGAATTTCTGAGGAGTGAATTGATAAAATTGAAGCTGACATTCTATTTAAAACATTTGAAAATATTGCATTTTTAATTATAAGATTCAATAAACTATTTTAAGCATTTATGTTTATGCAACCTGAACTATTTGTAATAAATTAGATATTATTTTGAATAGAATATATTTAGATTTAATTTAGTTTAATTAATCCTTCATTTATTGTATTAATTTGAAAAATGCTACTTTTATGGGCCATAATGTTTGTGAAAGTGCAGTTGTAACAAAAAAATTTAGATGATGTTATTTAGCATGCTCCTGCAATATTTGATATTTTAAGTATTTAAAAAATAGTAGTGTTCATATCTTCTTGATCGAAATTTTAATCAAATTAAAGATCATAATATTTTAGCCACAATTCTTAAGTTAATATATTATGATTAATAATACTTAGATTATTAATATAAATCTAATTCGAAATTATATTGAAAAAAGTATTTGTAGAGTTAGTAAATGCATTATTTTGACTGTTAAGGTTTTCTATTGACACAAAACTTACTGAAGATGAAATTAACATTAGACTTGCAGCATTCTTTAATGAGCTATCTGTCTGTGAATGTACAATGTTTTCTTTAAAGTCTACGTTTTTCAAATTGATATTTAATTAAATTTCAGCATGAATACTTAATAAGGACATTACATTAATTTGTAATCTTGACAATTAAAGGTTCTCTTAAAAAATAACATTAAAAATTGAAATCATTCCTTATTACTATTCTTAGTATCCTCTACCATAACTTATATCAATAAACGATAAATCAACATTAAATTATCTTATTACTTAAACATTAAGAATTTCTAAAGAAACGAATCCAATTATTCTGAGAAGCTGATTTTTCTATTAGATTTAACTATGACAATCAATTAATAAAGGAACTTTAAAATTTTGTTTCGTATTTTCATATTACACATTTTAAATAAACATTTTTTAAGTTTCATAAATTTTAAAAATTATCTAATCATTAACATTAATAATCTTTGCATTAAAAATAAGTAATTAGCTACATGATATAACAAAGAGAGCTATTTCATCATCATTGTTATCTAATCTTTAATTATTTTCTATGTAAATTTATGATATATCTAAATAATAGTTATTCAATTAATTTGAATATAAGAAAAATAGGCTGGTATTATTAAATGAATTTAGTTATAAATTTAGATTAAATATAATAATATTCGCTTTTTAAAAACTTCGACCCTAAAACAAAATCAAAATTTAGGAATCTACAAAATTATTTTCTAGTATATAGGAATTATTTAGAGTTAAATGATAATTGAATGATATTAATTTTGACGAAATCAAATTATTCTTGCTTAATTTGAAATTCATTAAACTTAATGATACTAAATTAGCATTTTTAATTAAATTTGATTGATAAAATACATTATTTTGGATTGTTAGATTATCAATATTTAGAAATGTTAAATCTTTCAGATTGTCGTAAAACGTAAAAATTGAAGAATTATAAAACTCACATTATTCTATAATTAAATCTTAGATCAAAATATTAAATTAGTTGTTTCCAAATTAAAATAGGTTAGAATCTTTTAAAATGCATCTAAAGATGAAAAGTTTGTTAATTATAATTAACCCATTTTATTTATATGCTTCTAAATTTAAAATAGAGGAATTAATAAAAGTTGAGTCTAATATGGAAAAATTATTGGCTTAAATATTTCCAAATATTTCATTTTAAAATAAAGATTGAATACTATTAATATAACATAATTTGAAGGCAAAATCAATCAATTTTAAATCTACTTAAGTATTATTATTAGTTATGATAAATTGTTATGAATTTCTAAATTAAAGAGCAACATTATTTAATTCAATTTTATCGAAGTTATGAATTTCAAATGAATAAAGAGCAAATATATCTAAATTCTCAACAGAAGTAATTGAGAAATAAATACTGCGAAGTGAAAATATCTTCGATTTTAATTAATTTGATATATCAAAGATATTTCTGAGTCCACAAAATTAGCTTCTAATTTAAAATTTAAAAACAATTGTTATTGTATCTATTCCCATTTGATTACAATAGTTTATATTGATACCATAATCGAAGCCAGATGGCCAAAATACAAACATGCCTCCACAAAAAGTAAGTTTCACTTCATACATGATTTAATTAAGACAATTAGATTCAAAACAATATCTTGCTCCTTAGGAATAAGAATCATATATGATGTTTGGATTATTAATAAGTTTTAAACATTTCTTTGTAAAAATTTTATTTGTTTCATCTAAGATAAAACTTGGTTATAAATTCTAGTTAAAACAGTATTATATATTACATAAATTTCTTCTTAAGTTCTACTTTAGCAAATTTAGCATAATTATGGGCAGTCAGAACATTATCCATTTTCTTGATATCGGATTGGCTATTGATAATAATTTAAAGGACATTTTGTACAAAAAGGTCCATTATTGGTTTCACATTATAAGCATGAGTCATCACAATATTTTTCACAGATTGATTTTCCAATCTCTTTATACCCTTTTTAACACTCTACAATGATTCCTCTAATTAATGAGTTATACTCTGTTTTAGGATAGAAATATTTATTTGGTAAAAATTGCATCATAAAACTTTGAATCCTTTGAACCCAACCATCTCTTAAAGTTAAATCTCCTTCAATAACTATTTTAGAATTCATTAAATCATTTTTATAACACTCTCCATTAATAATAGAACTTGTATATCCTTCTTTACAAATGATGCACTTTAAAGTTGATTCAGGAGATAACAAGCATTATAAGCAATTATTTAAGTACTTTTCACAATTTAAAATTTCAGGGGCTATGTTGAAATCATCAACTTCAGATAATGTACAAAGTTCCTAATCATTTTAATGAATGAAGGATCTTATACAATTTTAAATCTGAGGTTTCTGATTAATACATTTACCTGTATTGAAATTAAATATAAAGCCATCCTCACAAAGAGCACATCCTACTTTAAGTTCTTCTTCTTCATCAAATTTCTCAAAATTTTTATATAGCGTACTTTTTAAGAGATTATTAGGTTGATATTCAAAACAATATTTGCAATAACTTATTGGACATTAAATACATTTTTTCTTAGAGGTTACATATGAAGGAGATCTACAGAAACTTGAAAGGTCTGTTTCCCGTACACTTATACATTCACCATAAATCAATTCATAACCATAATAACATTATAGACATTGATGACCTTGGATAGATAAATAGCATTTTTCACATGCTCTAAAAAAGCATTCGTAACACTAAAAGTATCTATCATCATCTTAACAAAAAGATTTAAAATTTTAATTTTGATACGAATAATCTAAATATTGATCTTCTAAGCTAGAGAAATTAGTATCTTAGCAAAATAAACATAAAGTCACTTCAGTCCCATCAAGAAAAAAGTATGAAGTTGGGGAATAGATTTATTATTGAGTACCTCCTTAATTATCAAAATAAAGATTGTCAGTACAGAAAGGCTTTTCTTTCCATGCCTTTGGATTATTTAAGCAATCTAAACAACTAAGCATATTTTCTCTTATAATTGAAGGACTAAAATAATTATAATCTAAATTTACCATTTGAAACATTCTCCTTAATATTCAAATTATCCTTATTAACAAACAAAATTTTACTTTTATCCTAATATCAATTAGAAGCTTGAATCAAGGTAAGTTTAACATGTTATTTCATCAACAGAATTATACGGACATACGCAAACTTTTTATTCAGGTATATAGATTCGTTTTGATTCTTCTGAACAAGATAAACAATTATACATTGTAGGGCCATCGCAATCTTGGCAACTAAAATGGCAATTCTAATCCAAAAATTTTTGATGGCAATTCTATAATATTAAGTTTTTCACATCCATATTTAAATAGTTTGTAATAGATTAAAGTAGATTCCCATATTACAATTTAAGCTGAATAATATGAAATTAATTAACATCAAATTAAACATTATATTCATGGATGTTACCACCTTCATAAAATCTAACATAACAGTTCAATAATGTCTTCTCCAAATTAACAAATATATTATGCCATACATTTATGGAATTAGTTATGACAAACTCTTTTAACAAAATAAAAGAATTATCTTTAAAATCAACAGAAATAGCTGGAAAGGTATAACTATAAGTTGCAATTATTATTTTATTTTCAGTAGATGAGATATAGTAGCTCATTTAAAATGGCTATAAATTTTTATCAGAAAGAGAGTTTTCAAAATTCGCTGATATCGTTATAAATTTATAGGTAAATTCATCATCAGATGATATAACTTCAATAATCTTAAACCATCCTGATAAAATAAATGAATCACAATTAGTATTTTTTGAAATGTAAATTAGCTTATCCAATTTATTTATTTGAGAGTCATCTATTTAAAATTTTTCATTCAATTTACACTAACATTGACCATAAATTTCATAATTACTCTAAGCAATACCAACTAAATCAACATCAAATTATAACATTTTTTTGTCTAATTTTTATACCATTATATAGCCTGGAAAATAAGAAAATTTTGTTAAAGTTTTCACAGATGGAATTGGCATTTATGTATTTGTTACAATTAAATCCCCTCCGAATCTTAATAATATATTTGTATCTTTAAAAGGCTGTTTCATTTATTTAATTTCATGAATCCTAATTCTGTCTTCTTAAATTATTATTATTTCGAATTTTGATTATGCGGGCCATTCAATAATTCCTAAAAAATACCAAATGTTTTCATATTGTAAAGCATCTATGCTGATTTCAAATCTAGATATTTTATCATCTTCATTTATAAACTCAAGTATCTTATAAATTTTTTGAGAACTAAATTCTAAATAATCATAATAAATTAGGTTCAAATTTTGAGAAGATTTGCCTACAATATTGTGTAAATGATAATAGTTGCTGTCAAATAATCCTATAGAACCAACTTAAGAAACAATGCTTAGAGGATTATATTTAGACCATATTCCATAAATGAAGCAATCATTTTCTCCATAATCCCCTTCTCTAAAATCAAACTCTTATTAATAAATTTAGTAATATGGATTCAATTTAGTCACTTAACTAAAGATCTGATTAAAAAGTATGAATAGTACTGGGTAAATTGCCATGAGTTTTTATTTATTAAAAATAAATATATCTGCAATATGTAGTTAATTAAGAATAAATAAATAACAGAAATTAAAAAATAATATACCAACTAAGAAATAATTGGCCTTTTCTATATTTTTTCAGAATTTATAATTTTTTTAATCCTGATTAAATTTAAGGATGTAATATGAAAAATCTTGATTATTAAAAAGCTAATAAGATAAAGCAGCTTTAAGTTCATTTTGCCAGAGATTTTTTAGCCCTGATGCAGTCTGAAAACTTAAAATTATTTTAATTCATCCTTTTACAAAGATAAACAGTATTTTTTCAATAATCTTTTTTGATTATCTTATGATAGTATTACTCAGTTCTTAATATTTAATTTATATTCAAACATCCCTTATTGTCCTATCCCATTTATTTATCTTTGATATTAATATTATTTTTAATTCAAAATTTTATTGATCATAATCAAAAGATTTATATCTATCTATATATTATTAATACTAATAGGAATGTCTTTTAAAGCTGACCTCAAATTTTTGGTCTAGTATTATTTATTTTCATGTAATTTAAAAATATCGCTTTTTTTTTATTAAAGAAACTATTTATACTTATTTTTTTAAAAAGGCAATTTTGTTAATCGTCACATTCTTATTCACACATCATTTAGAAGTGAAAAGAAGAATAGTAATAAAAAGAGTTTAATTTTAGATAGAACTGATAAGAAATAAAGACATTATTTAAGGAAATTTGGAAAAAGTTTAATATATTAATGAAAATTAAGTTCTTAATATCAAGTGAATAAATTTATGAATAATATTGAATCAAATCAAGGAAAAAATTTTTTCGAGTTTGAAAAATGCTTTTATTCATAAATTATAATTTCATCTAAGTGTTGCAAAATAAAATTAGATTTATACCTGACATAATCAACTAACCTATAATAATAAATAGAAACATCTAAGAGTTAAGACAATTTTAATTTTAAGATAACCATAAATAAAAATGAGTAATAAATAATAATAATCCCAATATAATTAAATAATGAAATTTAATTTCATTTCTTCGAAGAATGTTTTTAGAAAATTAATGTTAACCCCGTTGATTATTTATTATTAAAAAAGAGAGTTGTTCTTTAAAATATTTTAATATTATCTCTAGATATTTAGATGTATCTATAAGCTTCTTAATATCTTGTACTTTCAAATTTGAGATCTAGCTCTGAACATATAATCTATAAAGCTGAAAATATTTTAGACTCAGAGATTTGTGTAATAAAAATTGAAAAATCCCCTGGAATAGGCTAAATTAAAAATGAAATCGAAATGCTTAAAAAATTAGTTGGTATTATTGGTATTCCAACACTAAAATCAATTGGAATTACTTCAGATAATAAGTAAATATTAAATTAAACAATTTAGGTCCTTTCTTATTATTCCTTTATATCACAGTAGTTTAAGAGACCTGATCACATAATAATAGCCATAATTATCATTATCATAAATACTAAGAATTGGATTGAGTATTACTGAAATTTTAGAAAAAATTCATTTAAGAAATATTGTACATCTTGATATTAAGCCTGAAAATATTATGCTATCCAAACCATTAAAAGATTCAAACATTTTGCAAGATAATGTTATTCAAATTATAGATTTTGGTTTATCTTAAGAATTTAATGAAAATTCAAGTTCTTTAAGGAATATGTTTATAGGCTCATTACATTTTGCTAGCAGACAGTCACATAAAGGAGAATAGCTTGGATATAAAGATGATTTAGAGAGTTTACTCTATGTGTTGATCTACTTAAGAAATCGTATATATATATTTTTTAACTCTTAGTTAAATTACCATGGTCCTTCAAACCATCTTGGGGATGTCAGAAATTAGATATTAAAATTATAGGCAAAATTAAATCATCTCATTTTAACACTTAAGCATTAACTTCAAATTTCCCTCCATAATTTTAGGAAATAATGTCTTAAATAAATTCATTAAAGCATAATACTATGCCTCATTATAAGTATATCAAAGAGTTATTTATGATAATGATAAAATAATCTGAATTATCATTTTTTTTAATGAAGGAACGATTTAAATCATAAGATGAATTTGATACATCAATCTAGGTAGATCATTTTTAAGAAGAAGAAGAGGAAAGCTAAGAAGAGATGGTTAGATTTGAGACACATCACTATATAATCTCTAAAGAAATTGAAAAATATAAGACAAATTAAATTAAATCAATAAGTGATTTATAATTTTGAAAATATCTATTAAACTTTTTTTACACCCTACATTACTTCACAAGAAAATTTAATCATAATTTTTATTTTACCTATATGAATTCAAGAATGACATTTGATCTTCCTGATTATTTTATACATTAAACTAAATTGAAAATAAATATTAAATTTTTTGCAATATAAAAATTAGGCAAGCCTCAAATTGGATTGTTTAATTATTTATATTTTTTTATGTTAACTTTTATGTCTAAAAATTTTTTAAAGTTGAATTTTTTAACCATTACTTTAAACTATGATAAATTATATCTTGAAGAATATGCTTTAACCATAAGATTGTTTGTTATTTTGAAGTTAATATAGCCTTGATTACTTAATTAAGTTTAGAGATTATATAAATTAATTGATTTACTTATTTAATATTGAAAACCACTCTCAATAAAATCATAAGTTTGTATTTATTATTCAATTTATATTAAAATAACAACTTTCTATATATATTTTAACTCAAAATCCTCTATTTATATCAATCCTATTATTACAAGAAAAAAGATTGTTGATATTACAATATCGAGATATCCAGACTATATGCATGACCTATATAATTAAAAAAACCAATTGATTGATCAAGACTTTATTTAACCTTGAATATTGTCAAACTTTTTAAGAGCATATCAATTTATTGATAATCATGATGATAAATTAGTTTTTATTAAACAGGAAAATTTTTGGTTGGAATTCGTCTTTTGATGGAGATTTGAATGGATAATTAATATATCTTATGATAGGCTATTATTCTAACTAAATAGTCATAGAATAAAATACATATATATCATTCAAAATTTATTTTAAATAAATTAATTGTTAAAAATCATACTATTCATTTTTATTATCTGGGTCTAAATAAATTTGAATTTACTATAATTTTAGATTATTTGAATACTGAATGATAGCAAATACAATAAGGACATAAAAAATAAATTCTAAAGTTTTATCATATTCGATGATGCTATATTTTTCTTAAGTGAACATAGTTGTTTATTTTGATAAATATTTTTTCAATTTCTTAGCTGATAATAAAAATACTTCATTAAGGGCGGTTTATTAAAATTTTATTTAACTTTTTGATAATATAAATAATTTTTCAAGACCGATAGTTAATGATATATAATCCATATCGAAATGGATAAAATATTTATTTATAATTATCATCTTTAAACTAAAATTTTGGAAAAAAGCTAAATTTGATATTTTAAAAAAAACAGATAATTGATCTAAATACTAAAAGTCTAGTATTTTCTCAAAAAAGATATTTAATCTTATTAAATTAATTGATTAAATTTCTTATAATAAGTAAATCATTAAAATAAAATATTAAATTAATGAACAGTATTTTAACGCCACATTAAATAAATAAAATTATAGGATCAATTATCTTTCTATTTTATGCAATCAAATATCATTTGAATGAATATTTACTTCGCTAAATTAAATTTAACTTTGCCATCATTGTTTTAAATAGTACAAATATACCTCTATTTAATTGAGAAATTTTAAATCATCAAATTAATAATTAAGATAAAAAATGCCGGTATCTGATTGTCAAGAAAGTAGTACGATTAACTCAAGTAGCTTTAAGAATATAGCATCAAAGTTAAGAATGAGTACAATTTTGATAATCTATACATTCATAATTCTTGGATTAAGCTTAGCAATACTTATTGGATGTTAAAAGATTCAATTATAAATGGCTACTGATTAAGTTTAAATAATTTCAGAATAAATTTTAACTATACAAAATAAAAAGTATAATGAATTTATAAATATAGAGCTCTCTCAATTTAATCTCAAAATGCAATGTATGTATTATAATTTGCATTTTTTTTGATTTAAACTAAGATGACAAAATTAGTATCAATGAATTATTAGATGCAGAAGATGGACCTTAAAATTGGTTAAGAAATTTAACATTGTAAAATTATGTAATAATACAATCGATATATGTAAATTTCAAGTAGTTGCTTTACTTTCATATCAAATCAAAGTTTAAAAAATGCAGAAACAAAGCCTTTTTTAAAGTTTGTTAATTTGTTGCATACTCTTTAATTTACTTTTGATTTCAATATTGTTTCTTAACAAATATATATAGTTTCCTTAACAGATAATTTATTAACAGTTTATTATCCTACGAAACCAGAAAATGAAACTGTTGAAGCTTTTTAGTAGCAATGGTTTATTAATTACACTTCAGAATTATAAAAAACAAAATAATTTATTCCTTTTAAAATCAGTAGATTATTTCATATGCAAAATTATAATTAAATTTTGGCTACATTTTCTAATATTTTGTTTGATCCGAAATTTTAAATAACAGGAATTGCTTCCTTATTAATCGATTTTCTTCAATTATAGAACTTTTTGTATATGGATAAAATAAATTTGATAATTGTATATGAAGATGGAACACTTGTCTATACAAAATGCTTTTTTGAGCATTAAATTGAAAATATTTATGATCTAATATATAATGAGTCATTAACAGGATTTAATATAACAGATTGGGAAGAAATCAAATATTCCATAAATCATACTAATTATCCAATTTATAAGTACAATACATTATTAAAATAAAATGTTTACATAAAGGCTTCTTAACTTCCTTAAACATAATTAATTGCATTAACGTATTTATATTCAATAATTTAGTTTATAAAATTTTACATTTGAACAAGAAATAGCTTAAGTTTTAGATGGTAAAATTTAATAGGTAGTGTCTTGGTACGCAAATATGAGTTTATATGCTGTTGTGATTGACATAATTATCTTATTACTAACCATTTTGCCTCTTAGGTTTTTATTTCATTCAACTAATCTAATTTTGGATATGATGATGAAATATTTAAATGGAAAATTTGATTATAAATTGAAGGATGACATTTTCAATCATAACTTCTTTTAATCGAAAAATAATTCATTATCTAAATTGTATGAAACCTTTTAAAAAATCGACAAAACTCTTTATAATTCCTAGTTTTAAAAATCTGAACAGTGTAAACTTATTGAAGCTTTTCAATTTGTGAGAAATGAAAAAATAAGTTTGATTTACCCAAAGAAAAAATTATAGGATAAGGAATAAATTATTTCTTCCTAACTTTTTTCCTCCTTAACAAAATTTTAGAAAGAAGAAACATGAAATTGCTCTTAATTTTATATTGCCTATATTTAATTTTTATTTAACAATAAATATATAAGTTATTAAAATATTATGAATTTTAAGATTAAATTACAAATATTAAATATTGACTAACTTAAAATTATTCATGAATTCATTTCTTAAAATTAAGATATAACTTTAAAATCTTCTCAGTTCATATATTTTTCATGTATACTAACATGTATTTATAAGTAAACTAAAGCAGAAAACTGCTTTAGAAAAAGGAAATGTTTAATTTTACCTAGAAATAATTATTATTTTCGACGTATATTTATGCTATTTTTTAATTATTTATTTTTTTAATTTTCATGGAACTTTATAGAAAATTAAGAAATAAAAGTTTAAATATCAACTACTCAAGAAAGCAAATATCATTTAATCAATGAGCAATTTGATTTTGAATAAACTCAAATTGATTTATATGTGTTAATAATAATAAAGCATAGAATTACTAAAAGAAATCAAATTTATATAAAAATAAGGTTTCCCTACAAAGATTGTTTTTCCACACAAGAATAATTAATTATTAATATTATTTTTTAATTTAAATTTAAATTAAAAAATAAAAACTTTGTAGAATATCTCTCGAAGTAGCTTGATCAATTTTTATAATATAATAATCAATTTCTCCTTGAAACTATATTTTTCATGGAATATATTTTGGGAACTATTGAAATAATATATTTTTACAGTAAATTCATTGATGCAATTTAAGTCCTCAGTTAACTCTAATTTCCCATAATTAATACTTTAAAGAATAACTCTTCCTCTGACTGGTACTCTTACAGATTTAATTTAAGTAGGTTAAGAACTTCTTGTTAAATTAGGTTATCTATTGCAGATTTTAATAACTTATCCTTAGAAGTTGCATTCAGTATAAAATTCTGCACAATTATAATATACATTTAGTTCAATAGTGAATTCTCTAAAACCATAAGATTCTAAGATAAGTTATAGTCATTTTACCATCATCTGGTGCTTGATCTAAATTTACTCTCATACTAACAGTCAATGAATTGTCTTTATGTAATTATACTATTGAAACCTATTCAAAGTCATCCTTCCATAATGATGAACCACAAAGATCGTACCTTTCTGTATAATAATCTTTGCTATAAAAGTAATAATTATTGTCTAATTAAAGTGTTAGTGTGTGATTATCCCATGAATCAATGTAATATATTGTAAAATTAACTCTCATGTGAGTGTGAATTGGAAAATTAAAGAAATTTCCAATAATTTGAGAACTTCCAAAAAATATATTGAATCCTCCATACACATCTTTTCCAGCACAATTGATATATTAATTAGATGAATATGGATTTATCAGTTTCCATTCAGAAGGTATCCTTGGGAAATGATTTTCACTTAATTAATTTAACCATAGATAAAATGGTATATCAGTGAATAAAACTCTGATGATTGTTATTAAAACCATAATTGAATAAATGAAATATACTAATTTTTTAGAGCCTTAAAATATCTTTTAAAATCACTTAATTAATAATATCGGATTGGCTCTAGAAAGTTTCTATATCTTTCAAACATAACATTCCAAAATTTAAATAATTTATATTTCCTTATTTTTAATATACCAAAAATTTATTAATCATTCTTATTTTATTGACTTTAATTTTTAAGCAGGGTTATTTTTCTAAAACTTGATTATTGCTCAATGGAGTTGGAATAAATTGATCTGGCTTGGTTTAGCTAGCTGATATATAATTGTATAGAAAACAAAATTGTTAAGAAGTTTAAATATTAATTTAAATCAAAAAGAATTCAATATGAGAATTTTCATTATTAGAATTTTCATCAATCGATTTGCAAACACTTATAAAATATTTAAAAATCTAAAACATATTACAATTTTATATCCACAAGAACAAAATAAAATCAAACGAAAAATAAGATTTTATGTTTATGATTTTAGTTATTTTTTTTTAACTTTATGCCTTTTTACAATGTAAATGAGATTAGCTAATATCATCAATTTTAGTTGAAAATTTCGATATTATTACTTAAATGTAAAAACAATCTAGAGAAAAAATAATGGTAAATTTTTTTGAAGAAATCATAATTTAGTTTGAGTATAGATAATAATATTTATAAATAAATAAAAAATCTTAAAATCATCTACGATTATTAATTTTTAATTTTTGAGTAAAGGTTATTAAATACAAATTTATATATATAGATGAATTTGAATAATTAATCAAATATTTAATATTTAAATATCTAATATATTTTCTTAGGTTTAAATTTAATTGTAAACTACTTGAACAATATTGATCTCAGAATCTGAAATGGTGATTGTTAATTCTTAATGAGCTTATGTAGCTGAACTAAATCTAGTAAAATATGATATTAAATTTATAGCCTTATAACATACATGTGTAAAAGATTTGGTTTTTTTTTCTGAACAATTATTACATATGTTAAATGTACTCTTAATTGTCTTACCATCTGAGCATCTTACATAAATATTTAATAATGCAGGCAAATAGGATTTATCAATAATTGTTTAGTAAATGCCATTTGAACCATAACTTTCATTTTATTGTGGTATTTCAAATAATATTGTTGGATTATTCAAACTTTAAAAATCAAATTTTTGTGATATTCTCATGCTTTGTAGCTCGATTGGTGTAAATTTGTTTTTGAAAACATGAGAAATCCAAACTGATTAATAGTAGGTTGGTACAAAAAAATAGCCCCCTAATAATTCAAAATAATGGTACATGAATTAATACTGTAAGAAATAGTGGGGACTGTAGTAGTGTATTACATCCAAATTCTTATATTATTGTTATAAGCATAATTAAAACCTTCTGGAACATTTACAAACCATTTATTTCCTTATAGATTCTAACTATCACTGTTATAGGGAATATTTAGAGATTAATGTCCAAATAATTGAAATACTTCTTATGTGCCTAGAATTATCTAATATCCTAATTATTTAAGATTTGCAGATAAATCAGAAATATCGACTGTAACACTTGTTTTAGTTAGTTAAGTTATCTTAATAAAATAAAAAAAATACAGAAATATAAAAGTTAAATGCCCCTGTATAAGAAAAACTTGTAAGAGTTACAAAACCGTAAAGTGCATTAGCATTTTAATGAGCAAATGTTTTAATGGTTGGATTATCCATGTTAAATGAATTAATTATTTAAATCCTTTGATCATCAATAGCATACCAATAAAACCGAATACCATAGACTTATCCAATTTATGGGCAAGTTATTTAAACGTTAAAATCTAAAATAAGTAAAATAGTACTTGTTAATGTTATGCTGGTGATTGATAATCTGAATTCAAGTGTTGTACGTTTTAAATCAAACTTTTACAAAACTAAGAAAACTTTTGGGACGGTTTCAAATGATCCTGAAAATGATATTGTGCCTGTTTTTGAAAAAGAGTTAAAACAAGAGAAAGTATTATCATTCCAATCATCAAATTTATCATACAAACCATTATCAGAATTAATGAATCCTTAAGTAAAAGTTAGATAGATGAGCAGTAATATCATGAAAAATTATTGCAATTTTAATTATATTATATGACAATTAAATCATTAGAATAAAACAATTAATCATTTTGAAAGCTAATAATTGTAATAAAAGTACAATTAAGATGACAAATTGAAAAAGGTTGGAAATAAGTCTTAATGGTATTTCTTTAGTAACAAGTATCCCTTAAAAATAGTTTAATTTATTTAAATTATCTAAGATCTTGATATAGAAGTAAGGTTGGAGATGAATACCACTTAAAAATGCTGTTATTTTTCAAATTGATTTGATGAAGCGAAATATTGTATCTATTATCAAGAAGTTTTTCATCCAAAATTTACAAAATAAAAAATATGTTTTATTCTTGTTGAGGAGTTAATGAAAATAGAAAGGGATAGAAAAGTTATTATTAAAATTTTTATTTTTATATATTGATCTTTAAATAATTTTATAATATTCTGGTGCTATTCATGCTGAAATACAAAATCAAATATTGTATAGTTTAATAAAAACTTGCCTGACAATATTATTTTATAAAGATTAGAATTGGACTTATTGGTAGCAGTGACTTTAATTTTAAATAAGTTTTAGATATTTTTTTTATTCTGAATCAATAGTTCAAAAATTATTTACTTAACTCGTTATTTTTTCACTCTTAATTTATTTTCCTCTTTCTCACTCAAACTTAACACAATTAATATAATATTTCAGGAGATTTACTAATATTTCTCTCAAATCAAAATTTATATTGATTTATCTGCATTATTATGAAAATATGCTCTTGTAGTCGAAGAAGTTATCAATTTTTTTCTAAAAATATCGTTTTAACTTAGAATCTTTTAATCTATTGCAAATGTTCTAAATTTTATTAAAAAAAAGTCTATAGACAGTCCACCAAATATTTATAAGCAAAAATTCTATAAAACATTTTTAATTGTAAACAACCCATCTTATTTAGCAACTACATCCATAAAATTTAATATGTAATATAGTAGCCCTTTTACTTAGAATCTAAATGAATCCCAATTCTAATAAAAGTATTGAGTTCTTAGAAATAAAGCAAATTATCAGTGCCTATCTTTATATATATATGATATATTTCTAATCCAATTAGTTTTATTCTTCAGATATTTAGATAGATATTTAGTCAATCTTATCATAAACCAATTATTTATTGAAAAAAAAAAATCAAACTGAATCACTTTTCATTTATTCCTAATATATTGTCTAATTGATTAAATTAGTGATGTAAATATAAAAAATGATTGATTAAGTAAAGAATTCTTAACTATTAAATACCAAAATAAATCTAAGATTGATATATTTTATTGAAGGAATCCATATATATATTTAAGATTTAATACATTTATATCCATTTTAAAAATTAAAGCAACTATAATTTTTGTTAAACCTACATAAGGATTTCTTATAATTTATAATGACTATGAAAAAAAGCTAGAAATAATTTAATTAGATAATGTAAAAATTGATTTCCAATAGTCATAAGATAAGTATTAAAGTGCATGCTTATGAATAAAGCAAAAATTAAATTGTCTTATTCTACCCTTTTATCTTTTTATTAGAATCGTTAATTTAATTAATTTTGTTTGAATAAAACATGAAAAAAAAATTATAAACTGTTATAAGTTTCAATCTTTGAATAAATTTAATAAACAATATATATGATTTTATATTAAAAGTAATTATAATTAGAGAAAGATATATTGTTTAATGATTTTCTTTAGAATAAGTTCAAAATTCTTCGCACTCTGAGTCTAAGGAAAAGGATTCAAAGGCAAAAATTTATATTCTTCTTGAGGATCTATTATCTAAAATNTATTCTGAATCAATAGTTCAAAAATTATTTACTTAACTCGTTATTTTTTCACTCTTAATTTATTTTCCTCTTTCTCACTCAAACTTAACACAATTAATATAATATTTCAGGAGATTTACTAATATTTCTCTCAAATCAAAATTTATATTGATTTATCTGCATTATTATGAAAATATGCTCTTGTAGTCGAAGAAGTTATCAATTTTTTTCTAAAAATATCGTTTTAACTTAGAATCTTTTAATCTATTGCAAATGTTCTAAATTTTATTAAAAAAAAGTCTATAGACAGTCCACCAAATATTTATAAGCAAAAATTCTATAAAACATTTTTAATTGTAAACAACCCATCTTATTTAGCAACTACATCCATAAAATTTAATATGTAATATAGTAGCCCTTTTACTTAGAATCTAAATGAATCCCAATTCTAATAAAAGTATTGAGTTCTTAGAAATAAAGCAAATTATCAGTGCCTATCTTTATATATATATGATATATTTCTAATCCAATTAGTTTTATTCTTCAGATATTTAGATAGATATTTAGTCAATCTTATCATAAACCAATTATTTATTGAAAAAAAAAAATCAAACTGAATCACTTTTCATTTATTCCTAATATATTGTCTAATTGATTAAATTAGTGATGTAAATATAAAAAATGATTGATTAAGTAAAGAATTCTTAACTATTAAATACCAAAATAAATCTAAGATTGATATATTTTATTGAAGGAATCCATATATATATTTAAGATTTAATACATTTATATCCATTTTAAAAATTAAAGCAACTATAATTTTTGTTAAACCTACATAAGGATTTCTTATAATTTATAATGACTATGAAAAAAAGCTAGAAATAATTTAATTAGATAATGTAAAAATTGATTTCCAATAGTCATAAGATAAGTATTAAAGTGCATGCTTATGAATAAAGCAAAAATTAAATTGTCTTATTCTACCCTTTTATCTTTTTATTAGAATCGTTAATTTAATTAATTTTGTTTGAATAAAACATGAAAAAAAAATTATAAACTGTTATAAGTTTCAATCTTTGAATAAATTTAATAAACAATATATATGATTTTATATTAAAAGTAATTATAATTAGAGAAAGATATATTGTTTAATGATTTTCTTTAGAATAAGTTCAAAATTCTTCGCACTCTGAGTCTAAGGAAAAGGATTCAAAGGCAAAAATTTATATTCTTCTTGAGGATCTATTATCTAAAATTATTTAAATTTATACTTGAAACATTTGTTGATGAAAGTGTCTATATAGATTGATTAATACTTAGATCATTATGATCATCAATCTCTAAGTCAACAAAATTGATTATCATTGATTGTAAATCAGGTAATAAAACATGGTCTGATTTTGAGATTATTTAACTTTGTCTTTCCTCATCATTAATTTTAATTATTTATCCAATATTCTTTTGAAAGTACATCTTCATGTTTGTGACTATGTGGAATTCTTTCTTCAAATTATTGTTTGAATTGTTCATTTATGCGAAATCTTAAATCTTTGTTTTAAAAATTAAAATCATATACTTCAATAAAGAATTTTACAACCTTTAATAAACAAATTTAGTTAGAAAAAAAACAAATTTATTATCTAATAAAAGTTAAAATTCATAAAATAAAACTATATAAAATGATATAAGGATGAAGATAATCATTTTGTTTGATGACTTTAGATTTTAATTAAAAAAAATAAAAATTAAAATTATATAAAAACAAAGCTAAATCAATCCAAATGATAATAATTTTCATTATGTATATTTAATAATAACGATTTTTTTGGTTTGGATTTCTTAAAGATTGTCCATTTGAGGCTATTTTTATGATCTTATCAATAAAAATAGAATGAATTAAGTAGATGATTAATCCTTTTAGATCTAATATAAATTCGAGAAAAATTTAAAGCTATTGTAAATTTTGAATTGAAATTTAGAATGAGAGAGGTGAAAAGCGAAATTAAATAATACCAATCTTTTGAAGGTCTTAAGCAATATATTAGATTTTAGTTGTTGAATTATGTTACTCAGAAGTACTTAAGGAAGAGTTATTTTAAATGTACAAAACTGATATTAAATAATATAAAGAAAAATTTAATAAAATATAATCATTATTTACCAACCCACTAACATTATTTGATAGCCGAATTTTCAAATAGACAATCCAAATAACTACTTTATTATTATTAAGATCAAAATTGCCCAATTATATATGATGTCATTATCTCTAGTATATTTGATTGAGAAGTATTTCTTGATTGGTATCGAAATTCCAATAATTTAAGGAAAGAAAAATCAAAGGAGTTTCGCTTTATCTTTTTTCTAGGTTATGATTTCCTCTTTTTTTGAACTGTTAAATAATTGTGATATTCAAACAATTATTTACTTTATTTAATACTGGACAAATTAGAATTATATAATAGTAAAATATATCAGATAAATTAATATTCAAATAATATTGTATATAAAATTATCATGGAACAAATATTATTCTTGATTATTTTTTGTTTTCATTATACTGATTTTATTTTATAGTCTAACTTTATTCTATAATTTACACCTACTAATCAATCTTTATATCCTTCTATAAATTAGGTTTCTAATAAATTGTTTTTATTATCAAAATAATCTAATAAAAGTATTTTAATAAACCATAAATTAATTAAGAAATTTCAAGTAAAATTGAAAAAATAATTAATGAAATAATTATCCAACCTAAGGTATCAATATTTTGTTTAATAAATTAATAATTTGTATAATCATTAATTGAAAAAATTACAATTATAAAATTAATGATGCTTAAGTTTAAGTCTTAAAAGAATTAAAGAACATATTATGATTTAGTTTTGTAAGGATTTTTATAACAAATAATGGCTAATCCTACAGATGTAGATATAAAACAAAATAGAGTTTAAAGGATTGGAATGGAATAAAAAGACACCATAAAATAAATATGAAATATCTTTTTTAGCAACCCAATTAAATTATAATAATATCCAAAAGAATCTTCAGTATTAATGTTTTCATAGTAAATTTCATTTTTTTCTTTGAATTATCGATTTTCTGCTAAGAGTTTGTGAATTTTTAATAATGAATAAGATTAATATAACTAAAACACAATAAGGCCTAATGATAAGTAAGCCAATAATTAATTAATTGCTAAAATAAAATGTTTTTAAGGGTTTGCATAAGTAATTTAGAGCATAAAAGCTAGAGTAATATCTAATAGACATAAAGTTATGGTTTATTTAATTTTATTTTTCAACGAGTTTGAATTCTAAATTAATA